ATTTAAAAAGAGAAACTAAATTAGAGTATAAAAATATATAGAAAATAAATAACTAAGAGAATAAAGTACTATAAATAATATTTAAAGATAGTTATAAACTATTATAGAAATAAAAAGAAAAATATAATAATTAGATATCTAATAAATACTAGATAGTATATAAAGAAAAAGAACTATATTTTAAATATAATAAGAGAAAATAAATAGAAGTTAAAGATCTTAAGTACTTATATTATAATAAATATAAATAGAACTACTATTATAAATACTATATCTTTAAGGAAATATAGAAATTAAAATAAAGATTTTATTATAAAAACTATATAAAATATCTATTATATAAAAATAGTAAAGATATTTATTAAAGATATTATATTAATAAGGAATACCTAGTATATATTAATAAGTATTTAGAATAAATAGATAGAAAAAGTATTAATATAATAGACTAAGAAAATATAATACTATATAAATAATTAGAAGTTCTATATTAAAAAAATAAATAAATAAATTACTATATAGTATAAAGGATATACTATATAGTTTAAAGGAAAAATAGTAATTAGATACTAAGAGGTTTAAAGCTAAAGCTTTCTCCTATTAATAGTAAGCTTTTAATACTAAGTCAAAGCGTTGATTTAAAATCACATAATATACTTATAATATAATATTAGGCCTAGCGGGTTTTAGATATTATACTAGATATTAGGCTAATTTAATACTAATATTTAATATAATACTAAGCCCGATAGGTACTAAATATTAGGCTTAATATTAGGCTAATTTGATACTAATATCTAGCCTGATATCGGGGCCCCTAGGTGATGGATATCCTATATGATATTAGGCCCGTTGGGTGTTGGATATCAGGCTCGATATCAGGCCAATTTAATGCTGATATCTAGTATGATATCGGGCCCCGTGGGTGCTGGATATTAGGCTCGATATCAGGCCAATTTGATGCCGATATCCAACATGATATCGGGGCCCCTGGGTGATGGATATCCTACATGATATTGGGCCCGTTGGGTGTTGGATATCAGGCTTGATATCAGGCCAATTTGATGCTGATATCCAACATGATATCGGGCCCGGCGGGTGATGGATATCATGCTGGATATCAGGCCAATTTGATGCTGATATCCAGCCTGATATCGGGCCCCCTAGGTGATGGATATCATGCTGGATATCAGGCCAATTTGATGCTGATATCCAGCATGATATCGGGCCCCCTGGGTGATGGATATCATGCTAGATATTAGGCTAATTTGATGCTGACATTCAGCCTGATATCGGGCCTGACTGGATGCCATCCCCAGACACCCTCTCCACCCCTGTGATATGCTCGGTTGGGTGCTCGATTGGGTGTTTGGTTGGGTGTTCGATATTGGCCTTATTCGATGCTGGATATCGGCCCCATTTGATGCTGGATATCGCGTGTATTTGATGCTGGATATCGGCCTTATTTAATGCTCAGTTTGATGCTCGATTGGGTGCTTGGTTGGGTGCTCGGTTAGGTGCTTAGTTGGGTGTTCGCTTGGGTGTTTGCTTGGGTGTTTGCTTGGGTATTTGCTTAGGTATTCGATATTGGCCTCATTTGATGCTAGATATTGGCCTCATTTAATGCTGGATATCGGCCCTAATTGATGCTAGATATCGGCCCCAATTAATGCTAGATATTGGCCTTATTTAATGCTAGATATCAGGCCTGGTTAATGCTAGATATTGGCCTTATTTGATGCTAGATAGGGGCCTAGATAGGGGCCTAAATAGAGGTTAGGTGGGGCCCCTAAACCAATAACTGGTGTATAATAAATTTAACTTTGGCAAAATCTAATTGTCTAATCAAATAGGGTCCTATTAACTAATAGAGTGGTGTTCCGGCTAGCTAATTATATAATTTAGAAAGGATTTATAAATATAGAATTCTAACTCTATCTAGAAAGTTTATTTTATACTAAATAGTCTTTGCTTTGCTCTAACAATTAATTAAAAATAATATAATATTTATAAAAATAATTATAGCTTTAAAAGAATTAAGAAGATTAAATAATATAAATAATAGAGTATTTAGATAAAAACTTAATTAATAAACTTAGTTAGAAAAAATTAAATAAGAAAATTTAGACTTTAATTAATATTAAAGAACTATAGAATAAAACTTATAATTAATAAATTAAAATACTAAAAAATAGATAATTTTAATAGTTTATAAGATTTAAAATAAATAGAAGTTTAGCTATAATAAAAGGAAAAAATTATTTAGTAATAATAGTCTAATTAATAGAGTTAAATATATAAATACTAATTAATTTAAAAACTATTAGAAACTTTATAGATTTAAAAATTATAAAATAATTAAAGATTTATATTTAAATAAAGAAGAAACTATATAAACTAAAAGATTTTAATAAAAATTAGAATTAAAGAATTAATAAAGAAATTAAAAATATAAAAATATATATTAAAAAATAATATAAAGAAATAGAATATTTTAATATAATAAATTTAAAAAGTTATAATATAATTTTAAAATACCTTTAATTAGTAAAATATAATCTAACTATTAATTAGAAAAATAATATATTATAATTAAATAGTAGAAATTACTATTCTAATTAGAAGACTAATATCTTTATAACTATTTATCTTAAAAGAAAGAATTAAAGTTAAATATTAGATAAAGTACTTTAAATTAAAATAAAAATAGTAAAACCTATAAATAATTAATTAATAAAGAAGTAAAAAATAGTTTATTAAATAGAGAAAGCTACTAAAATAAATAAACTATAATAATAAATATTAAAGAAATATTATAATTTAATTAAAGTATTCAAAAAATAAAAATTATGAAAAAGTTTATTAGAATACTAAATATAGAATTATAAATATCTTTAATAGAAAAGATAATATCTATATATAAACTTATATATAAACTAACTAAAATAAAACTTAAAATATTATAAAAATATATTAATAATAATTTAATAAAAAATATATATAATAATTATAATTACTAGTAAAATATTTAATTATTTTTATATTAAAGAAAAATAGAAGTTTATAATTATATATAAATTATTAATAATTTAATAATATAATAATTAAAAACTAATATTTATTACTATTTACTAATAAGATATAAAATAAATTTAAGAAAATAATATACTTTATAATATTAAATATATAAAAAGTCTACTACTAAATATAAATAAAAGAAAATAAAGAATAGAAAATAGTATTTAGAATATAATTTAGATTATATAAATTCTTAATTATATTTTTTAAATTAATTAATATACTAATAATATTTTAAATACTTATTAATAATATATTATATAAATATTTAAATATATTTATAGTAATATATTTATATAATATTTTAATATTTATTAAAGAAACTTAAAAAGATTATATAGAAAAAATTAGATAAATATTTAAGAAATTTAAAAAATATAAGCTTTACTTTAAAGCATTAAAATATATTATATTAATAAAAAGAATTTAAATAGATTTAAATAAAATTAAAGTTATTTATTAATTAGTTTATATTAATAATAGTTAAAAAAATATAATAGTTTTATAAATTAGTTAAACTCCCAACGGTGAGTACATGGCCGTAGGCGGCCCTCGTCCCGATCCGGACTGGCGTGTCCTTGGCCTCCGTCCGCACTCGGTTTGGCTCGTAGGCTGCGGCCCCGCCCATTGGCCCCGTCTGGCCTCATTGACCCGATCGGGTTTGGCGTCGCCGGCCTCACGCCGCCTGAAGGTACATCCGTCGTCCTCCCCTCTACTATATAAGGCTCGCTGCTCTCCCTCCCATCTCCACGCACTTCCATCTTCCTGATTTCCCTCAACCTCTGCTCCTGAATCGATCCCTCCCCCTTTCGTCGACCCCTTTTCGCGGCTCCCCCTCATCTCCCCTCTGCCGACCTTCGTTCCCGGATCTACCTGCTGTTCCCCGGCCCTCTGGCGTTCCTGCCTGCCCTCCTGCGGTTCACATTCTTTGGAGAGACGCTCGCCTCCCTGGAGGCCAATTATCCGCGCCTGGTTCTTGTCGTCTATTCTGCCCTGGCCTCCATCTACAATTGTAGCGCTTTCTTCTCTCCGAACGCATTCAATCACCCCTCTCAACGGAGCCTGGTTTTCTCGGCCGCCCTCTCTCTACTTCCCTCCCATCCCCCCGTCTCCCATTGAGACCCGGTTACGCACGCACAATGCTCCGTTCACCAATGGCAAAAATGCCTCATGCCGGCGGAGTTCAGGCGCATGCGCATCCTTGAAACGGGCTGATGCGGCATAAGCAGCTGCGTCAGCTCGGCCTGCCCTCTACGCCGCTCGACGGCGTGCAAGCGGCATCGACCAATTGCAAAAATGCCTCATGTCGGCGAGACCGAGCGCATGAGGGTGTCACCACGCAGACTGACTAGGGTGTGGCGAGGCTGCGGGCAAGGCAGGACGATATCTACTGCGCCCGTATGTCTGCACGGAAATGCGGACCCTTGGCAGCTGAGCGTGCTGCACTCTCACCTGAACATTGCATGATGAGTGCGGGGCTGGTGTTTCATGAGATCCAGGATAGGAGTGTGTGTGGGCCGTTGCCTACCATTCCTCGCGGAGGTTGCGTGATTGGGATCAGGGGAGGCTCGATTGGCCCGTTTCAATCATTCAGGCTTTCAATTTGAGATTATGTGCGTGCTAGATGAGCTGGATCGTATACGAACGGACGTCGGGAGAAGAATGGCCATCCAATATGCATCCCATTGAGCTGAATGTGCATGCAGCGCGGGTCCGGCCTGCGACTTTGGCCAGGTGCAGAACATTGCGCCGGCGATGGCCGCGCGAGGCAGGAAATGCAAGCGACATGTGCGAGCCCTGTTCCTCCAGACCGTCTATATAAGTTGGGTTGACTTCCCACAGATCGTTGAGTTCTCAAATCAATCAATCAATCTACTTCATCCCACAGGACGTGAAAGAAAGCCCAGTTCAAAGAAGCGAAAATGGCCATCAGCCTAGACAAGATCATCCCGTTCCAGCCCCCGTCCCTCCCAATATCACCAGATTCCCTTCCCCTCAAACTGTTGTCGGCACCAGCACCCGCGGGGCCACGTCCTGCGCTGTTCCCAAAGGCCGTTCCTCAGCACTCCTCGCACCCCCAGCACCCGTTGCCACCCAAGCCCCAGTTTTCTCCCGTCCCTGAATCTAAATCCACAGATGAACGGGCCCAACAGTCCGCAAAGAAGCAGATTGATTTTGGATGCCCGTTCAGAAATATCGAGTTTCTTGACTTAACGGGCCTCGAGCACTCCGGGATTGAATCTTGTGATGGTCCCGCGTGCGCAGTCGAGGATGATGTATCTAAACAGGCTCTTCGCTCAGGTTCGTTCGCCGGCTCCTCAACCCCTCTACCCAATCTCTCTTGATTTCTCGGCTCCTGCTTCAGCGCCTTTTGAACGCCTGTGTATCCTCCTAGCCGTTTGCTAACCGGTCTGCAGTGCCCGAGCTGTCCCTTGAGCCTTTCTCAGGTACCGAATATACACAATTCAAGCTTGGCGGAAACGCAGAGATTCTGGAGACCGTCGAAATTCCAGAACCCCCCCCTCTGGAGTGTTCACCCGCGGTGTCTGCGACTGGAGACGGGATTGAATCACCGTCCCTCTTGCGCTCGAAGACGCCGGCGGACGTGACGCCCGGGGGTGCTTTAGGTAGGATTTGCAGCTTGTTCCCTTCCCGCCCCGACCTTTCCCGAATCACAGCCTCTCTCTCCTTGCGTTGCTGACTCTCCATCCGTGCCCTAGCACCTATCCTGATCGACTCGGATGACGACGAAACCGATGTCGAGGGCCCGCAGGGTACCGCAGGCCATGCGCACACTGAGCCACTGCCTGATTGCGGTGCTCTGGAGCCTCGCGCAGATCCCCGCGACGAGGATGAGCGGATAAAGGGAGAGCCATCGCCGTCACCGTCGCCATCATCGTCTCGGCCGCTGCGCATGGTGGCGGTGGAGGTTCCCGTCCGCCGTGTCACCCCGCACGCCCCTTCCAGCCAGTGTCCATCGGCCCCCATCGCTCGAGAGGCAGACGATAACGAGGGTGACGGCGACAGTGGCTATGTAGACAGCGAGGGCGAGGACGATGCTGCGGTAGCATCAAAGCGGCAGAAGGTCGCCATACCCCCGCCGTCCGCCTGTCGCGCGCCCTCGGGCCCGTCCTCCCTGCCGGCGGACGCCATTGTGTCGCTGACGCTTGGAGTCAGCTCGGTCGTTCACCCTTGTATCACGGAACATATACAGGCATATGCACAGGCGCATGGGAGGGTCGCAGATAGCGTGGTGGACGCGTCGACGCTGGGGTCCGATATCATCTCGGCTGTGGTCGCCCACTTGATGGGGAGCCCAGCGGTGACCGGCAGTATAGCTCCCGACAGACTCGGAGGCCCTGAGGCTACGGGGTGCAACAAAGCGGCGAGCTGCACAGACGGGCGAGGTACGGCACCGCGATGGTCTGAGGCTGAGATAAACCTCCTCCTGTCCCTGATGGACGACAGTCAGCCCTTGACTGAGGCAGTGGCGGCGGAGCGTTTACCTGGGAGAAGCTGGGCATCCGTGCAACAGAGACGCTCGATTCTCCGAAAAGACAAGAAGGCGGGAGACAAGAAGCGTAAGCGCTCGCCTCGATAGACTCGTTTGTACGTACTGTAGCATCTGAAATAGCAGTTGACTAATTCTGCTGCCTCTCTCTCCCTGTAGTGCATGTGCCTTCCCGCACGCTGATGATCCACGAACGGCCGAAAAAGGGATCGCCAAGAAGACCCTCCAGCCCCGCCCGGCTCGTACCGCTGGCTTTAAGATCCGCACCATTCGCCCCGTCGAAGTCTATCACCACCACCACAACCACAACCACAACCGCTCCGACGACTACCACGATGGCCGAACCCAACCCAGCTGACATGTCGCCGGAGACAGACGCGCCGTGCTTTCTCGCGATGGAAGCCCACCTAGCAAGCCTAGCCAACCTTTGCCAACCTCAACCCGTCGCCCAAGGCAGACCCGTCGTTCTCCAATCTCTCATCTCTGTGCTCGTTCGCGGCAGGTGGCGAGATCATGAGTGGTTTCCGCCGTGAAGTACAGCTGATCTTCTCGAAGACTGCAAATCGAGGACGATGTGGGCCAATCGTCCGGGACGTGATGTTCGCCGCGCACCACCCTATGCTCAAGGGGTCAACCGCCCGCAGCCTCCTCAAACGGGCCTGGGGGATTCTGATGGGAGCAGGCCTGGAAGAGCTGCTGATCCCCGCCGGGATGGCGGTGGCCCATGGCCTGCCGCCCTTCGAAGCAACTGAGCTCCTGACGGACATCTGGAATGGTTCTGCCCCGTTTGGATGGTCTGTCCAGTCAGTGAAGGGCCCACCGAGCGCCCGTATACCCCGTGGACGGCCGCCGTCAGCCTACCCCCTCGCCAGGCAGCTGGTCGCGCTCCTCGCCAAGTGCGGCCATGACGCTTCCATTTCCGAGGATGTCGTGAGAGAGTTGAAGGCGGAGTATGCCAAGTTGCCGTTCGCTCTTATTGGCGAAAAGGACGCCTGGATTATCAGGGAGCTGGGCGAAGATCTCCCGGAATCGCTCTTCAACACAGGATTACTTCGTCTTGATCTGACGGACCGCGGGACCGACCACCCAAGCAGCTGGTACACCGCACCGTCGATCGTTAAGTTCGCTGGCCCAGCGGGTCCGCTGCCGTTTTTCGAAACTCTGCACGATCTCTTTGAAGCTAGGTGTGATAAGAAGTCGACGAGCTGTCCATCGAGTGGAAGGAGGCGAACACGCCGCCGGAAGGCTCCTGTTAAGTTACCATGTGCCTAATCGTTCATATATGGGAAATTACATTGGATATCATGTGATGATATGGTGGTAGGCGTGATTCTTCCATTATTAAATTGATAAGAAATAGATAACATAAATACAAAGCACGGTGTGCATTCTGGGGATTATACCCGCCCTGTCCCTAACGCCTCAGATCTCCCACGGCCGCTTGATCCTTCTCAATGTACCGTGGTTTGGGGGCTCTGTGATTGTAGCCGCCTCGTGCTGGGTTGTTGCTTGATCAGTTGCTTCAAGTTGCGTTGTCTCACTGTGAACCCCACCGATGTGCTGCTGAACCGCTTGCTCGGTGTGATGGCCCGTATCACACTGATTGTATTTACACCGGCCGCAGTTGAAAGATTTCCTGCCGTGGGACCTTTGACTATGCCGGTGAAGCTCGCCTTTGATGCTATAGCTCCGATCGCAGTGGCCGCATCTGAATGTCTTCTTGCCGTGGACCCGTTTCGTATGGCATTGAAGTCCTTTTTCGGAAAAACTCTTATCACATTGGATGCATTTAAATCCCTTGCAATGGACATGTTGCATGTGCGATTGAAGCCCATATTTGGAAAAGCTCTTATCACACTGGACGCATTTGAACCTCTCGCCGTGGACCCGTTGCATATGAGCCTGAAGCCCAAATTTGGCAAACCTCTTATGACACTGGACGCATTCGAACATCTTCTCGCAGTGGACAGTTTCAGTGTGCCTCTGAAGTTCACTTCTATCGGAATACTCCTGAGGACATTGGTCGCATTCGAACGCCGTCTTGACGTGCATTCGACCGATATGTTGTCGAAGCTTTATTTCGGTGTAAAAACTCTTGACACATGAGCCACATTTGAACGCCGGTTCGATATAGGTAGGAAGGATAATAGTAGTACGCCCGTACGTACTCGAAGTCATATGGGTTGAAGGCGCTGGAACCTTTAGAGCATGAGGGAAAGGGAAAGTTTGCGTTGGACGCCCAGTTGATGGGGGGATAGATATATTCCTACACTGTAACAACCCAGACCCAGTTCGGGGTTCTAGGACATGGCGGCCCGTATGGTGGTTATAAAAGTAGGGGCATGCGTATTCCGTAGCTTAGATTGACTTGAATTACACCTGCTTATAACGCCACAAATAAATTAGTGCAAGGTTGTGCATAGTCGATGAAGCTGAAGACAGCAGGGCCAAGAGAATAAGTTCCCAGGGATTGTAAAAGGGGAAAAGAAACATCGCGGTTTATTTGTTCGAGACAGACATTCTCTACCCCTTATCTACGCACCATTACCCTATAACCAAGGCTGAGAAATATGTGCCACGCAGTCCTTGCACTACAAGCAATTGTGATTTGCCTTAACCAGCAGAATCAACTCCAAAATCATATCCAACGAGAAGAGTTGAATGGTATCCCAGACAAATATGAGATGGGCCTACTGAGGGCGATCACTATCTGATTCTCTATTGAAAGACACAATACTACAAAATATGCTGCGGCCGTACCCATCATCAGCTCCTTATAGGATGTGACTCCTCATTATTGAAATGGTACACCGAGTAGAAGCGTGGCCTTGTCAGATAAAGGTGCCTCCGTTTCATACAACCAGTGCTGGTGGTTCAGTCACGTGCTGCAGGGGTCCTCTTCGGAAATTTCCAACGAAAGGACGGGTTTTTGCCCTTTGAGTTACGTAACTTAGAGGGTAACATCTGGCTCCCTGGTTCAGTTGGCTGAGATCCGTCAGTTCAAAGCTACCTATAATAGATTAAATAGAGTCATGCTGAAATCTCAGTCGACTAGTTTTGCTGTCTTTCCCTGTAGGGTATGTGCCTTCCACCACATTGGGCCCACCAGTGACTAAAGAGCGCTCTGCCAAGGCCTCAGAACCCCTCAACCCGGCGCGTACCGCCAGCTTAAAACCCGCCGCAGAACCCGTCAAGAGCTTAGATGCTGCCACCGCGGGCCTGACCAGCGTTATGGACGCACCAGGCACGGCCATCTCACCGAAGGCAGCTGGTCTAACGCAGACAATCCAAGGCTCGACGGCCTCACCGTCCTTTACTCCTTACACTCGGCCGCCCAGACGCCGTTGCCGACCGGTGCGAGTCACTAACTCTCTCTACGAGGGGGGTATCATAGGTACACTTTGGTCCCCAGCCGCACCGACTTTCTCGTACAGACCGCCCGCAAGGCAGCTCTGCTCCTTATACACCCTTCCAGATTCGTGTTAAGCGTGAGTGTCCAACGACCGTTCAATATAGTCCATGACTGTGAATATGTCCACACCCGATTTGGGACTCCATGAGCCCCAAAAATCCAAGCAAGTATAGGTGAATAGTTTTCGGCTATCAAAGCAATTAAGTATATTGTACAGGATATGACCCGGAGAAAGGAACTTGGATCTTGTAGAGGTGTAAACAAAATAAGCTTGTAGCCATGCTGATCAAAACCAAGCGCGTCCAGATAACGCTCCGCGTAGGCACTAGGATATATGGAGGTCATCTCTAGCGATTAGCCACTCTGTGTGTAAACAAGATGAGACGACAGAGTATTCGATTGACCAATACTCTCCGCCGTGGATTGTAGCATGATATCGCTTCAGGCCGTATTCGGGCAGCTTCGCAGAACACAGCTCGCACGGTGCCTCGTTATGAGTGAGCCCTCTTCACATGTCGTCGAAGCTGTGGCTGATAACTATAACTTTTAGGACATCTGTCGCACGGAAACATTTTCGCGCCCTGAGCGTATTGGATATGGATCTGGCATCTTTCTGCGGTTGAAAACTTTGAATCGCACTGTCTGCACTTGAATATTTTGTCTCCATGAGCCCCCTCGGTATGTCGTCGAAGATAGCACATAAATTTAAAGGTTTTCAAACACACTTTGCAGGTAAAATATTCCTTGCGGTGAACTCTGGTATGATGTTGTAGAAGATTTTCCTCTGAACCAAATATTTCAGAGCATTTTTCGCACGGGTGCGGACCGTCATTCCCTGTAGCTGCTGCTTCCGATACCCGGGGCGAGGCAGCAAACTGGAGGGTGCTACAGCGCCTGATTCGGAGGTACCCTCGGACCATTGCGATAATAAGTCGAGCAGCGCGTGTTTCGGATGACTTTGTGTAGAGATCGCACAGATGAGATTTTAGCTCTCTATGTTGTATCACGTGGATGGCAAGCCTCATGAGATCGGTAAGGTGAGATATGTTGATGCTCACAATATCCGGGTCCTTACCTATCGCTGATCTTGCAACAACTCTATTATCGTTATCAGTTAGGGATATATTCGCTGGTAACACCTTTGACCCTTTCCACTCACAGGTATAGAACGTCTATTTTCTCCGGTCTAGGTCCAGGATCCCTATGATTCAGAAGAGGAACGATAACCGCCGACCTTCGTGGTTGCTGAATCAATATCACCGACACCAACTCTGGAACCCCGCAGAGCTTCCTATCCGTATAGATCCGCCGTGTTGTCCATTCTTGTCTTACCGCAACGGCATCGTGGTCCATCAGCATCCAAGCCACGGTCTCTTCTGGAGGAGCCGATGAATCCACGCTCACCCGTTCGGTCTTCAGATTTTCGGGGAGTATAGAGAAGAAGCAGTGGCCGGTTGGCTGGAGGCGGGTATCGCGCTCGAACAACCGGTAAGTGTTGTCTACCATCTCTTCGTTATCATGCGGGCCGCGGCCGTTGAGCTCAGGAGCGGACGAATGATGGGTCGTACCTTGGAGGCATATCGTCCAAGGGCACCCCTTATATATTGGGGAAACGAGTTGTCTAGGCTGGATATCTGGAATGGCTCACACGGTTTATTGAATTGCGACTAATTACCACGCCACATGTCTCGCATAGGGCCCCTGATACCCAGACAATGATAGCCCAAAATAATATAGAAAATAACAGCTAGTAATAAAAATATAGGAAACAAACAGGAATGTACCCTACCCCCTAGATAACAGTCGAAGCTAGAACTTGATTGCATCCGGGCTTGAGGCGCCTGCATGCCGCTACTATCATGGTTTGCCAACAACGGAATAGCACAGGACGGAGGGATGAGGGGGGGTGTTTTCGAGACATAAAAGGGACGAGATACCCCCCAAGTTCTGAGGCCAGAGATAAACCTTCAACAAGATCAATTCCAATCTCCCTACTGTCAACAACTCGCTGGGTATCTCGCTTTATAACGGACAATGATGCGTCCCGCATCAATTTCAATATCCGAATCTGGACGCATTTATCGTCTCGCCGTCCCTGCACTGCAAGCAATTGTAACTCACCTTGACCTCCGGATCGAACGTGAAGAGCTGAAAGTCATCGTGGACGAGCTTTCCCGTGATAGAATGATGCGGCTCGAAGCGGTTGTATGCCAGTTTGGCGCAAATCTTGCCAAAGAGAAACCTTCTGCGGAGCTGATCCAGTTTATGTCTGGGCCTGCAGCTAAAAACGAAGATAGAGAAACTTATCTCCAGGGAGCAAGGGATAGTTGGGAGATCATGTCTGGATGTGATGAAACGGCCCATGAGTTCGCTATCAATTTTGATAGTATCAGAGTACGTCATATGAATCCCCCTAAAAGCACTTATGCTGACCACGGAAAAGATTACGTTGATACAACGGATTAGAGACCTTGACAAGAGTAAAGGCGACATGCAGAGCGATACGATAAAGGGAACAGATACCAGCACGCAAGAGTATCAAGACTTCCTTGAATCCGAAGAGAGAGCCTCTGGAAAGAAGCTTGCTATCGCTGACGATGGTACGTTTCTCTATTGAGAGCCTTCACGAGAGACTACAAGGTCTTTTTATCACAACGCTGGCTTCTGACGAGGATATTATAGAAGCTACCGAGTCTTCAAGACCGTCTACTCAATGGAACCATAAGAAATGCAACTGCGTGTGCAACTGCAAAAACAATCACTCTGTAGAGCTGTGTGTTCCCATCAAGCATCCCTTCACGGCGAAAAACTGACTATTATAGATTCAGATGCATGCCTTGTAGTCTGGGCCGCACAAAGGAGTGCGCGCCAGCAACATCGTAACTGACGATTGGTCTGTCACTGTCAAGGCTTCGATAAGAAGACTTGAGGAACGAATTGTCAAATCCCAGGAATAGATAGCTCCTCCGGCGACCGGGCTCGCATAGATTCAGGGTATCAGCATGTCCTCGGATTCAGGCAGCTGGGGAGGTGGGCGATTTTGAACCATTGTTTCTGTAATTAAGTCCAATTCAAGCAGTATATCTTTAAGAATGAACTGGCTAGCCTCAGGAGGAATATTCGGTTCCCAAAGTAAGAGATCACCCAACATGCACGTAGTAATCATACCATGCAGCAATAGATGCAGAGAAACCTGGCTGCGTCATGCAGAGGGTCTGTCCTGCGGCTTAGGCACTTCTCGCAGGTTCCAGGTTCCATGGCCAAAAGGAGATGATGAAACGAGCGGGTATAGAAGATATTCGAGGCCAGGGATCTGGCTTGGAGCCGTTACAGGCGAACGACTTGATTAAGGATAGATAGGCATGTCGTACATTCAAAAGCGTCGCGAGGAAAGCACCGTCGTGCGTGATCACGTGCAAAAGGTTCCAGAACCGTCTGTTGAACTCAAGATTATACGCTGACACAGGCGACCCTTCAATGGGGTACATTGGCACGGAATTATTCCCACGGCTTCCCCTTTCCCATTCTCAAGCTTTAAAACCGAAATATGACACATTATCCACTTGAACTATTTAACTAACAGACTACTAGTGCACCCACTCTTTGATCGTACTCCCATTCTCAAAGTGACGCGCGACATGAGTATTTCTTTCTGATATAGCTTCGAAACCCTTCGTGGTATTGGAAACAAGCTTCTTGCAGAAGCCACACCAATAGCGAGTGTGGTAGTCGCCCCCCATATAATTTTCCACGCCGCATTCCCTCGGGGTATCGTCCATACCATGCTCATCCCGGCGATGCTGTTCAAAAAGGTGCATCGAGCGAAGTTTCTTGGCGCAGTCTCCACCGGCCTCGTTGGGTTCGCGGCACCGCCATCTCTCGCCGATATTATCATCCTCATCTAGGTGGGCAAACTCGTGGCGACTCCAGTCATCCTTGGCATCGAAGAGCTTACGGCAATACGTGCAGCCATAGACTGGAGCTGGCGCTTTATCGATCTGCCAAAGGCGGACTTCACTATAAACCGTTAGCTTCAGCCAAAGGTTCACAGTATTGGAACTCATACCAAACTAGAGCCGCGTTGGGCGGTATACACCCGGGGAATCCCCTAAAAGTATAAGCATGATGCCTTCAGAACCGGGGAGCATCTTACCTGTCACCATATGCGCATTCACTTGATACCTTGGGTCAGCTAACGAGTCATGCCGTTGCAAACATAGATGGGAACACAACCTACCTAGGAATGGTCAAGATGCACCGCTCATCAAGTTTCATACGCGAAACCCCCTCTTGAAACCCTAGGGAGAGAAGACCATCTTCAGTACTGTACTTAATCGGGTGGTCGATGTCAACATACCGGGAACAACCTTTTCATCCCCAATGCGAAATATGAGATCGCCCGGCTGCCCTGGGAGGACAACCCTATGAGAAAGGTCAATAATGTCTTCGAAGAGTGTCGGTAGCAGGGAACTTACTGCTTCCCTTTACAATAGTTCTCTGGATTTCCAACATCTTCAAGGTAGCAAGTATATGCGACCTTCACCTCGTCGTTTTCAGTAGGGAAATCACCGCTACCCCTTTCAATAGTGACCTTGGTGACGACCATGGTGAAGATTTTCGAAAAAAATTTAGTTTGATTCAATTTGGGAAAGTAGTCTAAGGCTTGACTCAATCGTGGGCAGTGAAGGAGCAGGAGGATGCCGCATTATATACACGGCCAGCCCTGCTTCCGCAGGATTCTAGCTACGCACAATGGCCCGGAACCAAAGCTGGCATGCGGCCCTTCCCTTGCTGATCTACTCCGTATTGTGCATTCCTATGTGCACGCTCCGGTCATTTGCAGTATTCCACGAGATGGCAAGGAGTAGGTGGTGCCAGCATGAGTAAAAGGCCCATGTAGCAGCACAGATATTGTACGGAGAAGTCCGGTCGGTCATGGTGTACGATACAGAAACGGTTGGCAGAAGGAAGAAGAGAAACAAGCTACCAACCAACGCAAAGATTCAAGGGCCTGGACCAAAAAGAAAAGCTGCAGAGGCCAACCCTTGCTACAAGCTCGAATCCCTACGGATGCCTTGATGCGGATATTCAAGCGCCATCCGGATGGGCAGCGGAAATGTGGCTTGAGAACATATACGTTATACGGCGTCTGAGTCCCCAATTGGACAGCTTCCCACAAGCGATCCCAAGCATCCAACCGCAGGGCAGGTACATATGCAACGTCATAGAATGTTAAGGTAGGTTAGTTAACTACATGATACTTTCTATCTCTTGGCAGCTCTTGATGAAAAGCCGTTCCCCCGACGCCATCAACCTGCCAGCCCCCACCACACCGTTTCCTGTGCCTATTCCCGTGGCCGTACTACCTCCCGATATCGTCTGTTAGTATTCACGCGCAAAGGCAGTGGCGCACGCAGCTGATATGCCTGAGGGTCGGTTGTTTGTGCGCGGGGATTACGCTCTGGGGGGGGCAGATGTTGGGGGACACCGCCCGGAGAACAACTGTACTGGAAGCTGGTATGGGAAGGTATCAGGCCCATTTCTGTGCCTTTTCCACCCTTCGGATCGGGGTGGGGAGGCGGGCGGCGGGAGCCGTCCTTCAAACCCGGTGGATACGGACTCGGGGACGCGGCTATACGCTCGGAAGCTGGGTCAACAGGTTGAATCACCCCGTCGTCGCCGCCTCTGGGCCTCTGGGCCGGTACGGAGGTCGATACGGGTTGATCCAGGGTCGTTTCCTCAGGTCTGTTCTTAGGGCAACGGCGCCTTTTGTGATGGCTGAAACGACTTAGATTCGAGAACCATTGGTTGCAGCACCTATACCCGTGCTTAGGGTTCCAATCATTGCAAATCCGTTTGTGCCTCTCCAAGTTTCGGCTTGAATAAAGCGGCTTCTTACAGATATTGCAGGTGTACCGCCTGTTGTGGTAATTAATATAGTTTTGGCGACCACTGGCATGGGTGAACAATTGATTGCAGTCGTGACAGGGATACCCCTTGGGTTGAGTCTCCTGATCGTTCCTCGAAACTTGGGCCGCCATTTGCTCGTAGGAATATCCGTCCATGCTGGCACTTCGGTGGTCCGAAACAAAGTAGCTTAGTACGGGCCACCGATCAGCCAAAGGTCTGTGACTGGCAAACATACCTTGGGAACTGAGTCAAAGCCAATCGCAGCGCACTCAGGCACAGGTCGAGCGAAGGCGCTGTGGTTTGTGGATGGGTACTCCGTACACATGTGGAAAAGACGGACTTACTCTCCTGAAGGCAAATGAATTAGAGGCATAATCTTTTAAATAAGTAGACTGCTAAACGATGATCCTGGCTTGTTAGCCTTAGGCGATCGCGGCGAGCATCGTGTGCTAGGGTGCTCCCCAAATGACACGCGCCTCCCTCAATGGGGCTGTAGAGTAATATCATCAAGCCATTTTGCAGAAGCAAGGTACCGACTTAGATTGCCCTGGTCTCACTCGGCGGTCCGGGATGATCTCGAACACAATGCGCCAATAGCCATTTGTAGTTGCTGTGGCTTTGTATACAGCCCTGGGCCGTCCACTCCGCCATATTGGACACGAGGGTCCCAGACCGGGGAAGCGCCTTGGAATCTCCTTCCCCAGGGGTGTTGGCGTTTGCGGTTGCAGTCCCTATTTGCTTGCTTGAAGCTTTGGATAGTAGTTACTTATGATCACCGGTTTATGGTGCAACTTCCCTTGTAGTCTAGTTCTAGAGACAATCACGTCTAGATTCTTTAGAATGGGATATAAAGGCCGTGGATTTTCTGGCCGTCGTCGTGCTTTACCAATCCCATCTCCCTCCCGATCGAGCATCTATACTTATGATCCCAAACACCTATCCTCTCGAGGACGCCCGCGGAGCATACGATACCACCGGCGTACCCAAGCCCCAACCGCCGCCAAAGCGATGAAGCAGCCGCCAAAGCGCCGCAATAAGCTACCAACGCGTCGTGTCCGGCCAAAGTTGCACGGCTCCATGCCTGGAATGATAGAATGTGTTTTACCATCCCGCAGGCCTCCGAACCGCAACGAGGTCCCAAGCGAGCCCGCTCTCGATAGTTCCGTGTTCCTGGACCCAGACGACGCAGAAAACACGCGTCTTGGGCTTAGCCAAAGATTCAACGGCGTAGCTGCGAAAAAGCCATCGGCCCCACAAGACGTGCGCAAAGCCTTCCTCAAAAACGAAATGGTTGGGGAAATGCGTCTAGCTATGTGCATTGAGCGGTGGAACAACAATGAGTGTATTTGTCGAAATCCACAGTGCATGGAAAGAAAAGAGAGGCACCCCAGGTGTCGAAAGAGCTCGAGCGTCAGCACCGAGGGCGATACCTGGATTGACACAGGGTTCTCGGCGTGGTAGGTAGCAGAAGGGCCAGCGAGCAGGTTGGCATATATACGTGGATCTGTCAGTTGTTTCGGGATGTAATATAGATGACAGCGGCTTCATACAAAGTTGACTGAGGATGCTTGTATGATATATAATACGTTGAGCGTGGATAGTTGGTAGAGAAGCTGGGAGCTGATAACTTTTGATATAGAGGACGTATGAATGCGCAGAGGAAGACACATTCACGGACGCTATGGAGCATTTAACCGCCCGGAAGTCAAGCGTGTGGGTCAGATGACAGATCGACGCCTTCCCTATTACGTAACACGAAGTGAGGCTCATCGGAAACCTTCGGCGAGGGACATGCATCTTTGTCACACAGGACGGTAACGAACGAGAGGATTGAAGGCAAGCAAGCAATAACACGTTTTCACTCGCAGTACGTATAGCAGTAAGGGTTGTAGTATTCCCCGAAATAGAACACCACCGGGCTGGATGGTAGTAAAGAACAAGAGATATCGGAAACCATTCTGTTAAAACAGACAAACGAAGAAAAATACACGTGCCACTTCACGAGATATACCGCCAGCCCGACGGGGTAGGTTGCCTCGAGAACTTATTACAAAGTTTATCCCATTTTTCCTGCCGGGAGCTTCGAAGGTCCATAAAAGAACCGTGCGCCGCCTGTGCTCTTTCGTCCGCGCTTGGTGGGTTCGGCGGGTGACGTGGATCGGGTGTGGAGCTACCGATTTGCTCGCACTCGTATGGGGCGTAGCTATTGAGGTGCACCACATCTGTTGATAGTGCGTCCATTCTTGGGGAAGGTGGGGGCGGTTTGGGTAGAGCTGTACGTTCCGAATTCGCCTCAAAGTAGGGGGTAAAGTCGCATGGGCAGCCGCCGGTAGACATGGGTGGCGGAGGGCAGTATTTGTCCGAAAGGAAAGACGATCTTTCGTTCGACCCTAACGATGGAAAGGCATGTCGATATTGGATAGCGTAAGGGGATGGAGGCTGCTCGGCCCGCCAAGGAAAGCAGCAGAAGATATCAAATGTGGACATCTTGTCAACTGGACCGCCAGGCGACGAAGATAGGAGATCATGTGTGGGCGCAAGGCTGGGAGGCACCGTCGAGGGAAGGATGCGAGGCAGAAAGGCGTCCAAAAACCCGAGAGCGGTGAACTTGCTTTATAGATCGCATCCAAGATCATGGATAGATAGATCTGCCGTTTCTTGATAGTAAAGCCGAAAGTGCTGGGCCGTTTGCGAGTCGGCAGAATGGTCTGGGCCGGGCTTCGTACAGGCTTCGTAAGGTGGCCTTGAATTTGTGTGCTAGCTGCTATTTCGTTGATGATCTGCCCAAGTCACATCTCAGGCAAGCCAGACCAAGGATTCAATGTAAGTTTGGGTTTGGTGGCGGGGCCACTTGTGCGTGGATATTCCGGCCCCCCCCGGCCCGCCCTCCCGTGTGATTATTTTACCCCTTTACTAGACCCAAAGGAGGCCTGAACTTGTTCAGGCCTCCTTTGGGTTTAACGCCAAAACTGATTCTCCAGGATTCATCGCTTGGTGCGCAGTTACTGCGCAGCGATATTATCATGCCACAGGTTCTGGACATGTTTTCACAGCGACTCTTTGTCTTTGAGGGCGACGTGGATCAATATTGCGGATTTCTAGAGCGAATGCTACTTATGAGACTTGGACCTCCATTGCAATTTCTCTCCGATCTTACCGCAACTCCAGGCAAGCAGATCCGCCTAGCTCAAGATGGTTCAATTTCTGCGATCGAAACAAATCGCCCTCCCCAAGCTTCCTACCATCGAACCGAACGTAGCCTTATTACCACAAACGAGCCCGATGCGGGAGACAAAGTTCCTCTGGAATTCATTTTTTACGATCCAACTATCTCTCCCGGCCCGCCAAAACCCGCGCGGGATGACGGTAGGTGGAGAGCCCAGCTGAATCGCTTTCTCTCCGATATTCCGAACGCAGATTCTTGGAGCACGTCTGGAGCCATTACTTTCGAGGAGGTAAACCGGCTACTGCTTCACAATGAGGTTTTGTTCGATGATGAAGGGGGCGAACAAGATGGGAAAGCTCGGGTTGTTGCTGCTCCTACTTTTAACCACTCGTGCGAAAAAGAGATATATGACTATGCTGCGTATACCTCCCGAGCGATAAGGAAGAACGCCACCATCAGACACGTACTATTATTCCGTGCTCTCATCGTATCCTTGACGTGTGTTGTGCTGTTGGAGGCTGGGATCGAACCCAACAGTGTCAACTCGATACAAAGGGCTTGTATTTGCGACGATGGCGCAGAGTTAACCGATATAACTCTCGTGGAGTATCGAAGAGGAGGAAGCTGGGCTTTCAAATGTATGCTGGAACTTATGGCGCAAGGTTGGGGAGACAGGGCCGCTGAACTTTTCTACAGGTGTATGTCTCCATCCCGCAAATTACATGGCTCAAGGCTAGATAGCTAATGACGGATAGATGGTCAAACCCCCGCACAATACAAAACTATCTGTGCAAACAATAAGAGCGTGGAAGCTTTTATCATGGGAGTCAAAGCGAAAGGAAAACCTGTACCATTGGGTGACGATCAGATGTGCATTTCCATTCCTTGTTTGGTTAAGCGCCAGGTTGGGAAACTTGTCTCGTATGTCCGGCTCCCTCACCTTATGATCCTGAACTAACGGTGCTTAAGGCTTGAGGATATCTGTAAGCGGTTTTCCCACAATTACAACGACACCCTCCGGACATACGAGCGGTTTTACGCTCCGAGGTCGGACAAGGAGACGGCATATCGCAACCCTCACCGGGCCAATGGTCCAGGCGACTATGTGCCCAGCCCCGAGGGGGTCAACTCGACAGGAGATGGAGGCGGGCCATCCTACGAAATACCATCTGCCGGGTATGCGTCAAGTGGCGCGAACACACCTGCAGAGGATCCTCCTCTCCCTTCACAGGGGGAGACGACGGCTCGCTCCAGCATCAACGACAGCCCTGGAAGCACCGCAGAGGCTCAGTGCTCGCCCTCGTCGTCATCAGGCGGGTACGAATCCGATCCTAGTGGCTATGGACCTCACCCTGAAGTCGGCTCAAGAGGTCGCAGCGAGGCAGCCTTCCCCACCCCATCCCCCGAAATGAACCCGAACACCTATAATCCCCGGGGGCTGGAGGCGCTTGCGGAAGCTGCCGAGACTCGCGCGAAGGAGACGAACAAGCAGAAACGACCCTACCCGGCGGGCAATAGTAGCCAGCGCCGAGTATCGCAGCGAAGGAGATCAAGCGAGGAGACAGAAGGTAATGAGCCCATACAAGCGTCCTAGAGAATCAATTAACCTGTTGTGTAGGCGACGAGTTTTCCGCCAGCGGCACTCCCACATACCCCCCTATGGAGGAAAGTTCGGCAACAGAAACCGGCCGGCACGAATGCCCAGATCCGTTAGGACATAGAGTGGATGGGCAGATGGAGCGAGGTAATAATACATTCTTCATGCATTGTGCATCTTGGCTAATTATAGTTAGACGATACGCTAGCTGCGTCGGGTGTAAATGCAACTGTGACCTGTGCCGGAAGGGAAACGAATCGGGCATTGGATCCTTCTATTGTCAATCCACAAGAATTGAATGCCAGTGAAAGTGAGGCAAATTCAGCAAGAGCACGTGAGGTGGCTCTATTCGCTGAACAAAGTGAGTAACCCAGTTGATTTAAAGCTTTATGGTACTGACATGGTAGATACAATACAAAACGACCCAGAGAACTCAGATACTGGTATCTTGATGCCAAATCTCATGAAGGATACAGACATTTCATTGAAGCCTTTAACTCTCAGTGGTAAATTTGAAACCGACGTTTCAACTGCACCATCGATTTTTATCCAGGGTATACTTGGCCCTTCAGATATTTTCGATTAGAGAAGAGCAATAATATCTGCTGGCTCAGCACCAGGGTTCAGCAACTCCTTTCTTGTAAGGTGCGTATATTCTCCAAACCTTAGCGGCTTATTCTCGATATATGCTGCGTTTCCAACGTTGGCTGGGATTATGTCTGCCGAGCTGGGAGAAAAGATAATTGTCGTTGGCTGGTATATGCGCCACACATTGTATTCCTGTTTGCCCTGGGGTAATGGGTTAGCCGGGTTTATTATTTCTTAGAATATTAGATTTACCGGTATAGCACCTAGGGCAAATAATAGTGGCGCAATGGCATCATGTAGCTCGTTTGTCGGGGTAAACTTCGCGGCAGCCTCCCCCTCTTTCCTTTCCTCTACCTTTGCTCCCCGAAGGTATATAGAAAATTTGAGAAGCAAGTCAGTTATCGTTTCATCACCGGATTTAGCGAGATTCCTCTGTTCAAGGTGATCGATTGATGGTAGTAAGCCCATTTTGATGGCAATATTTTAGAAATTGCGGTTAGGGAGGTATTTATTATTCTCGAGACAATTTATGGAGGGGGAAGAGGGGCGGTTCCGAGGCACGTGTGCGTTTTGCCGGCTTGGCATGTCTGCTTTGGAGATCATATATGGTAGGGTCGGTTGAGCGACTTTTGCCAAATAGTGGTTGTCCGTCTCAAAAATTCCACCATCTAAGCCTGACGCATCGATACCTAACATATTTCTGCCTTTCCATCGGCCAATATGTATCCTCGATGCAATCGCTGGCCTATCTGCACCACTTACCCCCTGGTACTTGAAGCCAATCTGTCTGCTGCGGGTCAGTCGCGTCGCCCTTAATGTTTCGGCTCGAATGCCACACATTCTGACAAACCTTATCAGGCGGAAGGCGGTCATGTTTTGAACTCGTCCAATTGAGATTTGCAGACCAAGTATGCAGAGCAGAAGCCTGCAAGGCACCATATGGAAAAAATCCTACGTCTCAAAGGGGCGATGAGCTTGAAGCTACTGAATCGTTCAAGGCATAAAGGGAGCAAAATGCCGCCCAGTTTATCCACAAGGCAAAATATCAGCCTATGATAAATCTTCAACTCTCCTACTCGCGCGGTGATACTTTGCCGGACACATAATTCATTCCCCATGCAGTTCCTATCCTTAGACCGCCACGATGATGGTCAAGACAGCCCTCTTTCTCCAACATCTGGCCCGCCTACAGTGGTAGACGACGCCCCATACATCCGCACTCTCCTAATCGACCAACCGTTCACCTTGTGGCATAATCCGTCTGATCCACGAGACATGGTGGTGGCCAACCGCGCCTCATTCCGAAAATTTCTTGAAAGGGGAGGATTCGGGTTGACCGTCGACGCTCCCTTGCTGGCGGTGGTGTTGGAGAAATACCAAAAGTCCTGGTCGAGTGCTTATCTCCCGCTACGGTTTATCAGTCTCCGCAGAGCCATGCTGTTGGAAAACGAGAGGGAAATTGGCGGCGACATGAAGAGATACTATGGCCAATGCCTCATTGCTGGTTGCCTGAGAAGAAGGCGGAAAATACAGCTTGACGACAAGTACCAGCATAGCAGGGATGGGACATTCTACGACTGCCGACTTGAACGTGCTCGCTTTCCTCGCGAAGGCAAGATGAAATACACGTTGGATTTTACGGTGTTCTTACACACGAGCAATATGAAACGCGATATGAGACTACGGGTATGGGTGTTGGAGAAGGACATATGCGGGCTGGAGAATCTGGGAATCCATCTACACACTTCCACCCTTAAGCCCCTGGAAGGACGTCATTGTGCATGCCTAGATAGCAGGTGAACGACAGGCCATCCCTTGTGTATATGGCGCGAGCCGCGAGAAGCGTCAATCTATAAATTATTTTCCATTTGCTGGGCATCCTCTGCCTTTTGTCCAGCTTAGGGAGATCCTTTGCTTGTGGATTTTTCCTTATCACTGATCCCATAAACCTTTCCCACTTTTTTGTCCTAGCAGCAGATTCAACAAGGTTATCCTGCAGACCATATACTTTTGTTGTTGTATACCGGCCGACTTTTTATATTGTCCTCTTACTTTTTAAGTTTTTGTGAAGTAGAGCCCGATTCCTTTCCCGGTACTCTGAGACAACACAAATTTACACGACTGCTCTTCAAATCAACCTCTAGATTCCGTCACCCACTTTTTAGGAGAGAGGGGACAAGCGCAAGCGGCCTCCCCGATAGTCCTACCGGTACTTGCACTGTGTGGTCCTTGAGCAGAGATACATTATCCAATTTCTCTTCATGCTTCTATGTAACGAGAAAATATCAAGTAAACCTGTTTAGGTCCGATGAGTTACTAAGGAATTCACGAGTAACTTATTATTCGGAGACCCAGAGGGCGCATCCTTTTGGGCCCAGCGGCTTAGTACAGAAATTAATGAGTATTTCACTAACTCCTTATGGCCGGACACGCAGACGGACAAGGAAACGAAGCTCGCGTCGAGGCTGGAGTACAAGGCCGTGAACGAGTTGGGTGGAACCCTAGTTATAGGATTGAGGTGGAACGACTGCAAAACGAGGGCCTCAAGCCTTGTCCCAAACATCCGTCGTGGTTAACCAGTACTCCCCCTTTTCTTGTATATAAACCCCTACGACTTCCTATCTCGATGGCTTCCTGTATCAACACACCGGGTTAAAAACAGACTAATTGCACATCATGCCTGCCTACCGCCTATCCGAGTCGGAGCGAGACACGGGGTCCAACCCCCATAGTTTCAAGGTTTTCTGGTCCGTCGTGGATAAGGAAGGAACCGTCCTCTTAGGGAATTCAAAGCATACATGGTATAAGCTCGGAGACGAATCGTTGTACCGCGAACCGGTAGCCCAAGTAATGGAGGTCGTTGGCCGTGCAAATATAGCGGTTAACGCAGCGTATCTTATAGAAATACCAAGGTTAGTAATTATTAACTCCAACCTCTACCCCGCAGCGAAGTCACCTTGCTTATACCCTTCTGCGCGTTCTAGCTTTGACCCGACGGACCCGACGTTGTAAGCTCCGCATTCTATTCACGTTGGCCTTGATTGGCACTGACCGTGCAGGGTAAAGGTATTTATACGTATCTGTGACGGCAAAAAGGTTCAAGTGCGGTGTGAAACAACAAGCATGCTTAAGAAAAGCATTCCTGAGCCGCGTGCAGTCGAGTGGAGTGGAGAAGTTCCTCAAGTGGAAAAAATGGCACGAGGCTAGAGTGAACGGTTCGCCGGATAAAACTTGCGACCAGCAGTATACCGAATATGATGAGATTCGTGCCTGGCAGGATCTGAGCCACGAGTTCGATGATGATTTTTGCCAGAGGGCGTTTGAGTCACGGGACTGCCTGGGTGCTAGGTTGGTGGATGGAGAGATAGCCTCCGAGGCTATGGCTTTGCGAAGCAAGTTACAAGAGCAACTAAACATGTAGCTAGATACCTAGGTAGGTAGCTAGAGTTTTACTCTCCTTCCACCTTTAAAATTACCCCTAGTTCTTTTCATTTCCGGCTTTAATTACGTAATATTTTACTCCTTGGCAAAATGTCACGGGTCAATAACCTCTAAAACAACTCTTGCAAAAAAGCCTTGGGAGCAACCCATTCATTACTCGACAAACCTAACGCATTGGTATCTAATTCCCATTCGCCTCCCCGCCTATTGATCACATTGTATCCTGTCACTTCTGTCCGCATTGCGCTATCAAGTCTAGGAGCCCACTATAACGATAAAAATCCACCAAGTCAAGCTCATTGACACTCCGTTATATTGATTACTTAAATGTGCAAACCGGCCAAGCCTATACACGTGGTCGCCTCGACCTTGCGATCACTTCGCCATTACTTTGTCTCACACCGCATTGTAAACCCTCCCATTGTGAACAAAACAGCCTTACTATCAATTTCACACATACGCCGCAGGTAGTTAAGATAAATCATCTCTTCATTATCATGGCAGAGGTATGTGACCTAGAAACTTGTTCTTTTGCTTAACCTGACCAACGCATAACTCTAGATGGGGACTTTGGCTTTGAAGGGAGAGTGGGAATATATCAAAACGAAGCTATTCAAGGAAACGAAATACCCACGACAAGTAACTGGAAAAGGAAAATTGATTCAAATATACGACCCAAATGCAGACATGGACTCTCCGCCCTACTGGGAATGGGATGTACTAGTGCTTAGTATATTGATGGCCAGCCAATTTAATCCAGAACCCTTGCCCCTATACAATGACAATTTGTTGCGAATCCTATTTCCGTGCTAGCGTTATCTAGTATCCCATATCTTATGGTTATTACATCGGAGCCAACTCTAATCAATGCTTCGTAGTAAAACGGGATCATCTTGGGGGCTAAGCCAGGACTCATGGGCAGCGGCATAGGATACTTTCCCCGCCCTAGATTATATAAAAGCTTCCTTATCTTCAGTAATTCCGCTTAAACCATCGTCAAACTGCAATCGCTACCCAAAAAGGACTAATAGAATCTACTTTTAAACTCCTTCAGACCGCGAAATCTTGTAGTCAACGATCAATATCGCTTTTGGTGGAATCACTCCGTGGGCTCTCCTGAAACGGCCAATAAGATAATCACGTGTTAGCTGAGGAGAGATCCATGTGTTTGCGAATAACGTGACTGACTGACTGCAACGGAAAACTTCCCGTTGGTCAATATCGCTGGTTGTTTCACGTGATAAAATTCGATCGACTTACTTTCTGAACGTCCCATCCATTAGAGAACAATCCCTTAATCTAGAAGCTAATTTTTTGACTGCTTTATAGCCGCCGAAATGCAAATGCTATATGACGATATATCTTGGGAACAAAGCGACGCGGTCTTTGACGCTTTTAAAAAGAAAGCGTCGAGTCCGGACGTTCTGATGGCGATCACCGAATTTATGGCAGAGAAATACCCGTCGTCTCGGCCCAACGATCGTGCTCGAATAATAGGCGTTGGTGCCTTTAATTTCTGCTACCGCATGGAGTTCGATGATGGATTTGCCTCCCTTCTGCGCCTCGCGTCCCCCGGACGAAGCATGTTTCCAGAGGAGAAGACCGAAGCAGAGGTTGCTGTTATGCGCTTCATCAAAGCAAATACCAGCATTCCTGTTCCAAATATCCTTGACTGGGGTATGCAAGCTCCCTGTGAGATGGGCCCGTATATCCTAATGGAGTTCGTCAGCAGTGCATCCAACCTTACGGCAAAGTTGAGGAAACCCGGCTATGCTAGAGAAGACCGGCCAATGCTTAACCCCGATATTGATGAACCGACTTTAGAGCTCTTGTATGGGCAGATGGCAGACATCATGCTTCAGCTGTCCAGGCAGTCCTTTAGCAAGATTGGCTGCCTGGCTGCTGGGCCTGACGACTGGGTTGTCACGAAACGTCCCTTGACGATGAATATGAACGAGCTTGTCCAACTCGGCGGCTACCCCAAGAATGCGCTGCCGTCATCTACGTTTGCATCCACATCTGACTATCTCTATAGCCTCGCTGAATCTAACTATACACATCTATCTACACAGCGTAACGATGCCATACAGTCGGAGGAGGATTGCCGCAACAAATACACCATCAGAAAGATACTGCTTAAACTCGCAGAAAAGTCAAAGCTTACGTGCGAGGATACTCCGGATCACCGCGAGTTCAAGCTTTTCTGTGACGATCTCCGGCCAACAAATATACTTCTCGATGAGAACTCCAAGGTCGTCGCCGTGATTGACTGGGAATTTACGTACACTGCACCCTCCGAATTCACATACAGCCCTCCATGGTGGCTACTTTTGGAGACACCAGAAGACTGGCCGTCGGGGATATCGGACTGGGTGGCCACTTACGATTCACGACTTAAGATCTTTCTTCGTGCAATGGTGTCTCATGAAGATATCGCGATTCGCGATGGACGACTATCTGAGGAAGAGCGACTCTCGGAAAGGATGTATAATAGCTGGAACAGTGGTGCTTTCTGGGTAAATTACGGTCTACGAAAAAGCTGGGCTCTAGACATCATCTGGCCCTACATTGACCGAAAGATATTCGGCGGGGAAGAAACACACGAGCAGAGAATAGCCTTGCTTGCGAGTAGAATCCAATTCACCGACGATGAGCATAAGGAAATGGATGCCTTCGTTCAACGAAAGCTAAGGGAATCCGAGACTAGGGCGCAAAACGAGTGGGATAAAAGTAACTGGCCTCAAGCCGGTGATGTTTCTCAGATGCGGTGAAGCTCTATGCACCTTAATACATACACATATGATACCAAGTCAAATTCTGTCATTATCGCAATCTAACACGTAGTTGGAGAAGGCAGCCCATGAACAAAGAGGCAGCCATTTCGTTCGGGATGGGGCACGGTACTTGGAAATGCGCATCCACGCCAACTGACCTCATTTGGCACTACTACCCTTCTCAGTCAAAGTTCAAGGGTTATTCGTGGGGTACTCACGATGTGTGCTTTTCTTCGTACTCTTTCAAAATTTGCCCAGTTATAGGCCGGCTTTTCTGCGATGATTCGCCAGACGCCTCGAGCTGGGCAACCTCAGTATCGGTTGGAAGTTTCAATGTAAGAGTGTTTTCTCGCTTCTTGCCTCGGGATGATTGAGACGCTTCACCGGATTTTGTTAGGTGCCGCGCTTCCTCCTCCGAAACATTCATATTATACTCTGTCGATGTCCGTGGATTCTCGGTCATATTGATGAGCTTTTGAATGAACTGCGAGTGGTAGAGCAAGTCAGTCTAAAGGTAGAATACTCAGAACATGAACGTTCAAGGTACTCTCGCGCCTTTTATTCTTTTCCTCTTTGTCAACCATGCCGCCCACCCTTGATTTAGGTGATGGTGACTCATATGTAACTTTACCTCGCCTCACGTATATGTATTTCTTGACACACTTGCTTGGCGAAACCATTTGCAAACTTACCATCAGACTATGCAGATTATTTATGTATTTTTTTCGAATAATACTTCCGGCTCCCTGCGGTATACAAGTGCATGGAAGTAACCCCAGGGTGGATGCAAAAAGCTCCTGTGTAGCTTTCGTCATCGACGCCATGCAGTTTCAACCATTTAAGGCCGCAGCCGTAGTGGTTGTTTTATATATCTCTACATATGCCGGTTGGCTGATAAATACTATCGTTTAAAAGCCGTGCAACTCAAGACCACGCCGCAACCCAAAAATGATGCAGAGGAGATTAGAATTCAGCCAAGCGTGTGAGGATATGACATCATCACCACGATGAACGTGAACTGCTCCGTTAAATGAATAACATGTTGTTCCCTGTCATTTTGATGACCGTGTGATTTGTGTGTTGCAGCGATACAAGCCAGCCAACGAGATGAGTTATTGTCAGACCCATCAACCTGTGGGGAGTGAAGATGATCCGATGCAGGCTTTTTTTGATTCGAACATACACCTCGTGCATTACAAATGGAGCAGATGTGCCAAAAGTTGGTCTGTTAAATCACTTTCTCGTTTCCCCGGTTGGGGCTTCGACTATTTGCCATGTGCTATGGAACCGTTGAATGAGGATGTCGTGGCTATATCCTGGAAACATCCGAAATTTGATGATACTCATGGGGCTCTATTCTTGCATCGCCCACATTACGGCAGGGTTATGAACTCAAATGGGTGCAAATGTATGTTTAGATCCTGAAATTCGCGCTTGCTAGGAAGCTAACTCCAATACACTCAAGACATGCAATACCTCTCTTGTGAAATTTCTTACAAAGGGTACTGGGGTATCCCGACGTCTCGGCCAGAGGAAAGGCTGGCCTGGTCAGGCTCCAACCGCGCGACCCCCGAGCCCATTAGTCGGATATTTTATGACCACGATAGATCCCAATTGTACTACTTTCACTTATCGTCTCTTATACACAACAAGTCTCAAGTCATTACGTTCCACCACTGGGACGAATTCAAAGTGAGCCGTATCTCACCCAACATATTCGCCGTTAGAATTCCTAACTGCCGAAGAACGCTGCAGCTTGAAGTCGGTGACCCTTTCTACCGGGCTCATCTACGAATAGGGCCACGAATAGGGGCGCAATGTGGGTGGTGTTGTCTTGCCTTTGGCGTTACGGCGTACAAACCGAATGATACCATGTTGACCACAGCGTATCTACTTCGATCTGACGGTCAATGCAGACAAGATAACTTCGGGTACTACAGCCATTCTGACGATGGAGAGGTTTATCCTTGCTGGACTGTCGTTGCGAAGCTACTAGATTTTGATCAAGTTGGCTCGCGTTCGGGTGGATTGATCTGTTATTCGAGACTTGGGACTCGAATTGCCGTCGCAAGTGGGAAGGGAGTGCATATCTGGCCCCTTGAACCGAATGAGGTCCTCAAGAGGAATGTTGATGGATACTATCCGCCTACTATGCAGTGCCGCCTGGCCGATCGGGATGAAAGTGACGTTATCGATAATAGTGGCAACGGCAATGCCAGTGAAGTGAAGCGTGATGCTAATGCACATCAAGGTTTGGTTGTAGCATTAAAGCCGATGAGCCTTGAGCTGGACGGAGATTGCCTCGCAATGAGGTTTCTCGATGGCGAGGATGATCTCAGTATCCTGACGGGTGCGGGACTTATGACTTGGAAACTTGATGCGTGGGGGACTGGATATAGATTGAGAGATTGGATTTAGATTTAAGGTCGCGGGAGCCAGGGGAAGTTATATGAGTATATATTAATACCTTTCTTTCGTTCAAAATCAAAGGGAGTGGATATTTGCACCCCCCCTGTGGCTATATATTGGAGCGCGCTAATGATCGGTACGATTGTGGCGTCTCTACGGGACACAGCGGAACGGCAAATCAATGCCTATAAGCCCAAGATACAATAGCAAAGAGCGAAAAATAGGCCTAATATCGATGAATGATGATGATGACTAGGGAAACAGGCCATATCTGGCCTCTATATATATGGGGGAAAGCGTAGCGTACGTATGAGCCGTAATCAAACAGATCTGCAGGGCGGGGGGTGGCGTTGGCCTGATACTGCCAAGCCGCCGTACACACGAAGATTCTGACAACAGGCAATATATCTAAGGGTTATATACACCCTCCGTTGCTTGAATATTATAGAGGCATATAACAAGTACAAATCGATATAACGTCACAAATTGGCAGTAATAAGGCTTCAAGAGGGTACAATTGGAGTTATATAACGTATCTAAGTAAAAATGTTACAATCTATATAATTATCACAAGCGAAAGATGACATGTGCACCTCCATCTACTTGTGTGATCCCAGGGGTTGGCCTACCACCTCGCGCGCGGCCTGCTCTGCTGCTTCTGCCCCTGCCTCTGCCACCCTGCCTCTCTGCCTGCCTCTCTGCCTCTATCTCTTGTTCCACCTGTTCAAACCGTGAGAGAATTCGACCAGTTGGACCAACAGCCTGTCCTCTAGGTGGTCTTCCTACTGGGCGAATTCTTTCAGGGTCCCGAACAAGGAATCGATAGTCAACAGGCTCAAAGTCTCTAGGAGCTTGAATATACCAATGGGGAATAAATTGGTTAGGCGTTAGAGATTGATTGGTAGCACGTAGTGGCTGTATAATATGTGCACAAGGTAACCCCATTGATGTAGTAAATCTGCCGGTACATGGTCGCAGAGTCCTGTTCATATTGAAGTATCTTAGATGCTCTAAGATAAGATCGAAGGCAAAAGGGGCAATAACTCCGTGGCATGCTGTAAAAAGAGCTATATTATGAGCATGGTAGACTTGAACCTTGCAAGCCTCGATCTCTGCATTAAGCTTGTCAAAATGAGTAGGAAGATAGCGAGCAATTGAGCGCAGGATATCTCGGAGATGGCCACTGGAATTTGGTAGTAAATCTTTGATAACTCTATGATATCCCTCTACCTTTAACGTTGCTTGATTCCCAAGATGTAGATATTGGTTAACCCAGGCAGGGATGATCTTCTCCTTGTGCTGAAGCCATTGGGTTGATAAATAGGCTATAGATACTGGGAGCTCGACCTCATACTGTAGTTTTAGAGATTGCCACTTATCTTCATAATCCGGGACTGTTATAGCATTAAAGACCTTGTTAACTTCTTGCTCTATCTCTTCCCATCTCCTATCCGTATGCTCTATAAGATCAAGCCCTGAAAATCCATATTGTACTCCCTAGCTGTAGATTTCCTTCCGAATATAGGCTCGAGTATCTTTCTTGACATGCCAGATACAAAGAAGATGCTTTGTATTAGGTAGAGTTTAGGCAAGAGCTGAGATAATAGCCGGGCTAGCATCAGTAATGATAGATGCTGGGTAGTCGATTGACAGAGGCTAGTATAGAGAGAGTATATATTGGAAGAGCCAGATAAATCCCTCTGTAGTCTCATTAATAAATGCACCGCCAACATAAAATGATTTGTTGTTTGAAGTATGGCTAACTATATTAACCAATAGGAAATAGAAGCGATTTGTCTTGTACGTAGCATCAATTATAAGGACATCTGGACTTTGGCGAAGATATTCTAATGATCTCTTATAGAAGAAGACCAGGCGAGTAACCTGGAGTTCATCATCGTATTCGTTGAAGGTAAGAAAGTCATCCGGAAGTTCTAGTAACATTGCTTAGATAGGAAGTCTCCCATTTAACTACTGGTTCCGTAGTCTCTGTCGAATATTATAGACATCCCGAAGTATAATATAAAGAGGTCTCTCCGCAGTACTTTGGACCAATACTAAGCTTTGGTTAGCATTTAAGCCCGCGTCTTCGTAGGTGGTAAGGCCTAGGACAACCTTCTGTATATCTCTTTGGTGATGGGACGGATGGGCAATAGGAGCAGATATTCCATGGTTATGGAAAGAATTCACACAATCAACGTGCCATTGACCGTCTCAAAAGACCAGCCTGGCGCGGAAGGGACAGCCAGTCTTGCGGGTACTGCACTTACGCCTCTGTGCTGGAGTTCCCTGGCTTTAAAGCCGTTGATACTTGCGATATGTCCCCCCCCGATCACATATCATATAAGCCCTTCGGTAATGCCCTAATTTTTTTCCCATTCGATCGACTAATAATAACAGCATAGCCATGCTCCTGGGCCCACGTTTGTGTATATAATTTTGCTTGTTCAAATTTCTCGAAGGATTTTGGTAGTGGGCCTGGCATAGATAGCCTCACTGGAGGTAAACCTAAAGGGGATGCTGGGAGAGATGCCGGTACAGGTTCGCTATCTTGTTGAATATCTTCATCATCATCCAGAATAGTAGGAACCATGGATTCTTCAGGATCAAGGGTATTAATTGGGTGGTCAACTCCATCCAATCCATCGGGGAGACTGTAGAATATGTCATCGCTTGATAATATCGTAGTTGAAGGCTCCATCTTTAAATGCGCGCTGGTGGTAGTATTGGTAGTGCTGGTGGTGGTGATGTTCTTGTTTGCACGTTAAAGTTTGAAGTGGAAAAGGAGCGCGTAGGTTGATTGGTTCCCCGGGACGGAGGTTATATTTTCCGGAGGAGGCACGTGATTTATATCACGTGCCCGTGGCCTAGTTGGTTAACCTCCTGGTCACTTCCGCCCAAAATATCTGGTATATAACGATACTGCCATATTACCTTGTTACGAACCCATTAGGTTGACGCCTCTGTGGTGTTAGTCTGGGAGGAAACTGCACACATTCTGATGCTAGATATTGTAGGCGTTTGGCACCTTTTTTTGCCTGTTTTTTCGTACCTAGTATGCTGGCAGTTCTATAGAGGCGTCAGATCCAGAGTCAGGTCCAGCACCACGGTAAATACGCCTGGGCTCGGCGTAAAAGGGGCGTGGGTTCGAACCGCAGGCAGGTCAACGTTTTTTTCATTATTTATTTGGTGCAGGCAGGCAGGCCTGCTCTACGATATAGATAGGGGTGTATATAACCAAATATATTACCTCTTGGGTTTAGCGCTGCTTAGTCATCTGGGTGGGTGCAGTTCCGCTGGATACCAGCACATGTCGGGGTGCTAGGCAACGAAGAGGCGGACCGATTGGCAAAGGAAGCCGCGAGCGTCGCCCTGAACCTAGGAATAGACACCGGACAGCCTCCAGAGTCAGACCAGCTACGGGTCTTGATGGCAACCACGAAGACCACCATTCGCCAAACGATGAAACGCGAATGGGAGACGGCCTGGGAAACGGCCAACCACGGCAGGGACCTCTTCAATCTTGGGGTCCGACCGGGAAAAGGGATCCTCGACACCCATAGAGGTACACACCGAGCGATCAGTTCGGCTATCACACAGATGCGTACAGGCAAGATCGGCCTGAACGCATACCTCCACGCCATTAACAAAGCCGACACCGACAAATGCCAATGTGGCTACGGGCCGCAGACTGTGCGGCACATCCTCCTGGAATGCCGAAACTGGGCGGACGAACGACACCGGATGTGGGCAGGCAAGCTCCCATGCGTGGATATCAAGCGTGTTCTCTGTAGCCCATCTATGGCAGTGCAAGCAGCCAAGAGTTGAATCCCATGTCACGTGATATACACTCTACTACAGTGGCTGCCTATTAGGCAGCCACCTGTCTAAAAAGTATAAATAGTTGTATCTTCTCCCGATAGTTAGTAGAAAATATCATCACACTTGTATATCAGTTCAGGGTTCCAACTCCAAGATGATCTTAAGGACCGGGCTCCTGGGTCAATTCCAAACTGTCCCGTCCACATTACTCCAATATAGTTAGCGTTAACGAGTGAATTCTGGTAATAACAGAAGTAGAGGAGAGCCAGGAGAGGCCTGATAGACACTGAGAAACAGAACAGACAGGGGGACTACGGTAGACAGAAGCAGAGGAAGGCCAAGAGAGGCCTAACAAGTGCACAGACACGGAACAGGTAGAAAGACTATGGGTATAGGGACATCCGAGCTCGAGTAGAAAAGAAGTAACCCCCTATAGGAATGACCTTCTGACCGGGGAAAATTCCTACAGGGAGGGCTTGGTTTCTGGCGAGAGCATCTGTATCATAGTTGTACGCTGCATAGCTGCCACAAGGCGGCTGGGACAGTCTATGAATAAATCAATCAATCAATCAAGCAGCCTCTAATATCACCGAACACTAATGTCAGACCAAAGACTCTTTTTGGAGAAGGCAAGCCACTATGTTGGAAGAGCGAAGATTGACTTGCGACACTTTCGTTTTGAAAGAAACCTATCTGAAGTTCGGACTATCAGCGACAAGCAAGTAGAGAATTTGGTCAACGGGTTTCGGCACCATGGCTGCTATCGACTAAAACCAGACAACTATGTGCAGGCTCTTATCAGCAGTGATGTGCTACAGCATGCATTGGCGACCCAACGGCTGGAGCGCCAGGATCTGTTAGGGGACGCCGAACCCAGAGACTTGGAGCTTCCGGCGGACGCTTTCGTAGAGGTCTTGCACGGTCGGCACCGTTTGCTGGCAGCCGAGCGGTTTCTGTGGGATAAATGGTGGATTGCCGACCTCTACGTTGACAGTACGTTGTGAGAGCGCCTGTGAGCTGCACCTAGTAGCTAACTCGCGGCAGACCTACCGCCATGGGTAGAGGCCGTGATGCGTGAAGAGCATTCCAACGCCCACCAATTCTGCGATGGAGACATCTATCGGAATCTGCGATATTACCAGAGTCGTGAAAGCGAGAATGAAGAGGAGAAGTGGCGGGCGAGGCTATCATCAGGGAAACGGGACGATCTGGACCGGATGGACTTGAAGGCGAGGCGATTGAGAAGGGCCTTCGACCGGCTCCTTCCGTTCAAGGGCCTGTGGTCTGCCCTTAAGCTGGGGTACCTGGGTCGCCTCCTTAGGCTGAGGAGCTCTGAGGTAGCCAGCCATCTGTGATTCCGTGGCTCGTTCCATTGCTGACGTTTATAGGAGCTGGTCCATTATCTCGATCGCATCCACCGGATATACACTCATATCCTTGGGGGGTATCAGCCTGGCCTTCTTGATCCGAAGACGGTGTCGAAGATCGAGACACTGACTCCAAGCTTCTCATCTCACGACGCTGCGCGAGCTCGTCAGATGATGAGTCGAAGACAGATATTCCCTGCTGTCCAGTCGCAGGACCACCGAGACCGGATTTTGGATCGAATTCTCAGCGTACGCGGCAGGATCTTGTCGTTCCATACTTTCTTCCAAGACTTCCTCTACTTCGAAGCCTGCGCTCTTGTCCTGCGCGGGCTCTTACCCACACCGCTCGAGGGGGCGATGCGTGAGATGTTCTCTCGTAGTTATACCGGGGTCAACCAGGCACCTGGGAATTGTCGGATACAGGTCGGTGAAACCGAGTTTCTCAGCCGTCCAGGCACAAGGGAGGCCAGCGTCCGTCTTGGTTACAGGCAGCTCTTCCTTGCGGTGATGCGTGATTTTCCCCTCTTGAGCGACCGATCGCCCCTGCGGGATTCAAGGCGTGTCCGGCCGGTAAACAATGGCTCGAGGTTCGAGCGACTGCACCGGCTTGCTGACCTTGCATACAGTCTTGGATTTTGAAACCGAGCGAACCCGGGAGATCAGGGCGCTCGTTGGAAGAGATCCAGAGAAAGGCGTCGCCCGGAACTTACTGGGCCACCTGAGGCCTGCTGAGCGCTATGATGTCGACGAGGAGCGTACCGACGAGCTTGCAACGTATGTTGGCGAACACATTGGGGCAACCGCAACGCCACGGTCACGCGGTCACACGTGACGTCTCTCGCTATCCGGCGTGATATCTTTCTATCCTTTTTTGGAGACTTCGACCTTCCCGAGGAGGCAGGGCAAGCGCACACGAGTTTCCCCCGTGGCAGACCTGCGTCAGATACCAGTAGTGACTACGGCGGGCGGTATGAGATAGCGGGGAGCTGTGCTCCTACGGATCTAAGCGACGAAGGACCACCAGACAGGCGGCATTCGGGATCGGGGACAAGCCCGACCCGTTGGGAAGAATGCATCGAGTCGACCCTACCAACCATGCTGGCGGGGCGCATGAAATTCTTGATGGAGCTTCCAGCGCCCTGGGGTCTGAGGGCTTCCTGGGGCAGGGGATGAATGAGTTCTACCCCATTCAGGGCGACCAAGCACCCTCCGCTGTGATAAAGCAGTTCAGGTTAGCCAGAGAAGTGGTGGTAATCTTTATTCCGAAACTAAGGCTATACGCAAAGTTCTCAAGCAACCCAGAGCAACAAGATGTGTTCAAAAGCTCTGCACAGTCCCTGGTCAACAAGGACTACCGTTTTACCGTCATTAAAGACGACGACAGAGTTGTCGTCCAAAAACTACGTGGGCTCTGGGAAGCTGCACTCGACTGTAAACTGGTGGTAGCCTGCCCTAAGTCTAACCCTTCCAGCTTGGATACAGGGAATGTAATAGGCACGGCGGAGGATTTTTACCGTTTCATAGACTCACAGCATTAAAGGTCCTTTATGTTCGTCAATATGGCTTATCTATGATAAATTTAAATTTAAATGGCATAGAACCTAAGATATAAATATATAATAGCGACGTTCAAGTCAGGCCTCCCAATTCTTCATCGCGATCAACACCAAGGGTACAAGGGAGCCAGCATTGGAGGATGCGGCAATGGCGAGGAAGACGTGCTAATTTTTGTCAGCGATGTTTCCTTTTGGGACTCGGGGACTGCCTCACGTACGGAGAGGAGCTCTGGGATACACTGTGCTCGGTATTCTTTTGGAAGTCGAGAATATCGTGGCTCCACTTTCCCGGGCTTTCAAGCAATATAGATTCTGGATTAGGGTATGCAGTTCCTGGTTCCATTATCTCCGTCATCATCCAGCCAACGGATTTTATATCCCGGCCCTCTTGTTTTGGGTGTTGCAGGAGCATGGCGGACCCTATGCCACCTTCTACAGGTCAGCCTATCACTTGGCTGGAACTGCGGGGACAGATTACCGATTTTGATATGTCCTTGTGTGGAAAGGAAGATAGTAGAACATTTCACGGAAAGGTGGCATATTTGCAGTTGCTGGTGGATGTAGGAAAGCCCGAGGAGGACCTAGGATGAATTTATCAAGAGAGGGTCTTCAAATAATAAATCTCGGTCGCGTGCTATGTATCTCACCTCTCTGCAGATAGTAGCTATGTGGCGCTCCTCTAACTTTATATCAGAGTGCAGTTGCTCCAGAGGGAGATCCATACGCTCATACGCCAGATATACATCACGCTCATCGATGAAGGCGTCCTGGAGGTTGACGATGTTTGGATGCGACGTTCTGAAGAGAAGCTGTGCTCGTTCCGTGTCTGCCGCCTTACACTCTTTTATCGCGACGATTACTTTAGGTGATTTGATCTCGTAGGCAAGTACCACCTTCCCCGGGCCTCGAGCTTTTGTAAACTGCTTATATTTTGCCCACAGAGAGCCACTCTCGGGGAAGTGGGAGGCAAATCGCTTTGTACCGTCAATCCTTTCGGCGGAAGTGCGCTTCGCCGAGATGGGTAAGTGAGGAGGCTTCCATCCTGGGCGCCTCTGGAATTTGGTAGCGCTGGTATGCTCCTTTGGCTCCAGCGGGAGTTCAGTAATGAGGCTAGAAGAGGGTTTGTGCTGTAGCTCAGGCGTGTTGTTACCCTCTAGAAGGCAGTCTTGTTCGAGATCTCTGCTAGAAAGAAAGGTGGTACACCTCTTCTCAGTAAGTGTTGGTTGCTCGTTGGGAATTACGGTACTGTTGGTCCCTGGGTTGCTGTCACCGTGAATGTCGATACTGCTAGGGAAAGCAGTGCACCTCTTCCTAGCATTAGACGTCATGTCGCACCAGATGAAGTTTCTATATGGGTGTGCCAAGTATTTATTCTGCGAGTCAAAGGTTGAGGTCCTGTAAGAAATAGAAAATCCGTGAAGCGTTCGGCGGTCGCCAGTGGACTAGAGACGAGGGGCGGAAAGAGATAGGAAAGAGGCCCAGAGTCCCCACGTAAGATGCCGCCTCTTGTTAATCGCGCGTTGCTCCACTAATGTTTCTACCACCAACAAACTGCACTCACTTATTGTTGGTAGCTTTCGTCCGCCGCCAGCCAACCCATATAACATGGGAGTGGTGCCTGCCCCTTCAGATCCACCCCTTCAGGACCGTCCCTTCGAGGGTTTTTGATCTTGAATTGAAAGAAAGATATTAGTATATGTATACCTTCTCCTAGCTCCCTTGCCATGCCCTCAGAATCTGTTCACTCGACCCTGTGGTCACTTCCCCGGTGGTCTCCAGAGCCCCCTGGTCATTCGTCCCTGTGGTTGCTGTCACGGGACCACGCGTTGCTCACGTGATCACCTTATTTATATGCGTGTCCCTTGATTCTTGTAGATATTCTCTCAGAGCGCGCCAATCAACCGATAGGGTGGCGTCTCTACGGAACACAGCGGAACAGCAACAAAATGCTGTAAAACCCGGAATACTACGATCAGGAGCTCAAAATGGGCGTATATTGAATGAAGATGATGGTCTCTAAGTCTACAGGCCATTTTGGGCCTCTATATATGTGTGTGTGTAAAGGGCTAACCCTACGATGAGACGTGTGTAGGTGGATATGTCAGGGGGCCAGGGGCCGTATGAGGTCACGTGATGCAACATATCCGACATATTCCGTTCTTCGTGTTATGTCTTGTATCTAGAACCAACCCCTAATTTCAATATGATTGCACTGGCTGACCAGCTCTGTTGAAACCCTTACACATATCCATCTGTTCGTTCGACCCTGTGGTCGTTTTTCCCGGTGGCCTTTAGAGCCACCCAGTCATCTAAGACGCCTATATTCATGAAACCTTCATAATACTCATGTATGTGATTTTTCTATCTACATATTAGTTTCCTTGTCTCCTACTTTCTTTCCCAACTGCTCGTCTGCTTAGGCCTTCTCCGTCGTGGTTTATACATAGTTTCCGGACGTGGAAGAGGGGCCTCTTATAATAAGCATGGCCTCTATTTGTCTACATATACATAAATGCATTTCTGCCAGACGTAATGTCTGCCTCCCGCTAAAAATAACAACGTCGGAGCGCTTAGAATGAACAGGGATTAAATTTGGAGCCATGTATTTATTCACAAACTGGTGAGTCACCCATGTAGCCCGCACTATGATAATTCCACCCGGGCGAGTCCTTCGCTTCGTCGCTTACTGGCTTCCTGGCTCTCTAGCTCTCTAGCTTTCAGGCTGTCTGGCTGTCTCGGAGCAAAGGGAATATTTTAAATAAGTAGCAGTCTCTCGCCAAGCCTTTTGATGCTTTTTTCTCAGAGGCGGCCAATCAACGGGTAGGGTGGCGTCTCTACGAAACACAGCGGAACAGCAACGAAATGCTGTATAACCCGGAACGCTACGATCAGGAGCTCAAAATGGGCGCAAAATAGATGAATGATGATGATGATATCTAAGTCTACAGGCCATTTTGGGCCTCTATATATGTGTGTGTAAGAGGGCTAACCCTACATGAGCCGTGTATAAGTGGATATGCTAGGGGCCGTATGAGGTCACGTGATGCAATATCCGACAATATCTAATACAGTATCTACCTATATAAACTTAGGATAGCATCGTTCTCTCTCGTGTCTTCGAGGGTTGGACCAATGTAGCCGCCTTCAAAGACTTTATTAAGCTGCTTCTCGAACGTTATAGGAGATAGCCAGAATCAAACTCTGTGCTTGTGATGGATAACGCGTTCTTTTATTACTCCGAGCGGATCGAACATATATATTTGATAGCAAAAGTGAACTTAATCTACCTACTGCTGGCTGTACTCACTAGATCTTAACCTGATTGAAGAATTTTCACTAAACTGAAGGCTTTCATTAAGCGAAACTGGCAAGTCTACGAGAAAGATCATAGTCAAGGTTTTGATAGCTTCCTTGAATGCTGTGTTGATGTGATAGGTGGAAGAGAACAAAGCGCGCAGGGTCATTTTCGGCATGTAGGGTTGACGGTTGATGAAATCTAACCAGAAATGGTGTCACTAGTAGTCCTCAAGTCTATTACGCTCGCACTTATTAACTACCTAGCGCAGATAGAAGAGCCTTGACGTTTTGATACAGCTTGTCTAAAGTTTCAAAAATAGTTCCAATCCCTTGTACTGCTACAAGATAGGCTACCTTGGCGGCATCTTTCCTCTCTTGTCGTTCGTATAGTAAGCCAAGGTTATGATGGGCAATGAGCGCAGGGACAAAACTTTTGACCTGTTCCTCACCAAGCGCCTTCTGGTATCCTTGCAGAGCGCGCTGATACATGTCCTCAGCCTCGGCCAGCTTGCCTTGATCTGAATAAAGATTGCCCAAATTGTTGACTGTATCGAGTGTTGACGAATGGTCAGCACCCAGCGCCTTCTCCTTTCCTTGCAGAGCGCGCCGATACATCACCTCAGCCTCGGCCAGCCTGCCTTGATCTGAATAAAGATTGCCTAAATTATGAACTGTATCGAGCGTTGACGAATGGCCAGCACCCAACACCTTCTGGTATCCTCGAAGTACACGTTGAGTCACTTGCTCTGCAGCCACAAGGTGTACCTGCACCTGAAGTAGTAGTGCAATATTTGAAGCTCCATCAAGTCGGCCTATAGCAATGTTATCCATGAGATCGTTTTGGTGGAAGCGCTGATGTACTAGCCGTGTTGCGTGAGCAGCCAAGTGAGAATAAGAGAGGTGTTTCAAATTATCAGTATCATCAGCTGAGCCAATTATTCCAGCAACACAGTCAAAAGTGTACCAATACTTCTCCGCGTCAATATCTCTATTGAGTGTGGCCAATGTCCAGTCGTGCACGCAGGAATGCATGCTCCATAACCCTAGCTGCGTTTGAGCATCCACCGTCTGAACTTCCAAGAAGCAGTACTTTGTTAGCGTTCCCATCGCACCGTCGAAGGCAACATCGTCCATAACTTCATGCAGCCAGCTTGGAGTGCTATCAGTTAAACCAGCACACAGAAGCTCGCGCCAAATGCTCTGGTTATCGAAGTAAGCTAGCAATTTTAGTAACTTGGCTGCGTCCGGATCCTCCCTTCCCAGAGTAGCATACGACAGATCCCAAGTTGTGTAGAGCGTGCGATTCTGATACTCCTCGAGCGTGGGTGGCCTGCATGGGTTAATATTCCAGCGTTTCTCGTACTCTTGGAGATATCTCTCGAAAGTGAAGGAACTGTGTCGAAGATATGCCCCGGCAGTAGCCAAAGCTAGTGGAAGACCATCTAGTCGCTTTGCTAGTCGATTTGCATGAGAGTCTAACGATGGCTGTTAGTAGATATTAGTTGTATTCGCTGATAACATACCGGATGTAGTGTTTTGCCTCTGCGACCTGGTTTGCAGTATCATAAGGCTGTCTCCAATGTCCTTGAGAGGCTGCATCTGGACAGTCCTTCCGGCAACGAGATCTGGACGTCGTGTAGTAACAATAATGGCCCCATGGGAGGCAAGAGGGTAGTACTGTTCAATTTTAAACTGGTTTGGGTCATCGTAGTTGTCAAAGATTAATAGCCATTGCGTATTTTCTGCGTCAGATAACCATCGGCATATGCTAACGATCGTTTGATCCGGCTCGAGAATATCAGGGTCCTGTATATCAAAGATATTTTTGGCAATCAATCGAAAACTATCCTTGAGAGTAGTCTCGGTTGCTGTGTTTAGCCAGAAGATTGATGTATAAAGGGTGCGGTACCGTTTTGCGTAAGCAATAGCAAGCTGTGTTTTGCCCATACCACCCGCACCACCGAGAACTAGACGGCGTTGCTCTCGGGGATTATCCTCTGGTTCTAAAATCCTTTTCATCTGATCGAGCTCAGAATTACGCCCGACGAATAGCTCCGGGTCGATATGGGGTGCCTGACCGAGACAGACTCCCACTGGTTTCCGGAAGCTGAAGTCTTCCTTCTGCTTGTAAACAACTATCAAGGAGTGCATTTAGAATTATATAGTAGAATCAAAATAACAATGAGCTCAAAAGAGCACAATAAAAATTGCTAAAAGTAGTGAATAGACTCTAGAATTGAAAATAGAGAAATATCGATGGGCGATCGTCATTAACATATGTAAAACATCATGTATAGGCTACCGTAAACACGACCAAATCACCTCCCGGTCCTGTGCTAGCAACAAAGAAAAGCGCAATCACGGCTAGCTCTTACCGGAAGTATTGTTTTGCGTTCCAATACGGGCGTTGTTGATAACTTGCTGCGCATTGTCCCTGAGGAAACTGTTCGTCATTGGGCCCTTGCTGTTGAAAGTATTTCCCAAGCTTCCTACCTCGGGCACCGAAGACCTGAGAGTCTCCATCTCTATGATGATGTTTTCAAGCTCGGCATTTTGCTCTGGTTTGACAGACTTAACCACGCGATTGTTGACAATGTGTTGGACGTCTTGAGTGATTGATATCATGAGCTCTTCGACCTCGCTCCCTTTCCCGAGTCTCTGGATAGTTTTGGTGTATCTCTTCTCCCACGTGTCGGATTCACCAGGTATGACCTTGTCAAATACTTTTTTCAACTTTTCAGCCGTTTCTTCACAGGAATAGATAATCCCCTCCAAGGCAGTACAGTCGTCAGCGGGTATGGAGTCTTTACTCGGTTCGAGCTGTTCTTTGCATGTCTGAAGAGTATCGAGGATTATGGGTAGTTGGCGCCCCGTGGCTTTGAATGTCTCGGATAACTTTGTGTCCTTCTTCGCACTCTTATAGATCTTGATCGACGCGTCGATGATAGCGATAACCGCGGAGATGCCGCCGATCACCTCCAAACCTGACATCTTGGGACGAGGTGGTAGAGTTTTATCCTGGGCTGGAATGATAGTATCCGCTGGTGATGGAATGGTAGCCTTGTCATTGAAGTGTAAGAAGTGGATATTTTGGTCGAGAAGTGCGGGGCGTAGTTGGCACGTGACATAATGATATTGGACCATGGAACCAGGATAATGAAGTTGTAACCTAAATACAGATTTGCTTGGCTAATAGGGCCGAAATTGAAATTGAAGAGTGCAAATAACGAATCAAGCTTCAATACAAAATATCTAACACAGGCTCTGCCTAAAACTAAATTACGCCATCCAGCTACGATCGCTCAACCCAGTCACCGACGTCGTCGACGAGCGTCGGGCAATCAATCAGGTAGTGTATACAGTTCTGTGGCTGCTCATCATACGTCCCTTCCCTACCCCAAACGGCCTGTGGGATGAAACCTAGTTGGCCGGTTTGTGCCTGTGCTGGCGTATTAAACTGTTTGACAAGTACCCCGTACCTGGCCCGGAGAGCTACACACAGATGGCCTGCAAATTTCGCCCAAGTAGCCCGGAGTGGGAGCGTATTGGAAGTCATCCCAGGGATCAAGACCTTGAGACTTATGCCCATCAAGTAGAGTTAAGGCCATTCCCGAAATGATAGAAATTTGCCGAACCCTAGCGTAAGTGCCATAAGGTGTCAGTCAGCCTTAACTCACTAACTTAACCTCATGAGGGGCGCCAACCAGGGGTCACATCTGACTGGTTAATATAATAAGAGTGCGCCTAGGCTACCAAGCCGATTCAGTGGAGATATCTGTCGTGCCAGAGGTACAGTAACTTCTCTCAAATGCCAGCATTTTTAGGAAGTCACAAGATGAAAAGCAAGCTACAGTATGTGTGTGTGTGTGTTTTTCATTTACCCTGACCTCTCCCCACGCAAGCTACAGTATGTGTGTGTGTATTTCATTTACCCTGACCTCTCCCCTGGGGGATATGCAGGCTACAACTACTGTACCTATCCTTGTCTAATCTACATTGGCCAATTACATGCAGACGAATTTGGAGCCTCGTCACGGCCTATGACGTTATCCTTGCTGTTGGACGCGGCTTTGGAACCTCTGGGATGCTTCTGCAAAGTCCAGCACTGCGTTGACAGTGCTGCGCTGGGCAGAGCCACTTACCTTCTTCCGTCCGTGTCCTTCCCTTCCTCCCAGCATGAGTGATGTATTATTAAAGCTAGTTCCTATCTCTTGACGTAGTTTCCGCCTTAGACCGACCAGTTTTGGGCAGTCCACCAGGACATGCACGACCGTCTCCTTTGCACCGCATTCACATTTGTCGTCTTCACGGAACCGATATGCTTTGGCGTGTGAGGCCAGCCACGAGTGGCCGGTCCGGAGCTGCGTTAGTAGGTAGGCCCTGTTTCGCGGTAGGGTGCCGTACAGGTGCCTGGTGTGGTTCGCCGGCAGCGAGGCGTCGATGCGTTTGAGATGCCCCCCTTTGCTTGACGACTTCCATTCGCTGTCCCATTCGGCCAGGACTCTGTCTTGAATAAATGCTTTCTCTCGCGAGAGCAGATTCTTAAACGGGTGTGATGGTTGTGTTCCGACTGCTTCTTTCGCTAGACGGTCTGCTGTATCATTCCCGAGGTTGTCGCAGTGGCTGGGGATCCATTGAAGGCGGATGCTGACACCGTGCGCCTTTAGATCTTGGGCCGACTTGGTGATGGCTCGTACGATTTGTTGTCCAGACCCGTTACGTTGGTTCGCCAGTGTTTGCAGGGCGGACTTGCTGTCGCTAAGGATGGTTACCGTTTTTTGGTTCCGAGATTGTTCCTCTCGTCTTTCTTCGGGGTCGATTAGCTCGATGGCCTGGTGTATCCCGATGAGCTCGGCCGCATGGATCGACCAGTGAGTGGCTGACCCGACGCAGACCTTGCGCGATACCTCGACATTTCCCTGCCGATCCAGGATCACCGCTGCCGCTCCGATCTTGTCTTTCTGTGCCGATGCGTCGGAGTATATTAGCTCGGCTGCCTCTGTCCTGAGGCGATCGGCTTCCTCCATTGCCTTAACCTGGTCTGATTCAATAGTTATCGTTTCAAATATCGGTGGATCCCACGGCGCTGGCGGGTTTGGGTCAATTGTTTCGAGTAATTCCAGTCGCTCCAGGTCCATGGTCTTCATCGTTTCGGCCATGGGGAGCCGAGGGCCCGTGCCCACGTGGCGGCTTCGTCTTCGGCTTCGCGCTAGCACATCTTGAACAGGGTGATTGCTTGGAAGCGTGTAGAGGCGCGCGACGACGTTCTGAGCCCGTTGCTTGAGCCGCAGCCGCGTCGGTAATACATGCGCCTCGACCTCCAGGGTCTTCGTCGCTACTGTCCTGAACGCTGAGAGGGCCCGGATCAGCGCCGCTCTCTGTACCGTTTCGAGCATTCTCAGGTGCGTCTTGTCCTTCAGTGGATTGTGCCACACTGTCGATGCGTAGTCCATGGCAGGAGCCACGCAGGCTTGATACAGCTGCCTCGTCTGGGCCGGCCGGAGGTGCCTCAAGCCTCCCAGCGCGACGTTCACCTTGGTGGCTCGTTTGACCGCCTGTTGCACGTGTTGCTTCCAACGCAGCTCCCTGTCGAACACCACTCCCAGGAGTTTGGCTGTGGGGGACGGTTGGATGGTGGACCCGTTCATCACGAGCTGTCCCTTTTCGTGTTCACTCTTCTTCCGCGTGATGTGGATCAGTTCGGTCTTCTCTACCGCGAAGCAGGACCCGGTGCGTCTGGCCCACTCTTCGATCCGTGGGATGTCTTCGTCTTGGATCTTCTTGATATTCTCCTCTGCTGACCGTCCGGCCCGCCACCAGAAGTAATCGTCGATGTACGCCGACGCGCCTCCGTGGTAGTCGACCGGTTGGTCCACCAGTTCCGAGTTGAAGAATGTAAAGAGAATCGGGGAGAGCGGGGACCCTTGGGCCAGGCCCGCGTTTTCCAGCGGCGCCACCGTCTTTCCGTGTCGTTGATCAGGGCCTCCATGCCCGCTCTCGATCTGTAGATGTTCAGTTGCAGCAAGCGAAGGTTTGGTTCTGTCATTGCATGTGGGGTGGTCCAGCAGGGTTCTGGCAGTTTTTGTCTCCTGTTGGGTGGTCTCCGTCACAGTCCAAGCACCTCGCTCTTACTCCTGGAGGGCAGTTTCGTTGTTCATGTTCCCTTGCGTAGTGTCCACACCTTGCCTTTTCTTTGCATGACCACGCCAGATGGCCGAAACCCTGACATCGGTGGCACCTCTTCCTCTTGACCTGATAGGGCTCGACGCTGCCGGTGTATCGTTGTCCAACGATGAGGCCGTTGTTGACCATCCACTCCGCTGCCTCCGGCGAGTCGAACCAGATCCCCAGCGAGCCGTGGGTGCCTGGCAGTTTGTCTCTCCGCCGGAGCCATGCGATCTCCGTGATCCGATGACCTTTGGCGGTCAAATCGTTGTCTTCCGCGATCTTGGCGATACTCTCCTTCTCCTCCTCCGGCAGTCTGAAGGCATCTGTCGGCGTTCTGTGCACCACGACCCCGAATCTAGGCTTGACGAGTTTGGTATCGTTGCCTAGCTCATCGAGCCAGTCGGAGTTGGACCGCGCTGCATCCGCGGACCGTTGGTCTTTGAATCTGATCACATATCCCGTTTTCGTTGTTCCGATGCCTGCAACCTGCGCGTCTTTGGTAGCGTCGGCGCTGAGGAGCGCGGATCTGATGTGCGTGTTTGCGCTGTCCGTGGGGAGATACCTTCCGAAGCTGTTGATGTCATCACCTCCGTCTTCCGGTGCACGACGCGTGCTGATCCGGACGCAGTTTGGTTCTTTTCTGGCCTGGGTGCTCCTGGGTTGCTGGACAACGCGACTGGGTTCCGGGTTGCCCGCACTCGCTGCGACTTCTGCCCATGTTCTCGCTGGTGGATTCGACGATAGAGCCTCGATTTGTGCCCTAAGGGCATGAATTTCTTCTTGAAGGCTCGAATTTTGGTTCTTCAACGCCTCTTGCTCAACCTTGAGCTCTAGAATGCCCGCTTTGGTGGCTTCGATGACGTTGGTCTGGTGGCCTATTATATTTTTCAGGTCGTCGATGAGCCGTCTGATCTCCTGGTTTGTGACCCTCCCGCTGCCGTCTCCGGCAACCACGGGTTCGGGGTTTGAGTTCGGTGCGTTCGTAGCATAAGAGTTATTCCTCCGGCGTTTCTCTCGCCTCGCAGGCTGGCTGGATTGGGTTATTGGTTGAAAGTTTTCGAATGAAAAGATTGAGGTTGTTGTTCCTTGCGTGTTTGGTGGTTCACGATCTCCCGTCGGTTCCGCCATCGGGCCGACGTTAGCTCCCGCTCGGCACACAACACCAACTTCCCAACACCAGTTTCCTCGTCAAAAATAGAGTATTTTCCACGCAAAACCAGCAACAATCGATCGATTATGAAAAGTCCTTCCGTTTAATACAGCTGCGCTCGAAATCGGCTTCCATGTTCAGAACGTACAAATTGCTTCTCAAACCCTAAGTGCCAAGACGGTTGTTGTGGAGCTTAACCAGATGGGTTAAGTGTAATTTGGCCTTGAACGATATAGTACGGAACCAAACCGTTATTAACCACTGTTGTATTAGGATCGTATCAACTTAATACAGGCCACGTTGCCCTTTGCATCAGTACAGCCAGAATTTGCTGCTAGATGACATTGTACTGCACGACAGACCAACCCGCAGAGATATGGCACGGAATCGTCAGCCATGGAAGCGTGAATTCATTTGCCATATGATTCTTAGTAAATCATTAACTACATCACAGAATGGCCAGTGCGGCTAGATGTAGCGAGCGTACTATCACACATATCCGAAGAAACCTACGGTTGTTTGGCAGCGCCAGTCCGCCTCTAATTCGTGCTGGCCGGCCAAGGAGCATTACGCCTCCGATGCTTGATGCGCTTTGTGATTATCTTACCGAGAAACCCGGCCTTGATGTTGATGAGATAGTCGTCTTTCTTCAGGACACATTTGATATGCTAACATCAACAGCCAGCGTCAAACGGGCGCTTTATCGCGCGAGCTGGACCAAAAAGAAAGCTCAGCAAAGGGCAAAAGAGCAGAACCCCGAGCTAAGAGATTTCTATCTGTATAAACTGTCCGAGTTAGTTCATATCATCTGGTCTACGTTGATGAATCTAGATGTGATAAACGGATAGGGTTTAGGGGAGTGGTTGTGTGGCTGGGCGAATTAAACACAAGAAGGTAGCTGTAACTCTTCTTTTAAGCGCTCTACAGTTATTTTTAGCACTTAGCACTCGGCATGGAGGGAGTTCGGCTGGGATCATTGACTGTCCTTTGTGGTACGTAATACAGCCCCATTGCATTATTGCCACGTTGACAACACTCTCTACCTGGCCTCTTCCATTCGACAATAATCCACCCGACGCACAAGTCGTTTGGCCCCCAACCCATGTACCCTATCTAACCAGTGTAAAACCTTTGTGTTTGGTGTCCATTAGAGTTAGCTCAATCGGTTGGAAGAACCGAAGCGCCCACTGTTTGTGTCTGTGCGCCGACTTGCAAGTAAGATGATTGGATGTGGAGCCACCGCCAGCCAATAACTACAAGAAAAGAAAGGCGCGATCGATCCACCAGACCTTATATAACACACTGATGGAACCCCGCTCAAACCTGCTTGCCAAAACCTAGCGTCACCAGCACTATGGCTTTTTTTTGGAGGAAACAGAGAGAGCGTAAAATTGTGAGAATTAAAGCTGCCTTTACCTTCCTAGCCCAACAACATGTCTGACGTTTGGCACAGAGCAACGAGCCGTACCACGGCCTAAAAGTGCTAGTTCCTAGACCAGAGAGTTCAGGCCCAGAGCCCGTGGTAGAGTAAGACATTATATCTTCACTCTATATCAAGTGGCTACTAAGATATGCTATGCTAGTGTCGTCTTTGTCCATGGGTTGAACGGTGACTGTATCAAGACATGGAAGCATGCAGATGCCGAAGTACCTTGGATTATGGACAAGCGCTTCTTGGGAGACCTCTACGATCGGGCTCGCATCATGACCTTTGGCTATAACGCCAACGTACTTGAAAATGTCACCACAAGTCGGGTCCTTGATCATGCGAATGACCTACTAGAAGCAATCTATGCTCGCCGTGTCAGATGCGAGGGGAGGCCGATAGTTTTTGTCGCACATAGCTTAGGCGGCCTCGTGGTGAAACAGGTACTAAGTTTAACTCTAGCTAAACTCTCACCAAACTCTCAGTGTTCAAGTGTGTTAACTGTTCTAGGCCATGATCCTATGCCATGACGACGATCGCTATGCAGATATTAATACCGCAGCAGGCGGTTTGATATTCATGGGAACACCTCACGAGGGCTCTAGTCAGGCCTCGCTGCTAGGAACGATCCAGAATATTGCATCGTTTGCCACGATGGGACAGAACAAGACGGCCTTGACACAGGAGCTTCAAACCTATTCAGCCACGACAATGAGTATCAACAAGTCCTTTATGCGAAATGCATCACGATCCCGGGAAATTGTGTGTTTTCACGAGACTTTACCTACCAGACTTCCACAGGGAGAGCGGATGGTGAGTATAATATATCCATCCACTACCTTATTATTAACAAGAGACTAATTTGATAAATAGATCGTGGAGCCAGGATCGGCAGTAATTAACGGCAACAACGCCAGAAACATCGGCATGGCATGTAACCACCAGGAACTATGCAAGTTCAAATCTTCCGAAGAAGGTCGCTTCGAGTCGATCTTCTGGCCCCAGTTTGAGATGGTGGTGGAGAATGCAACTCAGTATCAAAGTAAGCAGATCTCAGAGCAGGACAGGGAGACAGAGGAGAGGCTGCGGGCCTTGCCTCATCCTAGCAAATCTTTGTGTAACTAACCGAGGCTTGTCTACCTGTTTTGCTTTGTTCTCCATTCTGCACTGCCAATTAAATTAATTCAATTCAATGAGCATAGGTGTTACCTGACTCATTTCCTTCGATATGCCGTAATCCGCTAACAACCGTGCGCTCATGTAGGCAAGATTTTGACAAAAAAGCTACGAGAGCTGCTTCCATATGCTGATCAAGCTCAATACGACTCGCGCGACCACGAAAATGAGGATCTCTGCCTTTTAGGCACCAGGACCGAACTTTGTTCTCAAGTTTCGGAGTGGGCCGAGTCACCAGGCAGCAAGAATATATTCTGGTTGAATGGGATCGCGGGAACAGGGAAATCCACCATCGCCCGGACAGTTGCAACGTCGTTCAAAGACAAGGGGCAGCTTGGTGCCACGTTCTTTTTTAAGAGAGGCAGAGCTGATTGCGGTAACGCGAAATACTTGATATCAACCATCACACGACAGGTGGTAGCCAAACATCAACGGCTGGCCCGCGATGTTTTGAACGCAATCGACGATGACCCGGATATTTTATCGAAATTTCTGAGCGTACAATTCGACAAGCTTCTTCTTCAGCCTCTGCGCAAGTTGGATTCGTCAATTCGACCTACAACAATTGTGATAGTAATTGACGCATTAGATGAATGTGATGGCGAGAGAGATATCCAAACAGTGCTTCAACTATTGTTTAAACTGGACGGATTTCGATCTCTGCGTTTTCGAGTTTTTTTGACCAGCAGACCTGAACTTCCAATTCTTTCCGGCTTTGGGCAAAAAGATGTCATAAATCACCATCAAGATTTAATTCTTCATGAGATCCCCAAACCAGTGATAGAGGAGGATATATCCCTGTTTCTGAAGCACAAACTTTCGCAAATTAGAAAGAATCGATCATTGCCCGATGACTGGCCTGGAGACACCAATTTTAGAACCCTAGTTACGATGTCGGTTCCATTATTTATCTTCGCTGCCACTGTGTGCCGAACATTCGAGAATGAAAATTTTGACCCGGAAGAAAGTATCACCGAAATACTTCAGTACCAAGATGAAGAATCTAAGCTAGACACAACATATCGTCCGGTCCTAGATCGACTTAACAAATATGATGGGAAAAGAAAAGAATCCTTGGCTAAAAGTTTCCGGGAAGTAGTTGGTGTTATTATTATTCTTGAGAGTCCACTTTCAATCACTTCACTCTCAGAGCTTACCGGCATTTCTAAGGGGTCAATTAACACTAGACTTAAATCTTTACAGTCAGTTCTGAGTGTACCGGAAAATGAGACGAAACCAGTGAGGCTCTTTCATCTATCATTTCGAGATTTTCTCCTTAGCACAGAGCCTCCATTCCGGATTGATGAGACGCAGGTACACCGAACACTCACTATACAATGCATAAACGTCATGCAACGCAATTTAAGGAAGAATATTTGCAACTTACCCGATGATGGTGCGCAACGCAGAGATATCGTCATACACACCAATAATCACCTGCCACCAGAATTGCGATACGCTTGTCGCTATTGGACAAGACATCTAATGCAAAGTCAGAACCCAGTAACCGAGATGGTTCGAGCTTTTGCATTTCTTAAAGTGCATTTACTTCACTGGATAGAAACGATGAGCATTCTCGGTATTATGTCTGAAGTTGTGGGGGCGATTACGGAATTACAGTCGGTTATACAGGTGAGTGCTATTAAAATCTCTATATGTATAAATACTAATAAATCTAGGATGGTGACTCTGAAATATCAGAATTCCTCCATGACGCGAGAAGATTTGTCCTAAAGAATAGACATATATCTGATATTGCGCCTCTTCAGCTCTACTGTTCAGGCCTCGTGTTTGCTCCAAGGAGATCGATAATCAAAGAAAGCTTTAAGAAAGAGGCATCTAGCTGGATACATCGATCACTCAAACGTGAGGAGTCCTGGGGCGCGGAACTACAGACGCTGGAGGGTCACACAGAATGGGTTATGTCTGTGGCCTTCTCGCGGGACGGCCGGGTGCTGGCGTCGGGCTCATATGACAACACGGTCAGGCTCTGGGATCCCGCCACGGGCGCGCAACTGCAGACGCTGGAGGGCCACTCAGGCGGGGTTAACTCTGTGGCCTTCTCGCGGGACGGCCGGGTCCTGGCGTCGGGCTCCTGCGACAACACGGTCAGGCTCTGGGATCCCGCCACGGGCGCGCAACTGCAGACGCTGGAGGGCCACTCAGGCTGGGTTAGCTCTGTGGCCTTCTCGCGGGACGGCCGGGTGCTGGCGTCGGGCTCATATGACAAGACGGTCAGGCTCTGGGATCCCGCCACGGGCGCGCAACTGCAGACCTTCACCGTTAATGGCTACGTTCATGAACTAAGCTTTTCAAACAATAGTCACTACCTAACAACAAATCTAGGTTCCCTTGATATTCAACCCTGGTATTGCAATGGTTCGTCTCAATTGCCAGAAACTAACATTCCACTACCTACACTGGAAAGTCAGTGGGTGGCTATCCAGGGTAGAAAGATGTTGTGGCTCCCTGTAACGTATCGGCCTACCTGCTCGTCAGTCGAGGCTGGTGGTACCCTTGCGTTGGGCCATGCGTCTGGGGGGGTTTCTTTTATTCGTCGCAGTTAGATTATATATCTCATTGCATATCTTCTATATTCTAATCTCTTTTCAAAAGAAGGGTCTGGGAGGGCTGAGAAATTTATAAACCGATGATTTGCCACTAGATCTTTCTATCAGCTTCTCTCAGGTGGCAATGTAGCTGTCGCCACGGTACACCACCTAACCGCGTCTATTTAGCGCGATAATCACTTCGGAAAATGGTAACACCCGTGGCAAAATCTGTGACTGGCTGTATATCGTCCATCGAATCTTCCGGCAACCTCCGTAAAGGATATACATGTAATTGATTAGAAACAATACGTTTACCTGTTCGATACTGTACCATTTGCTTCTAGAAACAAGCCAAGGTATAAAAACTAGCCATATCTGGTTAGACTATTTACATTAGGGTCTGGAAACCAAACTCGTTACATGTTGATATGGAAGCCAATTTCGAGCCCAGCTGTATCACATCAACTGTAGCATAAGGGCAACTGTAGCATTCGGGAGAGAGACAAGAAGAGGAACTCATTGTTGCTGGTTTTGCGTGGAAAATACTCTATTTTGACGAAGAAACTGGTGTTGGGAAGTTGGTGTTGTGTGCCGAGCGGGAGCTAACGTCGGCCCGATGGCGGAACCGACGGGAGATCGTGAACCACCAAACACGCAGGGAACAACAGCCTCAATCTTTTCATTCGAAAACTTTCAACCAATAACCCAATCCAGCCAGCCTGCGAGGCGAGAGAAACGCCGGAGGAATAACTCTTATGCTACGAACGCACCGAACTCAAACCCCGAACCCGTGGTTGCCGGAGACGGCAGCGGGAGGGTCACAAACCAGGAGATCAGACGGCTCATCGACGACCTGAAAAATATAATAGGCCACCAGACCAACGTCATCGAAGCCACCAAAGCGGGCATTCTAGAGCTCAAGGTTGAGCAAGAGGCGTTGAAGAACCAAAATTCGAGCCTTCAAGAAGAAATCCATGCCCTTAGGGCACAAATCGAGGCCCTATCCTCGAATCCACCAGCTAGAACCTGGGCAGAAGTCGCAGCGAGTGCGGGCAACCCGGAACCCAGTCGCGCTGTCCAGCAACCCAGGAGCACCCAGGCCAGAAAAGAACCAAACTGCGTCCGAATCAGCACGCGTCGTGCACCGGAAGACGGAGGTGATGACATCAACAGCTTCGGAAGGTATCTCCCCACGGACAGCGCAAACACGCACATCAGATCCGCGCTCCTCAGCGCCGACGCTACCAAAGACGCGCAGGTTGCAGGCATCGGAACAACGAAAACGGGATATGTGATCAGATTCAAAGACCAACGGTCCGCGGATGCAGCGCGGTCCAACTCCGACTGGCTCGATGAGCTAGGCAACGATACCAAACTCGTCAAGCCTAGATTCGGGGTCGTGGTGCACAGAACGCCGACAGATGCCTTCAGACTGCCGGAGGAGGAGAAGGAGAGTATCGCCAAGATCGCGGAAGACAACGATTTGACCGCCAAAGGTCATCGGATCACGGAGATCGCATGGCTCCGGCGGAGAGACAAACTGCCAGGCACCCACGGCTCGCTGGGGATCTGGTTCGACTCGCCGGAGGCAGCGGAGTGGATGGTCAACAACGGCCTCATCGTTGGACAACGATACACCGGCAGCGTCGAGCCCTATCAGGTCAAGAGGAAGAGGTGCCACCGATGTCAGGGTTTCGGCCATCTGGCGTGGTCATGCAAAGAAAAGGCAAGGTGTGGACACTACGCAAGGGAACATGAACAACGAAACTGCCCTCCAGGAGTAAGAGCGAGGTGCTTGGACTGTGACGGAGACCACCCAACAGGAGACAAAAACTGCCAGAACCCTGCTGGACCACCCCACATGCAATGACAGAACCAAACCTTCGCTTGCTGCAACTGAACATCTACAGATCGAGAGCGGGCATGGAGGCCCTGATCAACGACACGGAAAGACGGTGGCGCCGCTGGAAAACGCGGGCCTGGCCCAAGGGTCCCCGCTCTCCCCGATTCTCTTTACATTCTTCAACTCGGAACTGGTGGACCAACCGGTCGACTACCACGGAGGCGCGTCGGCGTACATCGACGATTACTTCTGGTGGCGGGCCGGACGGTCAGCAGAGGAGAATATCAAGAAGATCCAAGACGAAGACATCCCACGGATCGAAGAGTGGGCCAGACGCACCGGGTCCTGCTTCGCGGTAGAGAAGACCGAACTGATCCACATCACGCGGAAGAAGAGTGAACACGAAAAGGGACAGCTCGTGATGAACGGGTCCACCATCCAACCGTCCCCCACAGCCAAACTCCTGGGAGTGGTGTTCGACAGGGAGCTGCGTTGGAAGCAACACGTGCAACAGGCGGTCAAACGAGCCACCAAGGTGAACGTCGCGCTGGGAGGCTTGAGGCACCTCCGGCCGGCCCAGACGAGGCAGCTGTATCAAGCCTGCGTGGCTCCTGCCATGGACTACGCATCGACAGTGTGGCACAATCCACTGAAGGACAAGACGCACCTGAGAATGCTCGAAACGGTACAGAGAGCGGCGCTGATCCGGGCCCTCTCAGCGTTCAGGACAGTAGCGACGAAGACCCTGGAGGTCGAGGCGCATGTATTACCGACGCGGCTGCGGCTCAAGCAACGGGCTCAGAACGTCGTCGCGCGCCTCTACACGCTTCCAAGCAATCACCCTGTTCAAGATGTGCTAGCGCGAAGCCGAAGACGAAGCCGCCACGTGGGCACGGGCCCTCGGCTCCCCATGGCCGAAACGATGAAGACCATGGACCTGGAGCGACTGGAATTACTCGAAACAATTGACCCAAACCCGCCAGCGCCGTGGGATCCACCGATATTTGAAACGATAACTATTGAATCAGACCAGGTTAAGGCAATGGAGGAAGCCGATCGCCTCAGGACAGAGGCAGCCGAGCTAATATACTCCGACGCATCGGCACAGAAAGACAAGATCGGAGCGGCAGCGGTGATCCTGGATCGGCAGGGAAATGTCGAGGTATCGCGCAAGGTCTGCGTCGGGTCAGCCACTCACTGGTCGATCCATGCGGCCGAGCTCATCGGGATACACCAGGCCATCGAGCTAATCGACCCCGAAGAAAGACGAGAGGAACAATCTCGGAACCAAAAAACGGTAACCATCCTTAGCGACAGCAAGTCCGCCCTGCAAACACTGGCGAACCAACGTAACGGGTCTGGACAACAAATCGTACGAGCCATCACCAAGTCGGCCCAAGATCTAAAGGCGCACGGTGTCAGCATCCGCCTTCAATGGATCCCCAGCCACTGCGACAACCTCGGGAATGATACAGCAGACCGTCTAGCGAAAGAAGCAGTCGGAACACAACCATCACACCCGTTTAAGAATCTGCTCTCGCGAGAGAAAGCATTTATTCAAGACAGAGTCCTGGCCGAATGGGACAGCGAATGGAAGTCGTCAAGCAAAGGGGGGCATCTCAAACGCATCGACGCCTCGCTGCCGGCGAACCACACCAGGCACCTGTACGGCACCCTACCGCGAAACAGGGCCTACCTACTAACGCAGCTCCGGACCGGCCACTCGTGGCTGGCCTCACACGCCAAAGCATATCGGTTCCGTGAAGACGACAAATGTGAATGCGGTGCAAAGGAGACGGTCGTGCATGTCCTGGTGGACTGCCCAAAACTGGTCGGTCTAAGGCGGAAACTACGTCAAGAGATAGGAACTAGCTTTAATAATACATCACTCATGCTGGGAGGAAGGGAAGGACACGGACGGAAGAAGGTAAGTGGCTCTGCCCAGCGCAGCACTGTCAACGCAGTGCTGGACTTTGCAGAAGCATCCCAGAGGTTCCAAAGCCGCGTCCAACAGCAAGGATAACGTCATAGGCCGTGACGAGGCTCCAAATTCGTCTGCATGTAATTGGCCAATGTAGATTAGACAAGGATAGGTACAGTAGTTGTAGCCTGCATATCCCCCAGGGGAGAGGTCAGGGTAAATGAGACACACACACACACACACACAGCTGTAGCAGTGGGAGCTCAACTGTAGTACTCATACGGGGTAAAAGACGGGCACCCATTAATCACCATTCTGTCCAAGACGGGCGATGAAAAGAAGGAGCCTGTGGGTACAATAAGGCGAGAGATCGAGATGAGAATGGGAACCCCTCGCGACCCAAACCCGTTCGCGATACTGAGCACACCTACTCCGAGTCGAATCGAGCCACCAGCATCCCAGCAACCGAAGCTATCTTCACGACGACACAACATCAAACCACTCTTCCGCATCTCAACCACGTACTCCACAATTCAGTCCAGAGAGCTCTCATTTCAGGAACAGCCATGCATGAGCAACACACCCCAGCAACTAGCGCAGTCTGGATTCTACTACGAGCCCCGTTGGGGACGCAGCCCGACCGCCTGTTGCTTCGCCTGCGAATCCGAGATAAAATTGGACACGGCACAGCCATACACTACGAACGAGTTACTGGGATCACACCAAGATGACTGCTTATGGATAGTCGTACTCCGTGACATGCAATACCTGACGAACAACGCAGCCACGCAGACAGCGATACCGACATTGGCAGAGCTCACACCAGCACCCGCACCAGCACCCGCACCAGCACTCGCACCAGCACCGAACCCAGCTTCCCCTCCCACCACAGAATCGGCGGCGGAACCGGCAGCGGAACCGGCAGCAGAGCCCCGTCCAACCATCCCAACAGAGGAACCCAATCCCAGACCGAAGACCTACGCGCAAGCAGCCTCAGCTTCAGGCCCGACCCCCTTGAAGCAACCAAAGCGAGAAACCTACACGCGAGCACCCAAGGGAAACGCCCTTCCAGCATCCACACGCTTTATCCTCGAGATGGAGACACCAGTGGACGGAAAATTCAACCCAGCAGCCATACGGGATGGCCTCAATCAGCACCTACCCTATCCAGAGGTCATTGGTGTTGCACGATCGAAGCAAGGGAACCTGATAGTGACCTGTCGGAGCACAGTGGAGGCAGTTCTTAAATGCCAGCATCTTTGAATACCAGAGCTGCCACCAGTCAAAAAGGTCCGGGATGAGGATAGATGGGCCCGGCGAGTCCTATATCTCAAGCAGGCAATGGATGCCAGCGTGCTGGAGCAGGAAATCAGGAACTACAACTCGGCCAGGCTTGCAGCTTCTCCCTGCTTTGCAGGAACGTCCACAGTCATCTTGTTCTTTTCAGAGGACAGGGAAGCTCCAAGAGAGCTTTACCTACTGGGCACCCGCTATGGCCTAGCTAAGTACAAACCCAAGCCCAAGTCACGCCAACGCACAACCAGAAGCAGCTCTGAGGAGAGCCTACCGGTGAATGTTAGAAGGTAGGGACAGACGGGAACCCTAGAAGTTATGCAGCTCTGGATTTTGCAGAGGGATCTTTAAGACTCCAAAGCCGGGTGGCAAGAAGGCCACAAAGACAAGATCAAAGCCAAGGCATATCATAGGCTCTTAAGGCGAGGCACAAATTTCGCCCGCATGTAATTGGTAATTTAATCTAGTCATAGAGGTTTAGATAGTCGTGGTAGCCTGCATATCCCCCAGGGGAGAGGTCAGGGTAAATGAAACACACACACACACACACACACACACACACAGGCTGTATCCATGAGGTGTCGGAGGCGGCGTATTTGGAGTTTGGGATGTGTGGACTTGTGAGGAGTTTGGAGGATGCCGGAGAGCGGTTTAGGGACTGGGAAGAGGTGCAGAGGATGAGGGCGAGAGTTCCCTTTACGGAGCCGGCGCCGTTCTAGTAAATGGCAGGACTTTGTGATGGAGTTCATTTTTTTGACGATTGCTGATACGACTTCTCTGAGACTCATGGAATTACGTCGGATCGACATAATCTCATCACGACGGGAGGGGCCCCTGGTTGGGAGTGTGCCCGCCGGACGATAGGGAGGGGATCGTTGGGGGTGTCCTACTCTTAGGGGGGCGTTTGCCCTACAAGCGCATTCGCGCTAAGCCATGGGGCACTGGGAGGAGTAGATGCATTAAGGGGTTCCCTATGCTTAGGGGGTTTCGCGCTACTACAGGCGGTTGGTGTTACCGTTTTAGGGGGTTTGATAACCTCTACCGGCGCGCAACTCCCTACATTAAGCGCATATTTAACGCTCCAGATGATTGCAAAGCGATGGAATGGCTTCAAGCCAACGAGGCAATCGGAAGACATGCTGAAAAAGGCAGAAGCCATATGCCGTTACGATTCTCGGCGGCCCATGTACGATGTTGCAACGTACTGCCTGCACAGTCACCCCAGGCATGTCTTCCGACTCCACAGTCAGGAACATCTACCCCGGCCCTGAATCCATCTTCTCGTTTTGAAATACCAGGTCTTCGGGATGTTGCGGTGCATAGATACAGTGACTGGCAGCAGTCGAAAGTCGGTGATGAACTGCTCAAAGCTGAGTTTAGGAAAGCTCGCGATATAGTATTGGCGGATGGCCTAGACCTCGAACAGGTCCATGAGGATCAGACCCCAACTTTTTGATTGAGAGCGGTGTGAAAAAGGGGGTTTCTCGGCGTTTCGTGCGGGACATTGAAGACTGGGTTGAATAATATAAAGAAACTGTAACGGAGGAGTACTCTATCGGGGCTTCACGGTATTTATTTTCTTGATTTCTTGTATTGTATGAGGGAGACTTTCCGATTGGGTGCTCATTCTTAGACTCGACATATTACGGCAGGCCCGAATGTCAGTTTGGTTCCAACTCTTCGATAATCAAGCCTGCATGTCTGAAATGGCCTTTTGCACTACGTTCTCTCCCACCCACAATACTGTACTAGCACACCATTCGAGATATGTATCAAAGCCTTGCCCTGGGTTGTCTTCGTAAGCTTTCCACTTCGTTTGATGAACGCTTTTAGCTCTGCAAAGAATTCCTCGATAGGATTCAGATCAGGTGAGTAGGGGGGAGATAAACTAGCTTGACGCCCGCATCAAAACACATTTGCTCAATTCGTTCAGTATGATGGAATGAAGCATTATCCATCACAATTACTGACCTTGGCTCCGGCCACTTTCCGCAGAATGGAAGGAGCTGCTCAATAAATTCTTCAAAGACAGTCCCATCCGTAGAGCCCTGGAAGATTCGTGATAACACTACGCCATCCTGCGAATATGCGGGCAGGATCTGGTATCGTTGCTCTCGCTGAAAGCGCGCAATCTGAACGGGAGCCACACCGAAAGGAGACCATCCTTTCCGTCTGAAGCCGATCCGCTTGTCGCAGCCAGATTCATCCACATACACGAGGTGAAAGGAGCGAAAAGCCGACCGATTTTGCAGATATATGTCTCTTAAGTCCTGGCTCTGTTCCTTCGCTACACGACGTGCGGTTTTCCTTGACCATCCAATTCTAGCCAAAGCCCTGCTAATGCAGGATGTGCTTATAAGGGCCTCAAACTCGTCCCAGAGGAACACAGCCATTTCATCCAAATACTGGTCAGGCCTTTCAAGATGTTCTCGCAGAGCGTCCAGCATAGCCGGCTGATGGATCGAGGACGTCCACCCCCGTTAGGCGGAGTTCTGGTCTGGCCAAAGTGACGGAGGTTAGAGCGAATGTTTTGAACTGAACGGATGCTGCAGCCAGCAACAGCGCCGATTTGGCGGTTAGTGAGTGAGTTGCTGAGAATCATATCACGAATGAGGTCATGCTGGGAAGCCGCGAGGTTTGGTGGCATGGAGGGCATTGATCAATAGGGTCCTGTGGTTGATGGTACATACACAATATGGGGCTGCCTTTCGGATTCAACATATGGGTGCGAGATTACTGTACAGCACCTGGTCATCACTCAGTAACAAGAAGGATTGTTACGACATAGCTCAGGTACCACGCCAAGATTACTTTAAACTTTCTAGGTAAGGCTAGACCTTAGGATGCATATGACGGAATAAACAATTCACAAGCGGCAACTTAAGGGTGAATCCGATATTGCAAGCTACCGTAACTTGAAGCCGTAGCTTGGAGTTGTCAGATTGTCAGACCCGACAGTCTGGTCAGTCACCCCGGCCTTGGCACCCTTGAGGAACACACCTTAAAGGGCCGGTCATCTCTAGCCTTGGGCGTCTGGGGAAAGAACTCCGGAGTTAGTTTTGGGTGAAGGCGCGACGTAGACTAGCGAATCTCCAGTTGTCGGGGTAAGAGGATAACAACAACGCACCGAGGTTTAGTTACATACACTGTAGTTAAACTGTGGCGTCGCTGATTGTGTTACCCTTCGGGGCACGGATATGTCAACCTCATCGGCTAACGTATTCCACCAGTCAACGATCATCACCACTTAATGAACACACCCCAAAAACTCTGCATCCACCAAAACAACCACCTTCCAACAGCCACAAAATGGTCAATGAGGCAGCAATTGCTGCTGCGATTGAAGATTTAAAATCGCAAAAGACTCCTAATTACTCACAAACCGCTAAAAAGTTCAAAATTAACCGAATAACGCTGGCGCGGCGGTATCAAGGTGCTGCAGTCTCAAGAGCTGAAGCAACATCTATCCATCGCAAAAAGTTGACAAATGCACAAGAAGAAGTGCTCCTACAGCATATAAATCGATTATCAGAGAGAGGCCTATCACCTACGCCCCAGGTACTGCGAAATCTCGTATACGAGCTCACTAAACAGGCTGTTGGCATCAACTGGGTGGCTCGGTTCTGTAGCCGGCACAAGGATCGCATTAAGAGTCTCTATCTCCGCACCATTGATCAATCCAGGCATGTTGCTGATAATTCCAAGCATTTTGAACACTTTTATGAGCTTGCAAGTACTTGTTTATTAGTAGTTAGCTATTAAATATTGATATTAACCTCTTCTTTAGCTTAGGGAAGCAATAAATAAGTATAATATTACTCCAGATAATATTTACAACTTTGATGAGAAAGGCTTCCTTATTGGCCTAGGACATGCTGTTAAACGGGTGGTTCCTGTTCATGCGCTTAAAAATAGAAGGATAACAGCTGTACAAGATGGAAGTCGCGAGTTTATCTCTCTACTCGCTGCTGTCTCTGCAGATGGAGAATGGATTCCTCCTACACTTATTTATAAGGGAGAAGGTGATCTACAAGACACCTGGGTGGACGAATTTGACCCTCAGAGAGAAATAGCATATTTTGCAGCATCTCCGAATGGCTGGAGCAATGATAACTTTGGCAAGGAATGGCTTCAAATATTCGATAAGCATACAAAGGCAAAGGCTGGCCGGGGAAGAAGGCTTCTTATTCTAGATGGCCACTCATCTCATATCAATATGGGATTCATCGAATATGCAGATAAAAACCGTATCTTGCTAGTTATCTTACCTCCACATTCAACACACCGTCTGCAGCCATTGGATGTTGGGATATTTGGGCCATTAGCCAGTGCATATTCCCAGGAAGTTGATAATCTCTTACGCAGCGGATATGGGTATCTATCAATGTCAAAGCGAGACTTTTGGAGACTCTTCTACGCTGCATGGAAAAGAGCTCTTACACCAGCAAATATTATACGCTGCATGGAAAAGAGCTCTTACACCAGCAAATATTAAGTCTGGATTTGCAAGTACAGGGATATATCCTATTATGCCTCAACGTCAAATGAAATACTTCGATAAGAGACCTCTGACACCTCCGAATATCGATATCGAGCCTCCTACCCCTATTACTGTACGGGGTCTCCGCCGCGCGGTTAAGAAAGTGCAGCTCCGGCAGTCATTAACCAGCCTTCATATATCAAAGATCATCCGCGCCAGTGAGAGGCTGGTCTTCGATAAAGAGATCTTACTACATGAAAACAAGTCTCTTACAGCTGCACTTATACAAGAGAAGAAGAAAAGGAAGCGAGGCAAGGGCTTAGGCCTATTTGAAAAGGATAAAGCAGGCCAAGCGCAGATATTCTCTCCATCTAAGGTTGAAGCAGCAAGGCAGCGAGCTATCGAGGTAGAGACTAAAAAACAAGATAAGATAGCTCAGGCAGAGGAAATAAAGCTTCAGCGATCGATTTACCGCGATAATAAGACTCAAGAGGCTGCAGAGAAGAAGGCTCAAAGGCTTGCAGATCAACAGCAACGTAAGGAGGCTCTTAAGAAGGCCCGCGAGGAGACTGCAGCACGGCGCGCAGAGGCAGCGATTGAACGGAAGCGTAAAGCTGGTGGATTGGAAGCTGAGCGAATGGCTAAGAAGGCCAAAAAGGCTCAAAACAACGTCTCAAGCCCTATCTCACCTTCCCGATTAGGAAAGAAGAAGACTTCACCTTCTAAGGTTGCTCCTATCGATCCTATTGCTCTAATACCCAATTTCCTATCCCAACCGCGGGGAACCCGTTCCGGGCGAGTTATCAAGCCCAACACTCGTTTCTTTTCTTAATCTATCTAATTTGTATGTAAACTAGAACCCTACTATCGTTATTTAATAGTCAATTTTATTTGTTATTTACGTTGTGTTGAGATATCTCGATATTTACACGCATGTTTGGACGTAAGGAGCGTTTGGAGGTGGTGATCGTTGACTGGTGGTGATCGTTGACTGGTGAGATACGTTAGTCTTCTCAAGAATCCTTTGTGAGGGGCGTCGCCTCTTAATCACGCATGGCCCTCGTGATGTTTCTACCAACAAACTTGTTGAACGGAGATTCGGTGTAATACTGCCTGATCGTACGAAACACGTTAGTCAACTACGCCGTTTCATTAAATATCAGTGTCAGCTCTCCATCATCGAACAAATGCTACGCCCGGCGTTTTAACGCCTGTTTCAGCTGTAGCTGGCATCTCCGCGATGGCAAGATACATGGCCGTATGAGGAACATAAATAGGAGCTCAATATCGTGTATTTAGATGATCAGTGCTTGATAGATTGAAATCTCATAGATTGCTCCAGACCCACCTGACCAATCAAATCAATCAAATATCTCGTATCTCAGACTTATCTATGTATAAGAATACTACGAACTATGAGACTCGCCAAAAGCCTCAGTTAGAACCCTCGCCTGCCATGCGTCCTCCAGGTCCATCCACCGTTGTGCCAGGAAACGGTCAACGTCTCCGTCCGTCCTGCTGCTCGCCCATCCGTCTCTTGTCTGTATAACCACATGCGCGAGGGCGTTCCTCTGCTGCAGATGCCAGGACATGGCCGGATCCAGCTCCGTGATGGCCCTCTCGATGAGCAGAGCCCGGGCTGCGAGAGTCTGCGCCTCTGCTTCGCTGGCTGCCTGCTCGGCCTCGCTCGTAGAAAAGGTAGCCCGGATACGGCATACGCTGATGGTAGTGTATATAAAGAGGGCGCGGAGCCTCACTCTATCCGGTGACTCGGCTGAGACGGGGAGGTCGACGAGAGACGCAAGATGGGGAGCTCGCTGTTGGAAGCGGCTGTGGCTGTCGTGCAGAGCTGTGTGGACTCTGTTCGCTCGCTCGAGTATGTCCAGACTGCGTGTCTTGTACTGGGGGCAGGTCGGATCTTTGAACAGGGCGGTTATATCCTTTAGAATCCCAGGAACAAAGGCGCAGGCTCTGCCAAAGAACTCCCACCAGAAGCCAGAATGCGTGTCAGAGTCTACTTCACCGGCATGGTCGAAGAAACGCTGCCAGTCCGGGGATGCGAAGATCGAGCTCTGCTTTCTATACTGCTCGTCCACCAGCTGGAGAAGTCAGTCGCTGCAGGTAGATATAGGAACAGGGTACGGACAACTGATGGAGCATGGATCTTGAGAATCATACGCTCAAACTCGGACCTGTGGTTGTCTGGTCCCCTGAGGGCAACCAGCTTGATGCCTCCCCTGGTATGCTGTATCCAGCGATTCTCGTCGGCAGGTCCAAGTAAGAAAAAGCCGACGACCTCCTCGATCTGATAGCAGAATACGACCTGAAACTCTTGCTACCAGTAGGCACGAAGACAAGACAAGAACAAGGGGAACCAAGCACCATCGATCTGGTATTCAGCACGACTCTCCTGGCAGATAGCCTGATATGCTGTTCACTCTCTGGGATGGAGCTGGACCACGACTCCGATCACCTGCCGGTGACCACTCTAATCGGTGTACACACAAGAGTTAAAGGAGACAAAGAGCGAAAGGCATGGCACAGGCTACGGGAAAAAGAATTCATGGAGGAGGTCCAGACAAATCTTCAAGGAACCCACACCCCACGAGACATCCTAGAAATTGAGGACCTGGTACGCAAGGTTATACGGGTGATAGACGAAGCAATCCAAAACCACTGCCCAAAGTCGAGGGCGGGCCCAAGGTCTGTACCGGGATGGACCCCTGAAATCAAAGAAGCTCAAATGAACGCTCGGAGGCTTAGGAGAGAATATCAGAGGCTCCGCACGGATGAAGCGTGGGAAGATTATAGGCAGGCACGCAACCACAAAGGTAGACTGATCAAGAAGCTTCTGAGAAACAACCACCGTGCGAAAGTCCAGGAGGCAACCTCCTCGACTCAGGGTCTCTGGAAACTGGCCAAATGGGCGAGGAACAGGGAACACAGGCAAGCGTATACCCCGCCGATTAGGGAAGGGGAAGGACCACTGGAAGAAGGATTACACCAGAAATTTGATCTTTTTAAAAAGGCTTTCTTCCCGCCAGCAAGGGCTGCGGAGACAACGGATATAGTGGGATTCGTGTACCCAACACCGGTGGATTGGCCACCGATAGCAGCCGTCGAGATTAGGAGAGCCATCGAAGCAGTATCCCCAAACAAGGCGCCGGGACCAGATGGAATTCCCAACCACATCATCAAGAGATTGGCAAACATACTGACACCAATTCTGACGGCCTTGACAAATGCCTGCCTGGATCTGGGCTACTGCCCCAAACACTTTAAGCAATCAGAAACAGTTGTTCTGAAGAAGCCGGGGAAAGAAGATTATACCCAAGTAAAATCTTACAGGCCAGTCGCTTTGTTGAACACATTAGGGAAGATTATTGAAAAAGTCGTGGCAAACAGGATCTCGGACGCGGTAGAAAGATACTCACTTCTTCCAGAAACACATCTGGGTGGGAGGAAAGGCGTGTCAACCGAACATGCGTTACACTGGCTGCTAGAAAAGATCCATGCAGCATGGCGCAGCGGACCAAACCAGAAGGTGGTATCAATTCTTTCCCTAGACGGTTCAGGAGCATTCGACAACGTCTCACATCCACGGCTGCTTCACAACCTTAGGAAACGCCGAATCGAACCAAAGCTAGTAAACTGGATAGCAAGCTTCCTTGAGGGACGCCAAACGAGAATCCGACTACAAGAAGGAACGTCTGAGATGATGGACACACAATCAGGGATCCCCCAGGGATCCCCCCTCTCGCCGATACTCTACCTTTTCTTCAACGCCGATCTGATGGAAGAATGCCACGACCCAGAAACCAGGACTACAGCGATAGGCTGGATTGATGACGTGAACATACTCACATCTAGTGAGTCAGCAACCGAAAACTGTCTCAATCTCGAGAGGATACACCAGAAGTGTAGAAGATGGGAGCAAACACACGCGTCGAAGTTCAATCCATCCAAGTACAGCCTCATACACCTGGCGTGCGGGAAAAGAAGAACAGACTGGGAGAGCTCTCTACAGCTAGGGACTACCTTGATAAAACCGGCCACAAAGACCAAGGTGCTAGGCCTCATTCTGGATAGGAGACTGAACTGGAACGACCACATCGAACACGTCAAGATACGAGCCACGAAATCCCTCGGCGCTTTGAACAGTCTCGCGGGCTCCACATGGGGCACCGGGTATAAAGGGCTGAGACAGATATACACAGCCGTGATCCTACCGCAGATAAGCTATGCAGCGTCGGTATGGTACACTCCCGCGGGGACAGAGGAAAGGTACCGAAATAAGATAATCGCAACACTGGAATCGATCCAGATGAAGGCGGCCAAGGCTATCACGGGAGCATTCAAGACCGTCTCAGGGCCTGCACTTAACGTCGAAGCCTACCTCTTGCCAATAAGACAATACCTCGACCAGAAAACGGCGAATACATACTTGCGGCTCAGGACAACGCAACAGTTTCAGATCATGGGACAGATCGAGCAACAGGAAGTATGGACCGAACATAGAAGGGAATGGCACCTACTGCACACATGGTGGGCCCCACTGAGAAAACACGAACACCGATGTAAGGCCTTGCTAGGGGAGGCGGCGGTGAGCAAGATCGAACTCAGGAAACCACATCTAGTACCGCCGTGGCAAACGACAATCCAAATCAGCATCGCGGACAGCAAAGAGGAAGCCATCCAAAGACACGACAACTACCTCGACTCCGGTGCCCTGGCCATATACACGGATGGAAGCGTGATAAACGGTAAGGTAGGAGCCTCAGCGGTGACAATAACCCCTGGAGATATACGTCAAACATATCTGGGAGAGGATACCAAAGCAACTATATTTATGGCAGAACTTCAAGGTATACGGATGGCATTAGATCTAGTGCTAGAGACAAACAGAACGGCCGTCATATTCACGGATAGCCAAGCGGCCATCAAGACAGTAGGAAAGCTAAGATCCATGGGGCAGCAACTCCTCACAGAGATCCTCCGGACGTGGGAACAAATCAAGAAGAACGGTCAGGATGTCGAGATTGCCTGGATACCCTCGCACGAGGGAGTCGACGGGAACGAGCTCGCGGACCAAAAAGCCAAGGAGGCCACAGGCTGGAGGCTGGTGCGAAATAGACGAGGCAGAACAACTCAGGTGGACACCGACAACACAGCCAGGAGACTGACGGACCTCAAGGTACCACTGACATGCCTAAAAAAAAGAATCCGCTCCCATGTGCACGCAAGGTGGGAGAAGGAATGGCGAGAGGAGTCCAGAGGACGCGATCTCTACAAGCTGGCGGAAACACCGTTCAGAGGGATCGTAAGCCTGCACGCGAAACTCTCCCGGCCCCTATCCTCCATCTTAACCCAGATGCGGACGGGAAAGATAGGGCTGCGAGACTACCTACTCAATATCAGAGTGCCCCAAGTGGAAGACGACGTCTGCCAGTGCCTGAAAGGGAGGGAGTCGACATCACATCTCCTGAGAGCATGCCCAATTTTCAGGGACCTGAGGAGGGACATATTGTGGCAAGGCGAGTGGACGACCGACCTGAAGAAAATTCTCTCACACAAGAACTATGCGCCAAAGGCAGCAAGACTCATGCTGCATACAAAGTTTCTTGGACAATTTCGAAGCGTAGAAACGGAGACTTAGCGGAGCAATGAGACCCATAAGCGTATCATGGCACCACCTGACGCTGTAGCAGAAATGCGTAGTATCCAAGACCACACCAGCGAAATACATTACAGGATAAGTTTTTCTTTCTTTATGCACATTCCCTATAAATTTCATTTGTTCAAATTGTCTGTACCTTTACCACTGTTTAGTTATTTTCTTCATGTATTTTAGTGCAAGTGACCGAAGCTGGAGGCCACGTGACAGGGCACATGCATAGCTGCTGACAAAGCGGCTGGGACGGCCGATGAATCATCAATCAATCAATCAATCAACAACCCAATTTCCAGCCTTGTTCCACGAGCTCGTCGCTAGCAACTTGCCAACGCCAACACCCTTCCTGCTGCACTTGGAGTGGATTAACTGAATCCACTTTAACAACACCCGACCTAAAGAACTAGGAATGCAACAAGAAACGTGCAGCAGACATGGCGGGGAACCGAACCCTCTTGATCGAGAAGGGCTTTGCCTTTTATCTCTGGATGGTGGTGGGGTGCGAGGACTATCCTCGCTTTACATCTTGAAAGCTATCATGGATTGGCTAAATGATGGGAAAAATGACAAAGATCGAAGGAAACCATGTGAAATTTTTGATCTTATCGGCGGAACCAGCACCGGCGGGTAAGATAGTCTATTTCTAGAGTAAGAACATAGCTGATTTGATATCATAGACTTATCGCTATTATGCTTGGGCGGCTCGAGATGGATATAGATGAATGTATTGAGGCATATAGCAATCTTGCAGAGACCGTATTTAGTGAAAGGCTTCACCGACTTCCAACAGATCTCATAGGCCATACTCAAGCGCGATTCGATTCAGCCAAACTTGAGGATGCCATTAAGGCAGTGATTTCCAGAAAAGCTATTTCTGAGACAGCATTACTCAATGACGGGACAAAGCGAGGGTGCCATGTGTAAGTACCTAATCAATACTCTGAGCGACGGCCTCCTAACTAGCCTAGCTTTGTATGTGCGGCCGATCGCTTCACAAAAAAGATCGTACGACTTCGGAGCTATAAACTTCTCGGTCAGCCGAGCATCCCTGCGACGATATTGCAAGCCGCACTTGCGACCTCTGCGGCAACGACATTTTTCAATCCAGTTTCTATCGATGACCGTACCTTCGCTGATGGCGCTTTCGGAGCGAACAATCCGGTCAACGAAGTAGAAGGAGAAGCCTCGAACATCTGGTGCCCTGACACCGCAAATCTTCAACCCCTAGTGAAATGTTTTATCTCGATTGGAACTGGAAATCCCGGTATAAAGCCATTTGAGGAGAGTCTCCTGGGGTTCCTAAGCAAGACCCTTACACAGATCGCTACCGAGACAGAAAACACCGAAGCAGAGTTTATAGATCGGTGGCGAGGCCATTACGATAAAAAGCGCTATTTCCGCTTCAATGTGGAGCAAGGTCTACAGGACATTGGTATGGACGAGTACAACAGGAAGGGGGCGATCAAATCGGCCACGGAAGGGTATCTCACGCACAGGGATCGAATATCCCGGATAAGGGACTGCATTCAAAATTTGGGATTGAAAGAGAGTGTGTATATCGAGAATTTTTCCTAGGCCAGACATGGAGCTCTAGCTGATCTTTTTATACAGAGATGGGGGGGGATGATATCAAATATATAATGGCCGTAAGAGCAGAAAAATAATTTTGTTCGAAGTTATAATAACCCAACTTAGGAATATGAGGAGAGGTTGGTAATAGAACGTCGCATCGGTATGTCTACGTGTGGCTCTACAGAATTACTAAGTTAACTATAACTACTAATGATGAGGTAGTTTTAAACCCACAAGTTCACGACCCAAAAATTGATCTGGCTAAATTACGGATCGCAAAAGGGGCAGCATTTGATTCCTACGAGAGCCAGCATATTGAATGTCTCCCAGGAACTCGAATTGAACTTCTTCGCGAGGTTAAGGAGTGGGCGGAATCAGCACAGGCAAAATGTATATTCTGGCTAAATGGCATGGCAGGAACTGGAAAGTCGACAATTTCCCAAACAGTCGCACGCCGTCTCAAAGAGAGAAACCTACTCGGGGCGAGTTTCTTCTTTAAAAGGGGCGAAGAGGACCGAGATAACGCAAAGAGACTATTCCCAACGCTTATTGAGCAACTAGTGAAGGGTCTACCCCAGCTGATCCCCGGTATCCGGAAAGCGATCGAGGATGACTCCAATATTTCGGAAAAGGTGCTTAGGGAACAGTTTGAGAAGCTTCTTCTACGGCCACTACTTGGGACACAACAGGCCCCGACTGCAACCTTGGTTATTGTAATCGACGCGTTGGATGAATGCAAGCAGGAAGATGTACAAGCTATTCTCCAACTCTTGCCACAAGTCCAAAAGTCAAAGTCAATACAACTACGGTTTCTATTAACAAGCAGACCCGACCTGTTAATCAGACTAGGTTTCAAGGAAATCGACGGTGATTACCAGAATCTAATCCTCCACAAGATCCCCATGCCAGTGATCGAGCACGACATAGAATTATATTTTAAGGATAAGTTCTCGAAACTCAGACAGGAGCGCTCATTTCCAGCAGACTGGCCTGGAGATGAGACTATCCAGATTCTAGTTGAGAGGGCAGTGCCGTTATTCATTTCTGCCACCACCCTATGTCGATTTATCAGTGATACCCGATGGAACCCCAAAAACCGTCTTAGAGCAGTGCTTACGGATCAGACTACTTATGTGTCGAAAATGGATAGCACATATATGTCGGTGTTGAATCAGCTTCTCACCGGTCAAGATGAATGGGAATCGCAGCAGCTGGTTCAAATATTCAAAGAAATAGTCGGTGTTATCATCATTCTTGCTACCCCGCTCTCAGTTAAAGCCCTCACTCAGCTTCTGGACATGGAAATAGACGATGTCAATAGTTTATTGGACTTGCTCCACTCTGTTCTTAGTATACCTGATAATTTTGACAACTCCGATACACCAGTCAGGCCGTTGCATCTATCGTTTAGGGATTTCCTTCTAGATCCGAAGAAAAAGGATAGGAGTCGATTCTGGATTGATGAGAAGGAGGTACACCGAACGCTCACCATACAATGTCTGAACATTATGCAACACAGTTTGAGGAAGAACATTTGCAATTTACCGTATGATGGTGCGCAACGCAGAGATATCGTCATACACACCAATGACCACCTGCCACCAGAATTGCAATACGCTTGTCGCTATTGGACAAGACACCTAATACAAAGTCAGAACCCAGCAACCGAGATGGTTCGAGCTTTTGCATTTCTCAAAGTGCATTTTCTCCATTGGGTAGAAACGATGAGTATCCTCGGTATCGTGTCTGAAGTCGTGGCGGCAATCAGGGAATTACAGTCAGTTATACTGGTGAGTGCCAGTAAAGTCTTTCTATATATGAATACTAAAGAATATAGGATGGTGGCCCTGAGATATCAGACTTTCTTCATGACGCGAGAAGATTTATCCTAAAGAATAGACAGATAGCTGATATTGCGCCTCTTCAGCTCTATTGTTCAGGCCTCGTATTTGCTCCAAGGAGATCAATAATCAAAGAGATCTTTAGGGAAGAGGCACCTAGCTGGATATATCGATCACTCAAAGGTGAGGAATCCTGGGGCGCGGAACTGCAGACGCTGGAGGGACACTCAGACTTGGTTCAGTCTGTGGCCTTCTCGCCGGACGGCCGGGTCCTGGCGTCGAGCTCTGCTGACAACACGGTCAGGCTCTGGAATCCCACCACGGGCGCGCAACTGCAGACGCTGGAGGGCCACTCACACTGGGTTCAGTCTGTGGCCTTCTCGCCGGACGGCCGGGTCCTGGCGTCGGGCTCTGCTGACAAGACGGTCAGGCTCTGGGATCCCACCACGGGCGCGCAACTGCAGACGCTGGAGGGCCACTCAGACTCGGTTCAGTCTGTGGCCTTCTCGCCGGACGGCCGGGTCCTGGCGTCGGGCTCTACTGACAAGACGGTCAGGCTCTGGGATCCCACCACGGGCGCGCAACTGCAGACGCTGGAGGGCCACTCACACTCGGTTAACTCTGTGGCCTTCTCGCCGGACGGCCGGGTCCTGGCGTCGGGCTCTACTGACACGACGGTCAGGCTCTGGGATCCCACCACGGGCGCGCAACTGCAGACGCTGGAGGGCCACTCATACTCGGTTAACTCTGTGGCCTTCTCGCCGGACGGCCGGGTCCTGGCGTCGGGCTCTGATGACAACACGGTCAGGCTCTGGGATCCCACCACGGGCGCGCAACTGCAGGCCCTGGAGGGCCACTCAGACTCGGTTAACTCTGTGGCCTTCTCGCCGGACGGCCGGGTCCTGGCGTCGGGCTCTGATGACAACACGGTCAGGCTCTGGGATCCCACCACGGGCGCGCAACTGCAGGCCCTGGAGGGCCACTCATACTCGGTTCACTCTGTGGCCTTCTCGCCGGACGGCCGGGTCCTGGCGTCGGGCTCTTATGACGAGACGGTCAGGCTCTGGGATCCCACCACGGGCGCGCAACTGCAGACGCTGGAGGGCCACTCACACTCGGTTAACTCTGTGGCCTTCTCGCCGGACGGCCGGGTCCTGGCGTCGGGCTCTACTGACAACACGGTCAGGCTCTGGAATCCCACCACGGGCGCGCAACTGCAGGCCCTGGAGGGCCACTCATACGCGGTTAACTCTGTGGCCTTCTCGCCGGACGGCCGGGTCCTGGCGTCGGGCTCTGATGACGACACGGTCAGGCTCTGGGATCCCACCACGGGCGCGCAACTGCAGACGCTGGAGGGCCACTCACACTCGGTTAACTCTGTGGTCTTCTCGCCGGACGGCCGGGTCCTGGCGTCGGGCTCTGATGACAACACGGTCAGGCTCTGGGATCCCGCCACGGGCGCGCAACTGCAGGCCCTGGAGGGCCACTCAGACTCGGTTAACTCTGTGGCCTTCTCGCCGGACGGCCGGGTCCTGGCGTCGGGCTCTTATGACAACACGGTCAGGCTCTGGGATCCCACCACGGGCGCGCAACTGCAGGCCCTGGAGGGCCACTCAGACTCGGTTCACTCTGTGGCCTTCTCGCCGGACGGCCGGGTCCTGGCGTCGGGCTCTTATGACGAGACGGTCAGGCTCTGGGATCCCACCACGGGCGCGCAACTGCAGACCTTCACTGTTAAAGGCGACGTTTATAAACTAAACTTTTCAAACAATAATCCCTGCCTGATAACAAATCTAGGTTCCCTTGATATTCAACCCTGGTATTGCAATGGTTTTTCTAAATCGCCGGAAACTAACATTCAATCACTTACATTGGAAAGTCAGTGGGTAGGCCTCCAGGGTAGAAAGATGTTATGGCTCCCTGTAGAGTATCGGCCTACCTGCTCGACAGTTGAGGCTGGTGGTACCCTTGCGCTAGGCCATGCATCTGGGAGGGTTTCTTTTTACCACATTTCGTCACAGTTGAATTATACTATCCCATTACCTCCTATATTCTAATCTCTTTTCAAAAGAAGGGTTGGGGAGGGCTGGGAAATTTATAAGTTAGTGATTTGTCACTAGATCTTTCTATCAGCTTCTATTCTCAGGTAGCAATATAGCTGGTTGCCATAGTACATCACCTGACCGCTTCTTATTTAGCGTGAAAATCGCTTCGGAAAATACAGCTGATACTTGCGGGAAAGTACTAATTACTACATCAGCCACCTCCCGTCGTGAATTACTATATCTCCCCGATGTATAAAAATTCCTACATACTCCAACCAGGGTAATATACGGCCAGCCATACTTAGTTTAATCGTCTTCGATGATACCCTGACAACATTCCTCATGCGGCATATTTCTACCCACGTGTATGGCCCATTCGCGGATGTCACGAATAAAACGCCGGGCGGTTCCCCTTTTCACCCCTTGTTGAATGAAGAAATCGGGGTCCTGATCCTCCAAAACCAGCTCAAGGTCAAGGTGATGTGCCAGAGTCACTTCACTTGCTTTCCTGAAATCAGCTTTGTATGTTTTGTCAGTCACCTTCGATTCCAGCCATTTACAGTAATCCCGCACAGCCGCATCTCGGGGCCCCGGTATTACCAGGCGCTCGTTGGAAGCTGAAAGTTTGAGTGTCGCAGAAACCACGGACGCATTCGAGGTCTGGGCTGGTAAAACGTTGATGCTGATTGGAGGGTAGGGCAATCCCGTCTCAGGTAAGCTATTGGCTTTTGTTGACGTCTTCCCGGCCCGGTGTTGACATTCCAAGTACAGGTCTCGACGGATGTCAGTGGGGACGTCATCATGACCCTCAAGGACACCGCCACCTTCAACATGCTCAACAAGTCGTGTCAGATAAGAGGACCTTAGTTTATAATGCCGTTTGTCGCTGGGGTCCTCCCAGCACCAAGAAGACTAACATGAGCGCGCCTCACATCGCATACGCTCATAGACAAACCTCTAGTCCGATGACCGTTCGGTGCTATGCTCTTCAGCGTCAATTTGTGCGTCTCGTTCAGCTAGCATTCCTCTCGACGCTAACACCCGGCCTCTTTTGTCGACCCGTCTTGTCGTAGCCATATCGTCACTGTCATCACGCTCGTAGTTAAAAAAAAATGACAACTCTGAGTTTCTTGCCCATGCGGAGCAGATTGCTCCATCTACGCAGCTGCCTTTCCACCGGTGTCCAGTCAATGTTAGTAGAGTTATAGTGCTTTTCAAGGTTATTCTGAGAACGATCGTTTACAGAGACCACAATGGCCGTGCCGTCCGATCGAACCCGCTGATTACGTCTTTTAACGTGTAACGAAGTTTCCAGCTTTGGCTTCAGAATTTCTGTCCAGTAATCACTGGGTGTAACAATCAAGTCCTGCTCGGTATCTCTGCACACGGTTTTACGGTTGAGTACGATTTTCCACGCGATTGTGTAGCAAATATATATTGGTGGTTTCTCTTCGTATTCGCCTTCCTCGTCCCATAAAGCCAACGGGAGAAAGCCGAGCTGACCCGGTTCCTGCACGGTACGGTGCGGGGAGGGGCTGAGGGAAAGAAGGGTTGAAGGCGTTCCAAAATGGCCCGGAGTGGGGGCATAATCCAAGCCTTCATCCCATGGAACAAACGCTTGGGCCTCAGAGGTAGTTTCAACGACAAAGTCGCTGCTAGTCATTTTCTCCGAAGGATGTGGCACCGACGAACCTAGCATGAACGTTAACATATTAGCCTGCAGCCCACAGAATCTAACATCTATCGAACCAAAACCGCAAGATGGGGTGGAGTTTGTTTGGGCAGACAAGTACCGTGGCACCTCTCTATCTATTATTTCTGGATACGATAGGCTCATGAGAGTGTTTTGCGCCTACGAACTTCAGTGAGAAACTGGAACTTGTTAGCAGGTTGATAGATGATGTTTTACATATTTGCATCGAATCTTCCAGCAACCTCCGTAAAGGAGATACATATACTTGAATGGATACAATACAATTTACTGTCCAATATTGTACAATTTACTTCAAGAAACAAGCCAAGGTATAAGAACTAGCCATATGTGGTTAGACTCTTTACATTAGGGTCTGGGAATTAAACTCGTTATATGTTGATATGGAAGGCGATTTCGAGCGCAGCTGTACCAAACAATCGAGTCGGAAGCTACTGTAAGAATCGATTGTTGCTGGTTTTGCGTGGAAAATACTCTATTTTGACGAGGAAACTGGTGTTGGGAAGTTGGTGTTGTGTGCCGAGCGGGAGCTAACGTCGGCCCGATGGCGGAACCGACGGGAGATCGTGAACCACCAAACACGCAGGGAACAACAACCTCAATCTTTTCATTCGAAAACTTTCAACCAATAACCCAATCCAGCCAGCCTGCGAGACGAGAGAAACGCCGGAGGAATAACTCTTATGTTACGAACGCACCAAACTCAAACCCCGAACCCGTGGCCGCCGGAGACGGCAGCGGGAGGGTCACAAACCAGGAGATCAGACGGCTCATCGACGACCTGAAAAACATAATAGGCTACCAGACCAACGTTATCGAATCCACCAAAGCGGGCCTTCTAGAGCTCAAGGTTGAGCAGGAGGCGTTGAAGAGCCAAAACTCGAGCCTTCAAGAAGAAATCCATGCCCTTAGGGCACAAATCGAGGCCCTATCGTCGAATCCACCAGCGAGAACATGGGCAGAAGTCGCAGCGAGCGCAGGCAACCCGGGACCCAACAACGCTGTCCAGCAACCCAGGAGCACCCAGGCCAGAAAAGAACCAAACTGCGTCCGGATCAGCACGCGTCGTGCACCGGAAGACGGAATTGATGACATCAACAGCTTCGGAAGGTATCTTCCCACGGACAGCGCAAACACACACATCAGATCCGCGCTCCTCAGCGCCGACGCCACCAAAGACGCACAGGTTGCAGGCATCGGAACAACGAAGACGGGATATGTGATCAGATTCAAGGACCAACAGTCCGCGGATGCAGCGCGGTCCAACTCCGACTGGCTCGATGAGCTGGGCAACGATACCAAACTCGTCAAGCCGAGATTCGGAGTTGTGGTGCACAGAACGCCGACAGATGCCTTCAGACTGCCGGAGGAGGAGAAGGAGAGTATCGCCAAGATCGCGGAAGACAACGATTTGACCGCCAAAGGCTATCGGATCACAGAGATCGCATGGCTCCGGCGGAGGGACAAAGTGCCAGGCACCCATGGCTCGCTGGGGATCTGGTTCGACTCGCCGGAGGCAGCGGAGTGGATGGTCAACAACGGCCTCATCGTTGGACAACGATACATCGGCAGCGTCGAGCCCTATTAGGTCAGGAGGAAGAGGTGCCACCGATGTCAGGGTTTCGGCCATCTGGCGTGGTCATGCAAAGAAAAGGCAAGGTGTGGACACTGCGCAAGGGAACATGAACAACGAAACTGCCCTCCAGGAGTAAGCCATCCAAGTGATACGAAACCCCAAACACTCCTGGGGTCAGCATATCCTCGTCGAAGCGATACGGGAGCTCGACAGACTCCGAGACCTCGGGACGGACCTGCAGCTCCGATGGATCCCAGCACATGTCGGAGTGCTAGGCAACGAAGAAGCAGATCGATTGGCAAAGGAGGCCGCGAGTGTCGCCCTAAACCTAGGAATAGACACCGGACAGCCTCCAGAGTCAGACCATCTGCGGATCCTGATGGCAACCACGAAATCCACCATCTGTCAAACGATGAAGCGCGAGTGGGAGGAAGCTTGGGAAAAGACCAGGTGCGACAGAGAACTATTCAAAATCGGAGCCCGGCCAGGAAAAGCGACACTCGATACTCACAGAGGAACACACAGAGCGATCAGTTCGGCGATCACACAGATGCGCACAGGAAAGATCGGCCTGCGTGCCTACCTCCACGCCATCAACAAAGCCGACACCGATGAGTGCCAGTGTGGCTACGGACCGCAGACCGCGCGACACATCCTCCTGGAATGTCGAAACTGGGCGGAGGAAAGACAGCGGATGTGGGCAGGCAAGCTTCCATGCGTGGACATCAAGCGCATTCTCTGTAGCTCGTCAATGGCGGTACAAGCAGCAAAGAGTTGAATCCCGTATCACGTGATATACACTCTACTACAGTGGCTGCCTATTAGGCAGCCACCTGTCTAAAAAGTATAAATAGTTGTATCTTCTCCCGATAGTTAGTAAAAAATATCATCACACTTGTATATCAGTTCAGGGTTCCAACTCAAAGATGATCTTGAGGACGGGACTCCTGGGACAGTTCCAGGCAGTCCCGCCCACAGTACTCCAATACAATTAGCGTTAATGAGTGAATATCAGTAGACAGAAGGAGAGGAGGGCCAGGAGAGGCCTAACAAGTGCAGAGATACGGAACAGATAGGGAGGCTATCGGTAAAGGAATTTCTCAGACCAAGTGACCCCGTACATGAATGACCTTCCTACGGGGAATAATTCCTGTGGGAAAGCTTGATTTCTGGCATGAGAACCTGTATCTATAGCTACAAGCTGCATAGCTGCCATTATGTTGAATCCCATGTCACGCGATATATACTCCAATAAGAAGTGGCTGCCTATTAGGCTGCCACTCTTCTAGAAAGGATATTGATGAGTCACTGTAAGTATAAATAGCCGTATCTACTCCCATAGTAAATAAGACTATCACACTTGTATATCAGTTCAGGGTTCCAACTCATTAGGGCGGCTGGGACAGTCTATGAATAAATAAATAAATAAGATAAATAAATAAGTAAAGCAACCGCAGGCGAATGACCAGGGGGCTCTGGAGACCACCGGGGAAGCGACCACAGGTCGAGTGAACAAATTCTGAGGGCATTGGCAAGGGAGCTGGGAGAAGGTATACAAATACTTACTAATACCTTTCTTTCAATTCAAGGCCAAAAGCACCCGAAGGGACGGTCCTGAAGGGGCGGATCTGGAGGGGCGGATCTGGAGGGGCAGGCACCACTCCCCATGTTATAGATGATGGACTACTACAGGTTCATCATCGTAATCGGAGCAAGAGTGTGTATGGGTTGGCTGATGGCGGACGAAAGCTACCAACAATAAGTGGGTGCAGTTTGTTGGTAGAAACATCAGTGGAGCAACGCGCGACCAACAAGAGGCGGCGTTTAGCATGTAACTCTGGCCCTCATTCCTCTCATTTTCTGTCCCTCGTCCTCTAGTCCACTGGCGGCCGCCGAGCGCTTCGCCGATTTTCTATTTCTTACAGGTGTAATTAGCCTGGAGCGGTGGAAGTCAATTATTAAGGCCCGCCCTAACTCTTCATTCCACAGTATGTTATTAGGCCGTAAGTCCAGATGATCTACCCCCATGGCGCGGATCTGCTTCTTCGACCGCTCAACCTCATCGCATATTTCTCGAGACCGCTCCATTCTACTGGTGTCCTCTCCACCCCATCCCATGAGCAGCATGTGCTGGATGGATCCCGCGCCATGGAGGTGGTATATCATCTTCAGGTCGATGTACCCGAGGAACACAGGAACCGCGGAGCCCTGGACCCCCTGAAGGACGCGATAGACCTCCGCTTCACGTCGCACCTCATCCCAGCGGAGGCGCGTCGTACCCTTCCCGACTACCGTGTAGCCATACTGGCGACAGGTGATTCTGAACGGCGCCCCATACGAGCCACAGGTGCCAAACGGCGTGCAGTCCCGGTCCAGGTCCTCATCCAGCTGTTGCTTGATCAGGCCCACCAGCCGCTCCGCATCGACAGGGTGCTTGTCGCCGCCATCCGTTGATCTATGCTTCTCCACATTTGGGCATCCTCTATCCAGGTTATCTCCCCGCCGAAGGCCTAGTAAGCATCTTTGCGTGCAAAATGCCGTGGTGTGCTTATAGCCTCCCTGGCTCCCTCTACCTTCCCTCTGGCGCCACAGCCGTTGGCCGGGTGGCGACGCTGTTAGCTCGCTCAAGTTTCGTTTCCGCCCGGGAGCCGCCTGCTGGGAGTCGGAGTCGGAGTCCGTGGGCTCTGAACGGTGTGCGGTTGTGCTTCGAGGCGCGCAGCCAGCCTGGGATCGAGTGACGGGCCGGTGGTCGTCCGCGGTCGGAGAGCTCGGGGGAGGAGAGGATGGCACATGCTCCGAGCCGGGAGGGGTTTTTTGGAGCTCCTCCTCTGGTATGCGCGCCCTCTCGTAGTCAAGACTTGTTTCCCATATATGTAGCTGTTGCCTTGCATCGTTTCTCCAGCATTGACCCCGGGGTGGCGAGCAGCAGCTCATCAGGCAGAGACAGAGTACCCGAGTAATAGCGGTCTTTGGTTGCAAGATCCGTGCGTCTCCCGGATCAACGTCCATGTTGGGTTCGCAGAGGTGGTAGTAAAGCGTGCTTGGATCATCGCGCTGCACGCAAAGCAGAACATAGGCCAATCCATTCGTAACGTATGAAAACTCGAGTCCTTCATTGATCATCACATGGTATTCCTGAACCAGAGTAGATGCTGTGATCTGTTCCGCGTTATATTTTAACTTTGCATTTTCCTCCGTTGGAATCGTGTCCCGCTGGACCACCTCCTCCCAGAGGTTCATCTCCCGGAGACCGACACGGAGATGCTCTACTGCTAGCTTGTGAGGCGGTTTGTACTCGACGGTGGTGAGTAGTGTATTCATGCCATTGTCTACACGATGGATACAGAACTGATCTGGTATAGAGCGTCGCGTGTTTTGTCGGTTTGACGCGCTTGTATCGTTATCCTCATCGACAGTATTCGCGTGATTTTCGAACGTGACTCCCTCTCCGAGAGCAAAGTCGTTTCGAGCCTCCGGGTTCTTGCACAGCTCTGTAATCACATCCTGGACGTGTTGTTCAACCGCGAGCCGCTCATAAAACTCCACATCCTTCTCACTGCCTAATGGCCGACATCTGCGTGCAATGCCCCTGAGTTCGATTAGGGGAGGAAAGAGCTTGTCGGTTGGCTGGAAATAGTCGCAGACACGGCGATAGAATTCATCCTGAATCCCGGAACAGGCTAGCCAGGGGCGGAGGTAGGTCGGGCACAACTTGCCAGTTGGCTTTCCGATTGACCCTCTTGTGGAGAGAGCGCTCTCTTGGACCTTTGTGGGCAGAGAGAGCAGGTTATGGCAGGCTCGGATGAACTCCTCAAACGATGTAGGCTGGTTGCGCTCTTCCGCCCTTGTTGCTCTCTCGTCTGCCTGTCGCTGCTGCTCTTCCGCCTGTCGCTGCTGCTCTTCCGCCTTTAGTCGTTGCTCTTTTTCCTGTGTTGCTCGCTCATCCGCCTGTCGTCGTTGCTCCTCCGCTTGTAGAAAGAGAGCCTTATAATCTAGCGCATTATCGGACGCCATCGATCTCGCACATCAATGGGCTTTCACTTACGCTGTATGACGCTGGAGCAATGAGGGTGCTGGCACAATAAAGGCGCTGACTCAACACCCAGTTGCGTGTAGTCACGTGTTGCCGTTGCCATTGCCTCCTTGGAAATTTCCAGCGAGGGGTTGGCTGAGATCTATTGGCTAAAAGCCACAACCCCACGAGCAGGTAAAACGCCAACGGAGTCACCGATTTCTAGCTAACGAACTGTTCTGATCGCCCGCAGGTGAGCTGATAAGTTTCGTAGGAGTTCGGTCTGACATCAGACCGGTATAATGTCCGGACGTGGCTAATGTGAACAAAGGAGCGGCTAAAAATAAAGTTTAGCCTGCCAAAGAAATATGAAACTTTAAGTTCAAGTTAATTCTAGATCGTGGCACCTATTTAATATAGGAAACATCGCCCGCTAGCCTCTCCAGGACCAAGCAAGTCGCCCATTCACCCATGCAACTGACGTAGGCAGGGAATGACTTCCTGGCGTTCCTGCTCTCTGGCTTCCCGCGAAGCAGCGTATTCCAGGCCAGCGAGCTACCGATTACTACCCCGCAATTGAAATTTGAAATCCGAGTGTCTCTGGGCCTTAGGGTAACACTATCTGAACTGTAGCAAAGCCGTACACTGCACAGCTCTCCTTAGGGCGGCTGGGGCGGTTTATATGAATAAATAACTAATGCTAGGACCAGCTAGGGCCTATCCACCACCCATCTTATTCAGTTACCTGTCTTCTTTGCTCACATTATTTAGTTACCTACCTTAATTTGATGCCTACCTTATTCGGTCGCCCACCTTATTCAGTCCCACCTTAGCCGGATGCGATACCCAGGATAAGGAGTAGAAAGATGCCTGCGGCGGCAATAGCAAAGGTTACTGTATAGGCCATGAAATCACAAGTGGGGAAGAATGAAAAAGGAATATTTTGGGTATGTACAAAATCGAAATGAGTGTGCAGGTTTTATAGTGCGTCCAACTAGCCCAGGAAAGGAGGTTGGACGATATTGCCTGGTCCCAGCATGGTTCCCAGTACAGGCTTGACAGGCGTGCATTGCCTCGTGGGCGAGCTATAAGGACCAAGAGGCCTGGGGCGCCGTGGCAGATCTGGACGAGAGGGGAGCGTCGTGCTAGAGGGTTATGGGGTAAAGAGGAACGAGATGACCATCGTTTGCGATACAGAGATTGCAAAGTCGTGTGATTGTCTTTCCAATAATCGGAAGATGGCCATTATCTGGTTGTCCGTCCCCTAGTTCTTCAAACTTGCATTCGAGGAGGATACTGAGAATCCCGCCTATGGTGTGTTAGTCTGTTTTCAAGACAGCAGGGGAAGCTAGGCGTCGGTGGTACTTACATATTCCGTGGCATCTGGTGATTTCAAGATCAGAAGTTAGTCTAAACTGGACATATGTGGCTTCAATGGAGGATGTATTGGCGGTAGAATGGAAGACTTACGCTCCAACATAGTATTTACCACGGCACGGCCACATGAGCGGCAGTGCCTCGTTCTCTCCATACTCTTCCACGTATTCCTCCGCGCCAACTTTACCCGCCTCTATCATGCAGTCAACGAGATAAGGTACGCTTTCAAACACCAGCTCGTAGGATGCAGCTGATTCCTTGTTGAGACGAAATTGGCGAAAGGCAAGTATAGCGCGAAGAAGACCAGCACGTCCACTCAGCGCATCGTCATATCCAAGTCCGTAACTCTCGTCGCATGCGTGGTCAAACGCCTCACAGACACATGTAACGTCTCGTGTATGGACTCTGCAAACGCCGGTCCGAGAAGACATGTTTGCAGCGGCAGCAAAGGTACGAGCGAATGCAGCACCAAGGTGAACTGATCCGGTGGGCGAAACCATTCCATGCTGCGGATGTATTTCCACTAGATGCGGACTCAGACGCTCTTTGGCGAGGTCATGGGCGCTGGCGATTAAAGCATCCGTCTCTGCCTTGCTACCACCGAGACATCTGGCTTGAATCGCAATGCGAGTAGCCATGACCACATTTCCTATCATTTGAAGGTCCGCTGGTTAGCCAATTGTTTCCTTTAATCGCCCAAGATCAACGGAGACGGGTGTGAGCGTACCATTGGAGCCATTGTACAAAGAGCCAAACGCCTTGGTATCGTTTATATCTGGCGTCGGGCTGTTTGCCTTGATCATTGCGAAGCCTCGGACTATGGCCTCTCTGAGCTCACCGAGTGTGTTCTGGAGGGACGTCTTGTCGATGGGGACCAAATAGAGGTCGTTCTTGAAGTATTGGGGCATTATCGCTCTTCACAGGTGAACCCCTTGCAGTGAACCCTGGACTTCACTCTAGAGTACACAGCTCATGTTGGAGAGTGTGATTGTCTGTCGAGCGTCATCCAGAGCTTCCGTGGCAAGGCTGGTGATGTCATCCCGTTGACCAGACCGACTCGCCGGTTCGAGGTAGAGAGGTAGAGAGTGAAGACTTTTAGCCAGACAGATGAGTAACTAGTCTCCTCTCACTGTCCAGATCGCATCTTTCGTCTTCTAGCATGATAGCCCTGGTATAAGAAGGAGTTCGCAGACATCGCCACTTGTGAGAACGTATAATATATAGGCTCTATATATAGTGAGGGCTCGCTATTATAACAGCTCGCTATAAGTCCCCATAAATTAATAGATCTTTCTCCAGAAAGCTATAAAAAAGATCCTAGTTATCGCCCAAGTTATAAAACCTGCTTGGTCACTCAACCTATTTTCTCCCCACTAAAAGAGGCCCAACGGTTTAGTTATATATCCGGGGAAAGAAGTACCAGTATCACATATAGGATCACCATCCGCCCTTTGCTGATGTCTGCTGCCAACTTGTCTGCTCTGCAAACACATCGTTGAAGACACCATGATTGGAACATCTTGCGCCGAGTATGTCTTTATTCGAGCATGCATTCTATTCCTCCACAACATCACACCCATATGTATCTTGTTACTTGCTGGACGGTTTTTACTTCAGCCAGCCTATCCTCTCTACATACCCTTTCCTATCGAAGCCTGGCTTGCTGCAGAAGTGGCATTTTTTGTGGTTGTCATTATACCACTCCAGTATGCCTCCCGCAATTCTGCCATCTCCCATGGATCTCTATCCGCGGAAAGCAGAGAGCAGCTGTTTCAGCTTTGCCATGAAAATGTGCCCGACCTGGAGAAGTACTTCAGTCAGTGGCTTATGCTCCCTGAGGCCGAACAAGTCAAGCGTGACGACGTGAAATCTTTCCTTATATGGGCTTTCTTCGGCCCTGAACACCTGCCCGAGCAGTACCAGCGGAATGAGGATGAAATTGAGACCTATACACGGGAAATCGAGAAGCTCATGGGACGGGAACTGCCACCAGGCCAGATGAGCGTGAAAGGACTGGGACAGCTCCTACATGAGTTTAGTGGCTCACATCGTAGCCTACTATGGTACACTGTCAGCTCTTTCTTCCTCCCTCTCCCTCTCCCTCTCCCTCTCGCTGTATAGAGCCCTGCCGGACTAACATTTCGGTTCTCTCAGTGTGTCTTCGTGGTGGACACCATAACGCATTATAGAATGTTATATCACGGATTCCACTTCCATTCCACCTCCCTTTTGCAGTTCTTTACTGTCTTTCCATTTCGTCCGCTCACATTGTTCACGGCGTACCAATCACCTGCAAAAAACCTCACGTACTGGCACCGCCGGCATACATCCAAAACACGGCTACCTGTACTCTTTATACACGGCATCGGCATCGGGCTTTACCCCTACACAAATTTCCTCCGAGAGCTTAATGTGGAACTGGAGATGGGAGCTGCCAATGATGATGATGAGGTTGGAATCATCGCACTTGAGATTATGCCTATAAGCTCCCGGATAACTCACCCAGCCCTGGAGAAGGATGTGATGGTTAGTGAGATTATGGATATCTTGCGGTATCATGGATGGAGTAAGGTTGTGCTTGTGTCTCATTCCTATGGTTCCGCAATTGCCACTCACCTCCTGAAGTCTGCTTTGTCTGCCTCGCTCGTTGGACCTAACGTCTTTATTGATCCAATCTCATTCCTCCTCCATCTGCCTGACGTGGCATACAACTTCATCGCCCGCCGGCCAGCACAGGCTAATGAATACCAGCTATGGTATTTTGGGAGTAAAGATATAGGAGTTGCGCATACATTGTCAAGGAGGTTTTCCTGGATTGACAACATCATCTGGAAGGAGGATATTGGGATAAAAGGTGAAAAAGATCAACAGGATGGTCGAAATGTTACGGTCGTTTTAGGTGGTAAGGACATCATTGTGAATACTGAAACAGTGGGACAGTACTTGATGGGTTCATGGTCATCAGACGCCTGGACAGATACTGGCAAAGAAGCAGCAAAAGAATGGAAAAACAGGCCCTGGGTTGGACACGGGCTTGATCTGCTATGGTATGAGCACTTGGATCATGCTCAGGTTTTTGATAAGGAGAAGACTAGACGCCCTATCGTTAGAGCGATCTCTATATACTCTAAGACAGGTTGATCAGTATTTCCTGTCTTAAGATGTCTCTTCACTCGCATATTCCTGTATACACTTGACTGCCTCCTTTTAGAGCTTCATCCCTGGTGGAATGGCTGCTCTTATTATGACTAGCCTTAGCTCAACGTAACTTCTATAATATTGGCTTATCAACGCGTTCATTTATTGTTATTTCGCCGCAAAATATGCCTAATTCCTATCAGGACATCGAATTAAGAATCCAGCAGGCAATCGCATATATCAAGTTGTGGAAATCCATAATATGAACGCTTTATCGCACGAGTTCAACGTTCCGTACGCCAGGTTGCGCGGTCGCAAATCTCGATCTGAACGACTAACCAACAAATATGAAGCTCTCTCCAGTACAGGAATTAGCTGCCTGTAACTATATTGATACTCTTGATGAGCTTGGAGTCCCCCCAAAGCGCTGTATGATATCTTCCTGAGCGAATTCAGTCCTCGAGATGCCTCATACCGATCTAAATACCCCTCCCCCAAAGATTGGCCACCACTGGCTCAAACGGTTCCTAAAACGGCATCCTGAGTTCCATAGTCGAAGGCAGAGGACGATAGACATGGCGCGGAAGCAATCGCATGACCTAGAACTTTTGATGGAGTGGTATAAGAAGTTTAGAGACAGGTTGATAAATATGCCATTCAAGCAACAGACATATACAACTTTTATGAGACTGGGTTCCCTATCGTGGTAGGAAGAGACTAGCGGGTTATTACCAGAGACTCCAGGCCTCCCACACCCGTTCCTAATAATAGGTTAGAGTGAGTCAGATGGAAACCGATAGAAGATGGTGTCAGCAGAAACGTACTCATTCATCTGTTCCTACATTGCTCTGTGATGTAATGTCTTGCTCCATATCTGGGCTCCAATCGTCCAGAATCTTCCGGAGCTCATTGAAACGGACCGGTTTTGTTAAAAAAAGGTTCATTCCGCTGGAGAACGCCTCCTGTCGAATGTCGGCGGACGCCAGTCCGGTCAAAGCAATAATTGTTGCAGGTTTCTGCCCTCTCGCACGCTCTAATTTTCTAATGCCTCGCGTAGAGTCCATTCCGTTCATGACTGGCATCGAGATGTCTATTTTTTTTCCCGTTAGGATGGCAACATCGCTGAATATGCTAGTTTGCTTACCCATGAACACAATGTCATAGAAGTACTGCGCATTTTGAAAGGCCTCCAGCGCTAACTGGCCATTCACCGCGGTGTCATACTCGTAGCCGTTCTTCCTTGTAAAGGTTTCGAGAAGCTTTGCCGGAATCAGTCATGGCATACAATTAGAAATGATTTTGATTTTATTCTCATGATTTAGACATACCTTCATATTGATTTCGTTATCCTCAACTAAGAGGAGCACGGGGTTTCGTCTCCTAGCTTTGATAACATCGGTGGTAGGTGACAAAGGCTCGCTTTCTACAGAAGGCTCTCTACGAGAAACATTAGCATTGATTGGAGTATACCCGTCTTGTAAATGGTGCTCCCCCAGATTCTTCGATAAACGCGAGGAAACCCCGAGCCCTGAAGAAGCTAGACTTTGATCGGGAGCAGGTCTAGAGGGAAATAATTGAGATCCATGATCAACGGATGAGTGTGGCGTGTTGCTTAAACAAAATGCGAAAGCTTTTGCAAGCTTATGAGGGTCACATCTACCCATAATGGATTGTTAGCTTTGTCGACTAAAGTTACATTCCGGTCTTGAAATGAAGACCTGACTGATGGGCTTGCGGTAACTTACGGCTTAGATATAAAGTAGACAAGTCGCTTGTCATCATGTTGGGAGCCCTGAGCGTACGCGTGATACACGGATGCATTGGAACATAGTACAATAACTGGAGCTCCAAAATCCGTACAATATGGCTCGGGTTTTCTACATTGTAAATTAGTAGAAAATAAGAGTCTCGAGGGAAGGAGAATTCTGACTCATTTGCAATGTAAATATCTGGTGGCGAGGCCTGCCATGATTGCGGCGCCGTAACTTTCATATTGAACCACATAGTGCACATGTCCTCGAGTGACGCTTTGAGGGATGATGCCCCCGGCTTGATGTTAGGCATGCTAGATGTTTCTGAAACATCTGACAAGACATTAAACCCAATAAGGCCTCAAATCAATCCGGTGGTCTTTTTGTTTGCCAATACAGCGGGGTCTTCATCTCTAGGGCCTAGAGGGAGATGCCGAGGATTATTTGGCGCTTGGTTCAAGGTGAGAGTCACCTTGACTTCGGTCCCAATGCCCAACTCACTCGTAATGTCGATTGTACCCCCGAGCGAGCGCACAATTTGCAGCACTATGCTGAGTCCAAGCCCAGTTCCTGAATTCAGGGGGTTCTCCTGCGTGAAGGGCGTAAATATATGACTGTGCATAAACTCTTGAGATATTCCCCTGCCAGAATCGCTGACTATGATCGTAATGATGGACACTAGAGGTTGAGGGTGAGGGTGAGATGGTGATGTTGGCTTGATGTCTTCAGATCGAAGGGATATCTTGACCCACCCTGCATCTGTGTATTTCAATGCATTACCGAAGAGGTTCATCACAACTCTTCTCAAAGCTCCGGATTGTGTGTTGAAAGCCCAATTCGATCGCCAGTCAATGTCCAAAATAGTTTCAAGCTGCTTTTTCTCGAATGCGGGCGGACCGGGTACCGCAGTGTTGTCGCTGCTCCCAGTTCTCCTTAAGCCTTCAGAAGGAAAACCGCTCACTTCGTCGTCTACTAGGAGCGAGGAATTGCCTTGAAATACATGGCCTGCATGCACAGAATAGATGACATCCTCGGTAATCATGCTAAGATCGATGTCGACGCTTAACCCTATCCTTTTTGAAGGGGGGTTTTTGCTAGATGACCCTTCATCAGTTTGCTTATTCGTTTTGGGCCTAGTGAAATTATTGATCTTTGCAAAGTCTAGCACGTGTTGGATTGTGTCCAGAAGAGTCCTTCCACATCTTTCGATGGTGTCAATCATGCTGTTCTGGAACAAATCTACCGTTGTATTCTGTAGAAACTCTACAGAGGCAAGGATGCCATGAAGGGGGGAGCGGAGTTCATGGCTGATGGACGAGATAAAGTCCGACTTGGCTCGATCTGAAGCCATTGTGTCTAGTTGAGCAACATCCGCCATGATGCTGTTTCCAAAAGCAGCGAGATAGCTTAAGTCTTCAGGATGTGTGAGTGTCCGTGTTGATCGAGTAGTCCAGACAAAACTTGCCGCGAACCATCGTCCTCGATGAGAATCCCATAACGGAAATAACACGACACTGAGAGCACCAGGAAGCATCTGAAGAAGAGCTTTCGCTTCCGCCTGTTTGGTGGATTTTCTGGATTTTCGGCTTCGTGGTTGCGAAACCTGGTCGTTCTTCCTGGGGTCTCCCTCGTCGAGGTTGAATACATGTCCATGGGGGTACTTGTGAAGAAGCTTCTGGAGAAATGCTTCGGCGACTGGATTATATCCTTCAGAAGCCTCATCCCCCCGCAAGCTGGATTTTCCTCCTATCGAAAATCCTAGTACCCCACAGGTCTTTTGTTGGTAGTCATCGTCGTCATCGTCCCCATCATGCAATGTTTTCTTTGGTCGTTGACTGCCATTCCTATCGGCAAGGCTTCCTTCCAATGACTCTGAATTACCAGCATTTTCCGCGCTTGATGCATTATACTCTTGGTTTTGCCCTCCCATGAGTTCTGATGGACCATGTGTCGTATGCGACTCGTCTATGTCTCCTCCAAACACACCGATACTAGCATCTAGAAAGATTGTCCCATCAACCTCGATGCAATCCCGGATAATGTTACTGGCACGCGAGAACATCTCTTTGATGTTTTTAGAAAGCTGAGCTTCCTGCCAATCTACCTTCAGTGTCCTCGGGCTTTGTTTTAAGTTGCCTGGATGCTGGTCCTCTCCTCTGTTTGGTGTAGGGAACACGTTATGTGCACCGTCAAGCGTCGCGGAGGTATTTGGCATGAGCGGTTGAACTGAAGGTAATCCCTTGCTTCCTGGCCTTGAGTCTGTGGATACTCACCACCCCCTCTCTGCTTTGACAAGACTGGTCGCGATCCAACTGTGGCATCAGCTTGGCCTTTGGAAGGAGCTTCTACCGCAGGTTTGGGATGAGACGAGCATAAAGAGCTGTCTAGGGATCCGAACTGATCTGCGACTTTAGGTTCCATCATGACTTCAGGCTCTATGGCTCCCTGGGCAGATATCCGCTCTTTGGGTGCTGACGCTGGTTCCAAATCCGGGTTCAGTTCGCCCTTCTTATTGTGCTGCGCTTCTTCATCTTTTAAACTGTCTTTTGAATCCTCCTGTTGACCTGCCTCGGTAGTTCCTATGTCGAGCCACCATTCGCGCAGAGTGGCCCTCCCCTCCAAGAAATCCCCAAGGCCTTTGACCATTTTCTCGCTACGTCTGTGTGCCTCCCTAACCCCAGCCATCTCCAGATACGCCATGATGGTAATCGCCAAGTCATCCAAGATACCTATTCCATATCGCTCAGCCCCTCTCTTGGCTTATCATCCATAACGGACAGAGTTCCAATGTTGAAACGTGATTTAGTACTGATCGAAATCGCAGCATAGAATCGCAAGGATGGGCGGTTCCTAACGAATGGTAGATCCTTAGAATGTCCATCTTGGGCGAGATCATTGATAATCAGGGGTGACCTCGATGGCTTGGGATAAACCTTGTGCTCTATGGGCGGTGATGGCGGTAATATCTCCAGAGTCTTCTCGCAAAGCCCTAGCGACCTAGGCAGCGTCGTACATCCAATCAACAGTTCGTCCTGATCGTTGTGCACCGAGTCAGACTGGAGAGATAATGTCTGAGTAGCCTCGGCTAGAATATATTCATTTGTTCGATCAATGACAGATATTAGCGCGCGCTTTGTGTTTAAGCGTAGAGTAGCAAGCTGAGCGAAGGCCGTTAGTGCTGTATCGTTCGAGGATCTGGGAAGATGGCCCGGCGTGAAGGGCTGCAAAAGTGAAGAAGGTTGGTAGTATCTGATCTGGACTGTTAGCAAACCGACTCTATTTAGCCGGCTGTGGTGAGAAGAAAAGACATGAAGGCGTACTGGTAAAGATCTCTCTCTCTCGCCGTCTCAAATGGCACTTCTCGACTCTTATGGCTAGGCATCGCTGCGCATGGAGAAATAGCTCCCGTTGAATATCAGCGATCGGAAGCTAGGCACATTCTCACACACACACTGTACCCTTCGAAGCACGGATATGTCAACCTCATCGGCTACGTAGACAAAACAATGCCCTCGACCAGATGGTTGCGATACTTTAGTTATCCTGTCCGTGCGCGATGCGCCTCTCCAAACTTCTGCTATGGCTTTAGGAGCGTTATGTGTTATCGGCCGGAGGATTCAAGTTTGGAGGTGCGCGTATATAAACTGGACATTCCCGCTGGCTAGACATGGCCTTTTATCTTCAGCATTAATCGTGTGCAGCCGGATATGCAAGATCTAAACCAGGAACGTGTCGCCAAGCCATGGACTGAGCGCAAGAGCCTTACCCAAAAGCGCTATCGGCGAAAGGGAACAATGATAGACATGCTAGAAGACTATCACCGTGCGTGTCGAGCAGACGTTCATCTGGTAATTCAAGAAGGCGGCAAGACTTATATCGCGCAGTTTATAAATGGAAACCTCGTCGAAAGCCCCTTCCTAGACGTTGAGCTGGTACGTTCGGGAGAATTCATGCATAGGTACGGGTCTAACGGATTAACAGAAGAAATGCTATCCGCCTCCTGTATGGATAACGTCTGAGAACTACAAACCACGACGGAGAAGGCCTAGGCAGAAGAGGCAGCCGGGAAAGCAAGCAGACAACAAGGGGAGTATCGGGTAGATAGAAATATCAATATTACACACATATGGCATACCTTAAGATCTTGCTAGCATATTCGGGGACCAAGGGGCACGGCAAAGATGTATTTGTGTGGAAACCATTGAATCGCAGCATGACGGCTCCTTCATCGCGAATACCCGCGAGTGTTTCTAGTCGAACCTACCCGGTTGAAATTCAAGCTCTGACAGCCTCACTTTCTCATCCAAGTAGCCGTGGACGATGGTTCTAAGCCTATCGCGTAAACTGTCGGAAACCGAAGCTATATACCATTTAGCACGATATCAACATAAACTGCGGATAGAGCCCCTACCCATGACTAGCGTGTCGCCACGCTCGTCTTCAAAGTTAGGAAGTCGTTGGATGTGCTGGCCAGATACCTCCTTCTGGACGATTGCCGGTAAATCCGCCGGGCCCGTGTATACAATGATACGCTCATGACTCCCAAACGGCAGCTTCTCCGACAACATCTTTTCGGTCTCCAGGTAGATGGAAATGGAAAGAATCTAGCACACAAGTCAGCGCTGCCAACACGTTGGACGAAGCTCGCATACATAACTGTTATTCGAGACGTCCTCCTCTAGCAGCTGTCCGAGCCACTCATGCATCACCATCGCAGTGTCTAATAGTTATGTGTTAGGAGCAAGGCACAAGTGGCGAGGGGAGCTCTCCCTACACGAAGTGCGAAGCTGCCATACGAAATGTACCCGGCAGGCCCGACAGGTTCTGGCATTAAAGCCGTGGATCAGCCGTTTGATATACGGGATCATGGCTGCTATGCCGGGACCGCTTGCCACCATCAGCACCGTCGTGTAGCGCTCCACCGACTCGCTGACGCCGTGCGGCCCGCTGACATACGCCGGAAGCGTGAACGACGAACCGGGTTCTGTGTCGGTCAGGCGAAGCAGATCCGCCGTCAGCCCGCGACGAGGCTGTATGACGAGCTCCACGGCATCTTGCTTCCCCTTCGACCAGGATACCACCGTGAAGGGGTGGCTCTGCGCCCAAGACCACCAGCTTACAGCAAAAATCCGCAGGGCGACGTACAAGTATAGCATGTATAATCGATCAGATGGCCAATCTGGCGGCAAATGACTCCAGATTGCATAGACACATAGACACGCGGTCGCCTGGTGCGCGCGAAGAGAGGCCTCATAGGCGAACTTGCGAAAGGCCGGGATAAAGAGCAGCGGCAAACCCCCAAGGGATATAGCACCCTGCCGAGCCGTTAGATTCACAGATAGACACAGGAGACATACGCAAACCCACTATGACCGCCCAAAGATTTGCGGGAATGCCCAGCGGAAAGTCCGCCCGGTCTGTCAGAGAGCAAGCGTGGACGACCGAGAGAGCGGCCACGGCCCACCCCGCCGCGCGGTGGAACCCCCGACGCGTCCGCAGCGTAATTCCAAGGAGATCCGGATAGAAGGCCGGGTGCATACCGGTGAAGAGAAACACCATGTTCACCACCGACAGCGTTCCGGCCCGCTGGCTAACGCTCGGGGCAGAGGGACTCGGCACGCCGAGAAGGACGGCGTTTGCCGCTACATAGAGAAGATGCAGAAGGAATTCGCACCGCGTCCAGGGTCCGATAGCGTGGTGACGACCAAGGAAGTACGGGTATGTAAGGCACTTAGCAAATTTCACGGAAACCGTTTCCCTCCGAGCAAGGCACGACGCAATCTTCACCAGGGCGAAGAGCAGGAAAATGCCGCTGGCGGCGATAGCAAATATAAGCGTGTGATCCATCCGATTAAAAGAGTGATTGGCCGAACGCGAATAACGAGCGTTGAACGCGAGTATTGCTGCAATGGACTGTTGATACACCGTTGATACGCCCTACAATCGGCCACGCGGGACATTGGGGCGTGGGCGGTGTCCGGGATCGGCTTTTAAAGGCTTCGACCATTCGCAAGGCGATCCCAAAGTGGAGCCCACCCCCCCAGATTCCGGTCGACAAAGGGCCACGGATTATGTACAGCTGCTTGCCGTAAGCCGTAAGGTAAACGTCTAAACCGGAACGATGCGCATCGCCGGAGAAGGGGCTCGTGAATTGATGCCTTGTCAGCCAAGGGGTGAGTCTTGTCTGTACGACGTGGAAAGGGTATAAATCAGCGCTGCCTCCTGGCCTCCCTCCCATCAGGTCTTCTCCCCCTAGGTTCCCTCTACCAATTCTCGCGATGTCCACCGTCAGACCATCCAACTCGCCTCGCTCTATACCACATATCGGGCCTCCGCTTGCCGCCAGCCCGTCTCCAGAACCGGCAAAAGAATGTCCCCGCGTACCTTCCTTTGCAGCGTCGGGCTCGAGGAGTGCAGAGTCTCCTATAGGACAAGCCGACGACATGGATGCTTTCTCACGTAAGAGTCATCAGAGTCGTCTTTTAGACGGCATTTCCTTCCCTAGTAACCAGCCTTTCTTTACCCAAATACTCATCGCATGCTAACGTGGCCTTGACCTTCGTTGAAGTCGATTACTCTGATGCTGAAAGCGAGACTTCCACCGTCGTACAATCACCTCCACGTGAGTACATTGAAAGGATCGCCGATGGTTTCTCGCTCCATCCAAGGAGAATAAACGAAGGTAGCCAAGGCATGTCGGTCTCCTCAGGTATCTATTTTGAGCTCATCAACATATCTAATCCTAGTTCTAGGCCCGCCCGCACAAGGCAGAGGAAAGACGAACGTTGCACAGATCTCAAGGAACGGCGCTTTGGGGCTAAATGAGAGGCCGAGGCCCCTAGAGACTATCCCGGAGCAGAGCTACGGGGAGGTAGAAACGAGGCGGAGTCGGGTTTTAAAGTGGGCGGCTTTAAGTACAGCTGCTACCACCAGCAACATAGATGCGGACAAGACAGGGTCACGCTCCGTCTCTAGAGAGAGGATTGAGTGCGGATGCGGCATAATCGAGGGTATATCCAACAGCACTGGTCACCCCAGCCACGGCACGGATGAGGTAAAACGCCATCACACCAGAGCCTCAAAACGCCGGCGGGTGAATAAATACACGCATATAGAGGTGTAAACCACTTATCCTTCTTCACGATCACTACCCTGAGGACGACTCCTGGTATTTGCTTTGGCGTGTACTCCTATCAGCCCAGGCGTCGTACAGCCACGTAGTAAACTATCCCCAAGCTGTACGGAGTTATGCTCTTAGCATCCCCAAGCTCGGGCAGCCACCCTTTGATATGCACAGTGATGTTTGCCATGATGGATGCGGCTAGTCCACGGTTTTAGCAGTAATAGGTAACCGTCGGTTGGGCGAAGGGAGCTGTGGGGAGCTGTAGTCGAGATTGCCTTTGATCTAAACACAGCCAAGCCTTGGCGAAGAAGTGAAAGTGAACGTTTGTACTCCGTAGGAAAATAAGGTTATCCAAACGAAACGGCGGGGATATATGCGAGCGTGGTGACGCTATAACCGGGAGCGGCGGTGATACGTACGGTGCAGTCACGGTGCCTACTACGTAGGAAGCCGCTATTCCTAGGGGAAACAGGCACGCCCATTCGAAGTATATATTCACCTTCCGGAGCCATCCTGGCAATACAGCTCTCCGTTCTACAAACGGAAACTAGCAAGCTATGGGGAAATCCAACACAAAGCCCAAGAGCCGCACGGCGCCCCAATCGAGCGAGTCACCGCTTCACCCCGAGTTCAAGCTCGGTAGCTGGGTCTACATCATTCCCCCGCGTCGGGGCCGCGGAGCATCGAACCGGCAGGCCGGTCCGTACAAGATCGTCGAAAGAGCGGGAAACGACTTTGGGCTTGAGATGTGGACCGAGCCGCGCGGTAAACGGTCTGGTGTACACCCCGTCCGTGTATTCAACGCTAGCCGCCTGCGAAAAGCGCGAAATGGCACCTTCATGGGCCAGATCGTCGACGAGCCAGCTCCGGTGATCATCGATGGAAAAGAGGAATGGGAGGTCGAAAGGATCCTCGACTCGAGGGTCGACAAGCGCACCAGTCGGCTCATGTACCAGGCAGAGTGGACGGGGTATGACGCTGACCCGGAATGGTACCCCGCGGGCTGCTTCAGGCACGCCACCCAGAAACTACTAGATTTCCACAGCAAGTTTCCAGCAAAACCAGGCCCGCCTAGAAATCTGGGCGGCTGGGTGGCGCGTAACAGTCTCGAGCAGGATATCGTCAGCAGCGACGGGGACGACTTCCCGCGGGAGGGACGATTGGCGCGGCCAGCACGCTCACGCCGAAGCGGGGGAAAGTTGCGGTCTTAGATAGCGCTCAATTGTCCTTGCCAGCCCACCAACATGTAACTAGAAAGTCAGCTCTGGCCGACAGGCCATCTCCCAAAATGTATGTACAGTAACTGCGTTGACGACGGAGCATGTCCACGCCAGCAGGGACCGATCAAAACGTCTTCTCGTCACACACGTGTACGGTACCGGCGGCCGGGATCGTCCTGTAACTCGAGACTTTGGAATCCAATGGGCAGGTGAAACTGCCGACAGAGAAGGTGCGAACGCAACTCGCCCTCCATACTTGCAGGAAGCTTCGGGGCAAGTCTATTTAAGCCGTCCGTCTGGCCTCGTTGTAGTTACGGTAGGTAGTCAATCGATATCCCGCGCCAAAATGAGAATCTCACGTAGAAGCGGAAACCCCTTAGGCGGTATCCCGGGAGACAGCCGAGGTAAGCCTCTTTCGCAGCCGCCGTACCTTGTAGTCCTGTGGTGTCTGACGGCGAACAGAGAACCCGATCATCCTTGACGACGACGGCTTTTACGCCTCGGCGGGACGGTCAGACCAGCGCAGCTCGCCGGCCTCTGGAGATGGTAGCGAGTACAGGTGCATATGCCAAATCTGTTATGAGATTCAGGAAATGGTCTTCTTCTGCGGTCACGGGCTGTGTATGATCTGTCTCGCCAAGTATGTGAAAGAGAGTGCAATATTTATAACACGGCTTTGTCGCTTTACCACCAGCTGCCCAGTTTGCCGAGTCGAGGTGTCGGGGAGAGATTGGGAGCATTTGCCTGGCGATCCGCGTGGCTTCGTGCCGGTGGACGCAGGAGCCGAAGGGAGTGACTATAGGATAGAAGGCGTTCGTCTGTACGGGTGACATGCGTACATGTATCGTATTAATTCGCACGTCTACGGCTGGAGCCAATATAATAGGCGGTGGAAACGTCGTTTAGGGAGATAAGATTCTTCAGCGTTGCGATGGCATACACAGCTATCATGGACGGGTTCTGGTGCACGGCTGTAAACTAGCAAACATACGCGTGCGGCATGGCCCACGGCTGAAACAACCGCTAGCTTCGGCAAAAACACCTCGCACTCGGTTTATTCCAACCCATCGTCAGGAGGCCGGTTTCGGTTTATCTGTTGCCGTCCATTCTCTCGAAACAGAAGTAACTATAACAGGAGGCGCGTCTCTACGCGAGACTAGGGGCTCGTATGAGCTCCACCAAGGCTTCAATATAAATTCCGACCTAGACACTGAGTTAGAGCCAGGGCCTCTCTTGACTCTGCGACTTTTACTATCCTCGAACCGCGTTTCCGCGAATATGCCTACTCGATGCCGGGACCTCAAGAACAAGCGCGCAAGGTTCAAGCGGAGGAAGGACAAACTGTTCGCCCGCGGGAACGAGCTGCACCTTATCCACCGCGTAGAGGTATATATCTTGGTCTTGGCAGACGGAAAATGCGCGGAGTATGCCAGTTCCAGCCTCGGGGATTGGCCTCCATGCAAAGCCAGGCTGGTCAGTTGCGCCGTCGTGGGAAGGCAAAGCCCCTGCCCCTGGAGCCGCGTCTCTAACTTCTCGTTGCAGAACGGCGCCCTGGAGCACCAGCAGTATTATTTTTCGCAAGACGTCAAGCAGCAGAAGGGAGTCGAGCTGTGTCTTGCGAGGCTCTTCCAGTACGCAAGGGAGCTCCATCGCAGCTGTGGCGCGAAGGCGTACGTCCTGGTGAAGAGGGACGACAGGCACCTCAGCTACGGCAGCCATGGGGGCAAGCACTGGCCCCCGACCAAGGCCACACTGGTAGGTTTCGGACTCCTGGTGCGGGAAGTGGTAATGAACGGTTGGTGTAGAAAAACCTGTTTCCGACGATGGAGAGAAAGACTCCTCAAAGTTTTGTCGACAAGTCAGACGGGCCATTCCGGCTCGATCACCCTCCGAATCAGGGCCAACAGTCGCAGACTGCCATAGCCGCCGAGAGCGTGGCCCTCCTGCAAGGGCTTGACAGCGAGTGTATGATGGGATTGCAGGCGGGCGGCGATGGTTACGGAGATCTTGCACTGCTTAAAGAATTCCTGGGCTAGCTATGTAATCACTTGAATTGCTGCACAGGCAATCTAGAGATCATGTAAGAGAACGAGGTCGATCGATATTTAGAGAAGTTGTCACGAAAGCGAGCGGCGGCCGTAACTAACTAGTTACCCTAGGCGCGGATTATGTTTGATCCGAAATTATCAAGGGAATGGGTTAGCCTGGTTATTGCCCACCCCAACAAAATATCTGTTACTTAATTATTGACTAACCGGTTAACTCGCACAACTTCAGGTACATTTCCCTTGCTAACTATAACCAGCGGCAACCTTGCCTGCCATTCCCACAGCTGGGCCCGCTCTCTCGGGAGCCAAATGCCGTGACGCCGCATTCGGGGAAGGCATGCACAGCTTTCTGCCCGCTCCCCGCTGGCGTACGTTTATCGACGAAGCTCCATCGGTTTCCACCACCCTGGATCTACCTCCCAGGGTCTTCGAGCTCCCATGAGCGCCGAGCCCGTGCGCAGCAGATTGGGTGATCTGGGCGAGCTCAGCCCATCCGTTGGGCGAGCAACCAGCCTCCCCGGGGGGCGTAAGGCAGCCTGAGTCTGAGGCTAGGTGGCCGCTCCGCCGGTTCAAGAGTCGTCGGCCACGGTACCGTCTAAAGACTCGGAGAAGAGCTCCCCGAACATCCCGGGGGACAAAGCCCCTCAGCCTCAACGCCTGCGGCTCAAGTCGTTTCGCATTCAGCCGGAAATTTTCCAGAGACACTCGCTTCACCGTGCTCCATCGCTTTTTCCGGCCGAGCACCAGGGCAAGCAGCCTTCCTGCCTGCAGCATGGTCCTGGTGTACTTCCTGTCGACGGTCAACAATGGCGGGAAATACCCAAAAACCTCCATCCCGCGGGGGACAAGGCTCGCTGCGTCGGCCGTGTCAAACCTCTCCGGCCACCCTTTTACAATGTCAAAGAGAGCGGCAGCAAGCGCCGGCAGCGGTCCAGGCATCTTTGAAGACAGCGGGTGCAGGGTGTCGGTGACGACATCGACGAGCCCAGGGCTGCATATTGCCATCATGCGACATGCGCCGGCAAAGAGCCTGACCACCGACGAGCTGTAAAGCTGCGCCAACTCGTCGGGTATTCCCCAAGAGACGGCATACCGTTTCATATCTCGGCACATCGTCCTTGACGGCGGAGACTGCAGCTCGCCCGTATCCGAGCTCCCGGCGGGATCTGCAAGACCTACCAACGGACACCTGGTCAGCGAACCTCCCGGATCTGGCGCGGAATTAGTTGTCCGGTACGTACGCATATTCCAGTTGACACATGGGCTCCTCTCGCCCCCGTGGTACAAGGCGACAGGCCGCGAGTTGCCTCCGACAGGGTTGTCGGCGCGGAACTCCCTCGCTGCATTTGGTGGACGGCGGCCTCTGGTCAAAATAAAGTGCTCGCTATCTCCAGGGCTGCGAGACTGCAGACCTGCGAGATTCGATTCTGACACGGCAGACTCCGACAACTCCACGATGCCAGAGAGTTTCGCGAAGAGAATCAAAGCCATGGCATATCTATGAGGGTCCATCTGGCTATGCGGCTGGGGGCTCTCAAGCAGCTGCACATCACTGCCGCTCTCTCGACGAGCGTTGTCGCAGTCACCGGGACGACGGAGGCTGCTTGCAACTGCGATCGGGGGGGGCCCTGTGCCCCTAATGTCTGTGGCCATTTCCTTGGCCATTGCAATCCATCCATGAGGACGCCATGGATAGAACCAACCGAGCCTGGGGATATATATGGACAAATAAAAACAGAATGCGGTCCGGGAAGCAGCAAATATAATATCCACCGTCTCATCCGTCAGGGGGCATACCCAATCTATCCAGTGAGGCTGTGGGCTATATCTTTCTTTCAAAACCTACCTTTGCCTACGTAGATGCAGCATGGATGTATGCGGATTTCTGGCATGCGAACCCGTGAAAATAATTTGGCCTGCAAACCCATTCCGATACTCCAGCCGGGAGCCTTCCACACAATGCTATGCTATAGAGCTGACAAACTAGGATGGTTGGCGACCAAGTAATTTGCATGTTTCCGTGCGGACTATAAATCCACCATCCACTCTCCCTCAGCTACATACCCGATGCTGCCAGGTGAAGGCCTGTGCCAACGGCAGACCCCTGCTTCCAACCCGTATCAATGGTACCTGGCTCAGACGTACATACTACTTGCTATGCTACTTGCTTTGCAGAAGGCCGGGGACTGTTTTCTCGGACAGCGCCTTCCTGGCAAACTTGTACATATTAAGAATAAAAAGGAACAGGGTCATCGCCTGCCCGACAATCAACCGGCTTCTCCACGTCGCCATTTCCGCTCCCCCAAAGCGGCAGGCGAGACCGAACAGCGTCTGTAGCGCCGAGACGACCAGAAGGTCCTGCGGAACGCAGTTCAGACCGATTACGCGCTCGGAGAGAAAAGGGAGGCCGGCGTAGACGGATGCCTGCAAGGCCGTCGTTACGGCCGAAGCGATACCCGCAAGAACAGAGCTGCAGAAGAGCATATGGGCAACCTCAGCCGCAATTCCGGGCGTCTCCCGGTCCAGCGAAAGCACGACGGCGACGGCACTGATGAACGCCCCCGAGAAGAAGCATATCTGATTGCATTGGATGAGGTCTCGCGCGACGATTCCGCCTGCGGCCATTGGAAGACGGTTAAAACGGCTTGACGATGGTGAGATATGAAACTGGAACTTACGGATGTTCTTGGAGCGCGTCGAATCCATCTCTGAGGCGCTTCTGGTTGAGCCTAGCTGGTTGTTTGCGGGAGCTGCGAAGTGTGCTTGAGAATAACAGTAAGTGGGAGTTGACGGACTTCCGGAACCCTATGCGCGGGCCATCTTTCTTATACATTAGCGATTCGGCCTAGGTGCTCGCCTTTTAGTGGGTGTCATGTCACCACCAAAAGGAAATTCTCGCTTTTCAGTGCGACTGGTGCTCGATCGGGGTTTCTAAGGCCCCCATTCCCAGTGGGCCAAGCTCTGTTGGCGGCAACGCGCAACCCGCATCGTCCTATGTATAACGACCGATCTACACTCCAAGTGCCGTAAGCCACCCTTTCAATCGTTTAAGATTGTGGACCATCGTCCGGGGGTACGTATCTGGAGTCAGTACTTAACTCACAATGGCCACAGAAGGACGACAGCCTGTTGAGTTTGCTTGGACGGAGTGTCACGCTTATTTTGCTGAAGGAGAAGCTACATCCGCCAGCCTCACTGTTTCCTTCACCTCGGGAGTCAACAGCTACTTCAATCGTAGGCCATGAAATAATGGTCGTCGAGGATATACGTTATCCACTACAGCCAGCGTTGCTGGAGTAAAAACTCTCTCAGGAGTCATCGTATTTGGTGGACGAATTGAGATTGTTGCCAGTTCGGACGATTGGCGATTTCTGCCATAACTGTGGCTTTCTACTGAGGTACTCGAGTTTTGGGATGTGAACAGAAGGATATGTGGCTTGGGTAACTGTATATTTAGTACATGCTAGAAGACCACAAGATGGATGAACTGAGTAAACCCGAAACGTTAGGTACCAGCCCTAACGAGCTATTGGATGGCCCGATCGTGACAACGAAATAGTATCCTATTACCCTGCGACACCATACCCGAGACGACGTAGTAGTTGCAGGGCTTGGATTACCTCGTTATCCATACCCTTGGCTGGCGCCGATGTCGACTTACCCTTACCTTTGGACGCCGCCGAACCTTGGGAGTATTTCTCATCCCTGGTGGTGGATGATGTCCGCTCTGTAGACTTTCCAACGATCATACCTTCACATGGGTCCCGTGCGGATTCGGCCCGATATATAGCCTTGATCAATTCGGTAGCGCGTTTCCTGTTGCCGGTAACACGACACAACTCGCTATAACCGATCCAGCCTCCATATTCCTCTCCGTTAGGCTTTTCAAAGACCGCATCAACTCTCCTCTCGGGCGCTATTTTCACTGGCCCTCTGGGGACTCGGCAAGCAACCATCCTAATCCCTTTAAAGTTCTCCCAGTCCTTTGGGCCGAGCTCCGGTGCATTTTTCTCGTAGTCAAGTTTCTTATCCCAGGCGCAGTAAGCTTCTGACGCGTCAAGTCCAATCTGTAGATCAGACTCGAGGGTGCAGATCCGGCTATGCGGCTTGCTCTGGACAATAAACGTTGACGGGCCTTTCACGTATCTTTTCTCCTTTCTATTCCAGCGCGTCACATCCCTGTAGGCTAAGATTTTCCGCCCGTCCCCAGTTTTGCCAGCCTTCACTGTTCGATAATCCTTTAATGGAGGTAGGTCTTCCTCCGACAACTCCTCCTCCTCCGACAACTCCTCCTCCTCCGACAACTCCTCCTCCTCCGACAACTCCTCCTCCTCCGACAACTCCTCCTCTGACCCCTTCTCCTCCTCTTCTTCCTTAGCCTTCTTCTTCTTGTTCTTCTTTTTCGTGTCCTTCTTTTTCTTGGAGACCTCTTCCTCCTCCTCCTCCTCCTCAGAGTCCGAGAAGGAGTCCGAGGGGTCTGACTCTGACTCCGACTCCTCTTCTTCCCCAGCCTTCTTCCTCTTGTTCTTCTTTTTCTTCTTTTTCTTGTCCTTCTGTTTTTTGGCGACCTCTTCCTCCTCCTCCTCTGACTCCGACTCCTCTTCTTCCCCAGCCTTCTTCTTCTTCTTCTTCTTCTTCTTTTTCTTGGTGGCCTCTTCCTCCGTTTCCTCCTCAGACTTAACTGCCGGGGAGAAACTGATGTGCAGCTTAGCTTTTTGAAGCGAAAACTCCGGCGCCCAGAAATCAGGGTAGGAATGCTTCCGAACGTAGTCTTTGATAAATGCGTTAAACGTGTGGATAGCGGCACCTATTTCATTCTGGGCGTTCTTGGCTTTGGAGGCCCTTTTCATAGCGTAATCGGTATATAAAACATCAAGTTTCTTGCGGATGGGACCAAAGCCGACGGTATAGGATTCGCTATGCACACCATTGCGCTTGTTCAAGTCTCTTATCTGCTTGTTTAAGGCGGCAAGTTTCCCTAGGGCCGCCGTGTTGTAGTTGTTTTTGTAGAGCTGCATCAGCGGCGTGGTAGCTTGCTCATAAATCTTTTGGTGTTCTTCTGTCAAGCCACCCTTTTCCGCACCATCCTTTGGTGTATTGTTTGTATTCTCGTGCCACTCTCCTGGCGTGATCTTTCCACCCTTGGCAGAAAACGTCGCAAGCCAAGTTTTTGGATAATGGTGGGCGCGAACCCATCTTTCAATCGTTTCGTTCAGTTTCCAGATATCAACTTCCACTTTATCCGGATCCTGCTGGGCTTTGGCAACGGTGGTCACCTCTTTAAGGGTATCAGAGATATGGTCGAGCGAGATTAGGTAGCTTGTTCCATTGGAGACACCTTTTTCTAAAGTCAGCTTGGTGATCTCCCCGTTGAGATCAAGAAGCTCCTTTGGGTCGTAGGTGTGTTCCTTGTAAAGCTTCCAGACAACGTCTGTTGCTTTTTCATACTGCTTGTCAAGGTACGGTTTCCGCGTGATTTGCTTGAGACCGAGGTACTCCGGCGGAAGCTGAACCTCACTGTCTTTGCTGCTTTCCGACATGGTGGTCGTGTGCGTTGCATAGGTAGCAAACGTGTCCGGACGGCTATGTAGAGCTGCTTTATACCTCCGTGCCGAATGCGGTTCTCATATTCCCAAAGGAAGATGTCTCGATTTCTCCCAGCATTAGGACCGCAGGTCCTTCAACGATTGTGGCGCGGCTCTGAAGCTCCCATCCGCCGTCTCCCGGCCGTAGCTTGAGAGCGCGTTCACCGGCATTCCGGGGACATACCGCAGCTTTTAGGCGGCCAAATCGACAAGACGGCCTTTGCATATGGGTTAGCAAACAACGGCTGGGGGACAGCTGACGTGGTCAACAAGTTAGTTAGCGCCGGCCTGGAAACGCTTGCTGGGCCGGAGAGCTGTCACGTAGTGGGTGAGCAGGTATGGGAGGTGGCTGCCAGCTCTCTCTTGCATCACATAAGAATTCCGCGAGGAATGGCGTGGATTGAGCTTCTACCGCTAGCAGCTAGTTATCTACGTATGTATGAAACACTCGAGGTGGATCAAGGGGCCGACCGGGAAAATAATTATATATCCGCACCGACACCCGCGCGATTCAAAGGCCACACCGCGCCAGGTGCCGCCTGCATCCTCACCCGTTGGGAAACCCGGCATTCAGGTTCGCGTACCGACTCTCGGGGAATTCCAGCACGTTGTTAACGTTCTCGAGCCCCTTAGATTGTCTTGACAGGACGTATTCTACATATGTTGCGATTAGGCTCCCGTCGGCCGCCGTGCCGTTACGCCCGCCCCTATCACCGCTCGCCTCCCACCACATCGCGCCGCCGAGCCCCGCGTCCACGATGTACCGGGCCTTCTCCGCCACCATCGGCGCCGTGTCGTAGGAAACCATCAGACGCCGGCCGGCGTCGTAGCTCCAGGACGCGCCCGCCCCTCCGCTGGACGCTGATTCCATGTACTCTCTGGCCCCCGGTCGCGGGAGGACCTTGTAGTCCCAAACCCCCTTCTCCCAGCTGTATCCGTCGCCGCTGCCGCGGAACCGGGAGCCCGGTCCGTCCGTGTTGGCGAATGCCCTGCCGTACAGCGGCATACCGAGGACTATCTTGGACGGCGGAACCCCGCCCTGGCGGATGTAGTAGTCTACCGCGGCGGACGACGAGAACGGCGTCGACCCTGGCCTGCCCGCCGAGCGTTTCAGGTTAGCCTGGTGGCCAGCCACCGCCGATCCGGGCCAGTTCCCCGCGTAGTCGTACGCCATCAGGTTAAAAAAGTCGAGGAGCGGAGCCATCTCCGACAGCAGAAGCTTCTTGAAGTTCTCCGGGCCTAGACGGTTGGAGCGTAGGGCCGATGGTATTAGCCTACCGCAATCCTGTGGCTTTGGGGTTTTCCACTACTTATCTTACCGGCGGGAACTGCTGCCGTAAGAAGGAATCGACGACCACGGGATCCGGCGCCGTCGAGGGCCTGCATCCGGTCAGAAATCACCGTCTTTCGTTATCTAGGAACCTTACCTTCCTAACTGCGCCGAGCAGCCGCACAAGGTCCCTGGCCTGGTTGTCGTCTGACGTTTGCTTTCAGCATCCGAGGCACAATCAACACATACGGTGGGGACACCTACCCTCCGGGTATTCCCAGTCGATGTCCACGCCTGGAGGGGAGAGTCAGCGCCGCATATCACGGAGGGAGGGTGGGGGGACCTGCCGTCGAAGCCGAGGTCAAGGACCAGCGCGGCCACGCTCTTTGCAAACCTGGCTCTGCCCGCGTCCGAGCTAGCTGGGCAGACGAAGTTGCGGGAGTCGGCCCATCCCCCGACGGAGAGGAGTACCTTGAGATTCCGGTTCTTCTGCTTAAGGAGGAACAGCTGCTTGACGCAGCCGTACACGTTGTTTCCGCTACTGGCATCGTCCCACGAGTCGCCCGGGAAATGCTTCTCGACGTCTGACCAGCTGTCCGTGAGGCTCCTGGGAGTATATACCGTCAGCCGTGGATGAACATGCGCTGGACAATACTTACACCTCCCCGCTCGACGGATTGACCCCCGCAAACGCGTAGAGGACGTGCGTCAGTTTATCCACAGGCAGATCCTGTGGCGAGTACTTGCGGGCGTAGATTGCCTGCGTGTGGTTAGAATAACCAGTGCTGCGCTGGGCGGTTGCGGGATGATCGGAGAGCGGATACCCAGTTGACAAAATATACGGCGGAGCGGAAACCACCAGCGGCCTCCGCGCCCTTTCGCGGGGCCGCATCGCCATGCGTACGCCGAGCGAAAGGGATGCTACGGCCGTGAGGACTGAATCTGTATTCTGGCCCTACAGGCGCTGCCTTGGGTCCGAGAGAGGATAGCGTGAGGGCCGTCAGCACAATTACGCCGAGGGCCACGATGGCACACCTGTTGGCCCAAGATGTCCGGCGTCTCGGCCAACCTCGCTTCCCCCTCCTCGAATACATTGCGTAGGTGTTGGGCCGTCGGGGGTTGAGGCGCAGATCCTGTACTAAGTATGATGACACCAGCACATGTAACTAGCTAACTAAAAAAGGTGGGCGAGGCCAACTATATGTCCCAGCCTCCCCCTCGATCCGTGAGCCAGCCGCCGCACACAGCGATGCTCCACCGATAGCATGGCGTTTAGTTTTCCTGGACTCTACTTCCAGCAGCGCGGCGGATTACATGCATGTCCGTTTCTCGAGCGAACTCTACTCGATCGCGGTAATGTACAAGGCGGAACGGCGGTTCGCCGGTAACAGAATAGCATTTGCATGCGACAGCGTGTTTGGATTCAGCGTAGTAGAAGAAGACACGGTCAAAAGCCATTGAGCTTTCGCCCCATTCTACCTATTTATCTATTTATACAAGGTGGCAATGGAGACAAGCCCGGAACAAGCAGTCCTCCCCCACGCCGCGACTCACGGCCAGCCGCGATCGTCGCTAGGCCGGTTCAGCAGCTCCATCCACCCACTCGAAAGCTCGTAGGAACATGTCGGAGTCCAGGGGCATGTCGCGGATTTCCTGGTCGCTCCAGAGTTCGATGTTGAAACGTTGCCGGGGAATCTCGGCGCGAGCAAACATTCCGTAGACCTCTTTCGGGATCGACTGCCTGAAGTTCGGCCTGGCGAACCTAACGATCTTCCCCAGCTCTGGGCATTCGCCCGCCCTAAGGTCCCGGTATTCGTTGGACATGATCCCTTTGCTGTCCGGGACTATATTCATATCCCGCGGCAGGAGGCAGAGTACGTTTACGTCGTCGAAACTGCACACCAGCCGCGACCACTCAAGGCCGCGCCGATACCAATTCGCGATCCGCTGTTTGACGTCTAGCTTGCTTGGCGGCGACGGCAGCCCCTCGTAGATAGATGTCCCGAGCCTATCAATCATCTTCCTGACTATTCCCTTCCGCTTACTTTGCCCTTCACACATCCTGGTAACTTCGTCGTGGATATACCAGCTGATCAGCCTCATGGCCACGAGCGAGTTTTCCTCATTCTTGGTGTGCCAGACGCCCGAGCTGTAGATGCCACATATATCTTCGCCGAACGGCGCTTGGCGGCCCCTCTGCCTCAGGTGGACTATGCTGCGCTTCAGCCCCACGAAGACCTCCGGCGACGCGATGTTGAAGGCAAGCTGCATCAGCCGGCGTGCACGGTTCAGGCCTAGTGCTTGGCCGTTGACCTGGACAGTGGAGAGCCGTCTCCACTCGTCAAGCAGGCTCCCGTGGGGCCACCCCACCAGGTACGCTTCCCAGCCGGCGTCCAGCAATGTGTCCTGGCCCTCCTGGCTGCCGGGCGTCAGGCACTCTAGATACTCGAAGCTGCGCTTCGAGCCGCCTATAACCCCGCGCAGGGCTTGCTTCTTGCCGCATGTCCTCAGGTCACGCACGACCTCGTCGGCAAGCTCGAAGCGGACGTTTTTTGGGGGTGGCTGAGGCACGAGCTTGCCTTCCGCGCAGCACTTCATGAACCAAAGCATGAAGACCCCACAGTCGTCGGCTCCGCTCTGCCACTGGCAGCTGGCGGCGTTAAACTGCCATGCCGGTATCGTCCAACCCTGGCGCTGCAACGACTCCGCGAGCGCGGAGGTGGCCTTCGTGCAGTGACAACAGCCGCCGCCCACCGCAGTGTGGCCGCCGTTGCCCACCGCTAGGGAGTCGTAGTGCGTGACCTGGCCGCCGGCGGGGTCGACGTGGATCAAAGACCAGTGCGCCAAGTGAAAGCAAGGGATAAGAACAGGGGCCACCGACGCCGGCTTGATGTCCGGTAGCGACTCGCCGTCCAATGAGTACCAGTCGCTATCCAGAACTCGGACGTTTTCCCTGCTGGAAAGCTTTCTGCTGAAGTAGTTTACTAGGGCGCCGCTCACCCACTCCTCTGGCCGGAGGCAATTCAGCATGGCAACGATATCACCGCTCGTGTACACTCCCCAGTCGAGCTCAAACGCCGCCTTCGAATAGAGCTCTCGAACAACGGCCAGCAGGCCCTCAACGTCATTGGTGAGGGGAAAGTTAACGTCCTGCACGGAGCCGTCTTCGCGGCCTCCATGCGAAGACACGCGGGAAGAGGCGACTGAGAACGGGCTCTCGCCACGGCTGGCGCCGACACCATCCCACACGTCATCAGCCACGGGCCCGGGGCCGTCGAGGTCGCAGAATGCGTTGATATCAAATTCGTTGATCTCGCCGGGAAACGATGGCCACTGGGGGTCGGATGGCGGCGGTGTCATGGCGATAGTTCCCGCGGCTAAGCTAAGCGCATAGTCCGCCGGGCCCTGGGGGACGAAGAGCGGGTCAATCTCGACGGGGGGGCCGCCGCCTGCGCCGAGGCTGACACCTTGCCATGGGGACGTTGTAATCGGTGACCCCGCCGTGTTTAGGTGGTCGCCCCTGCGGGCGTCCGAAGCCCTGCTATCGCCAGTCAACTCTAGCTCGCGACAGCAGTCAGCCGACAGGAACGGTGGCAGAGTGTTCGGATGGCTCCAGGGATCCTCCGCCGTGACTTCGCTGCCGCTATCGTCGCGGGCGTCTTCGCTGCCGTCATCGGCTTCGTCGCCTGATCCAGAATCGCCATCCCCCCCAGCGTTTACATCGCCATCGCCACGTTCGGCGGTTCTGGCTTCCGAAATGTCCCCAGCGTGCCCACTGGACAAGCGGCGACTGGGCTTCGGACGACGGCCGTTGGTCCACTTACTTTCCGCCGCTGTTCACCGCAGTTAACACATATCATTCCTCGCCGCAGCGGGCGTCTGGTTAAACGTACACGCCTCAAGCGCCAGGCTTTCATCTATTTCGGCAATAAGCGCTTGCGAAGACTCTGCAGCGCGCGGAGGGTTTTTACCCGGCAAAATACGGCCATACACAAGCTGCAAGATGCCCAGCTGCTATTTGGGTAAGCTGGAGTTTGGGGATATAGAGAAGAGAAGAGACGGGGAGGGGCGCAGGCATACTATGATTTCGTCGGAAAGAATAGCGTCAAGCTTTCGAATGTATATTCTCTGGCGCCATGCGGTTAGCGCTTGAAAAAGTTGATGCTCGCTCTGAATGCGTCCTACCGTTGCTCTCCAGATCTGCAACTCTGCCGTATTCCGGGCCATCATCTCAGTCCTGGCACGGTCACTTCCATTCTATGTAGGTAATAGGACGTGAGCATCCAGGGGATGGTAGGCTAATTATCTCCTAGCTCTCTCATGCAACGCTTAGTGTAGACGCCAGCTGGCTTGCAATGTTTCACGCCGCGCTCCGAACGTAGACGTGCCCGGGGTGTTACGCGATCGGCGGAGCCACCAACAACATATTCTCCGCGACCCCAGACTGTTACAAAAAATGTTGTTTGCGGCCCCCATCGCGCGGCCATCGGTTTAACTACGGGTCAGCAACATCGAAGACAAAGAAACGGAAACGGATCCCCACTGGAGCCGTCGCGACTCATACAATGGCTATCTCGCCCTGGAGCCTGGAGATCCCAACCCTCAAGCAGCACAGACAGGCACGTACAGGCTGACCAATGCCTGTCGTTGTCCCTTGCACATAGCTGCTCGGCGTCGCCACAAAAGCTCGCAAGCGCGCTTCGGTGCTGTCAAGAAGTTGTGCTGCCCCCGTCGCGGGACGTTTCCCGCCCGCCTGTCTATTCGTTCATCTGGCCTGGGCGGATGCATGATGAAACGAGACTCGGGGGGCTTTTTCTGGCCACCAGATATCGAGCCCGTACCGCGGGGTATAAATCCGCCATGAACACCCGGGCTAAAAGGGCGCAATCCGGACGCAGCTGAAACGGAAAATCATATGTCATGCAACGCCAACACGCAATGGAAGAGACGCGCTCCCCCATCACCCCTGAGCCGATGCGACCTCCACCCTTACAGCCGCCGATGCGGCCAGCCAACCCTTCGGGCGGCTATCTACCTAAATCGGTAAGCGTCCGTCCCTTCTAAACGCTTGCCCGTCCGCTGTGTCGGAGACTTGGCGGCTAACCCCCGAATCAAGGAAAATCAGCTCAGGCATGGCTGGGTCGAGCAGCAGCGCAGGCTCAACCAAACCACATATGAACTCCACAGAGCCCGGATGGACAATAATAACCTGCGATCGGACCTCTCTGACCAAATTCAACTTTGCCGGGCTATGGGAGGCGAGAACCAGCAGCTTCGTATAAGGCTACAGAAAGCGGACGCCGAGCTGGAAGAACTTCGCAGGGAGAGCCACAAGTTTTGGATAGAGATCTCTCGCCTGCGCCAGGACCGGAAAACAAGCCAGGCGGGTTGGCAGGACCACCGCGCGGCTGTGAGCTGCCCCGCAGGTGGAGATGTCGGGGTGTCACTAACGAGCCTAGCTAGCACGTTGAAGGAGCTGGAGCGGAGGGCAGAGTACATAAACTCGGCTCTGGAGGTGGCCTTGAAGGGTTCTGGCAAGGAAGAAGGTCACTCAAGATGAGGTTGACAAGTAGACAAAGATCCTCTTTTTTTTAGTGTTGTATTAAAGGTCACATGATCAAACTCTGCAGCTTAACTCTAACTTAACTACTCCGTAGTCTTCGCGGTTTTGACGCTCAAAAAAAACGGGTCAGCTTTAACTTAACCAACCTCATGGTTCGTCAAAGCTACGCCGTGCCGCGGAGATAGCTCAAGGTAGCCAGTCACAAAACATGAAATGTACGGCTGCCGTCGAGCCTCTTAGATCGGCAAAACCCCATTCGTTCTTTTTGTGGCATAAATCTTCCTGCTAGTTGGCGCAACTAATAGCTATACAAGCGTGTTTTGACGTCTTTGTTCCGAACTTTAGCTTTCAAGGCTCTCCAGACTCTCCAGACACCCTCTAATCTGTACGGAGTACGGAGTACTTCCTCGACGAACCTCAGTCTGAGAACCGCACTCTCTTGCCGGTACCTGGCCGTGACAGCGACAACGCGCGCTTCCCCGAAATCTTCAGCTGGCAAGCTTCGCAGTCCGTCGCCGTCCGCGAATGGTGGCCCGTCGCCCCAAAAGCGCTGCCGATCTCCTGCCTTTCGCGGTACCAGCTGGCGGACCGCGGAGGGCCGAGCCTTACAAACTGCTCTTCGGGTGCCCCCGCCACCCCCAGCGCCGGCCTCAGAGGCTCGCCCAGGTCTCTTACCGTGAAGCGGACCGGCAGGCAGTATCTCCGACAGAGGCAGCACGCTGCATTTTCCGATGTCGGGAACCCGACCCTCTCGCCCCCAATGATCAACTCCACGCTCGGCCCGTACAGCCTGGTGATGGCGTCCACCCCGACGCGGACGTTGTCTAGGCGGCACCTTACCACCGCTACACAGCGGAAATACGTGTCCTCCCTCCGCGGGGGCTCAGAGAGCCTGAGGTAGAAGGAAGCCGCTAGCAGCGCCTTGAGCGCCTTCAGGCCCACCATGCCGAGCTCCTGCTCATCAGCCAGCTTCATCAGGCCGTCCACGCTCTCGACCGAATCCAAAGGCGGCACCTCCCCGGGTATCAAGGTATCCAGCCTGAAGCAGTATTCCCGCGTCTCCCTGTCTAGCTGACTCATTAGCTCTAACCACGCGGCCCCGCCGTCCATGGAGGACATGAGACGGCGAAACAGGCGGAAGGGAAACTTATCCTTCGCCCGTCTTGCGGGCGATCCGTCGCTGGTGTCCTCTGCACCTTGGCCATCCTGCGAGGGTGGAGCCGCGCCGCCAGTCGAGGCGGACACGCCAACTCCGGTCCCAATCGACAGAAGGACCCCAAGCTCCGGCTCCCATGGCCACATTCGCGGCGTCTCGCTCCGGCAGAGGGCCGCCGGGTTGGGACACTTAAGTGCCCCGTCCTGGCAGTCGCCAACCCCCGGGAGATTGATGGGTGGGAAGAATCTACGCATCACCCTGTTTAGCCGCATATCCCGAGAAGGGCGGGGTGGAGCTGATACTTACCCTGGTGCCGCGCTGGTCGCGCGTGCGCTGGCGGAAGCTGGTTAGCCGGGGAAAATATCTTCCGCTCAGGCGTAACTTACCACTGCCACAGTAGTGGCGCGGGTCTTGAGGGATCGAGATGCAGGTACCCTGCGCAGGTCTCACGTAAGCCACCACTCAGCCAAGTGTCGCCCTCCTTCCCCCTTACCGTTGTCAGCCTGCGCGTGCTCTCCCGCCTTACGGTTGGAGAGTACCACCAGCTGGTCCGATGTCGTCAGGGCCGTCACCAGCAGTCTTATGCTGGAAAACGCCGTTCTGCCGAAGATAGATCTCTCCTCGTAATGGCGCTGGAGGACGCTATCCAACACCGCGGGTCCGTACACCCCGTCCTTGACCCAGCACCCCACCACGCGCGAAGGCAGAGAGACGAGCCACCACCTGGATTTGGGCGACTTCTCGAATACCTGTTTGAGGAGGCCGATCGAATTTTTCGTGCACTCTGTGACCGGAAGCCCCAAGACGATGAGGTCAATGCCGTTGATGCCGCCTGCCGGCAATCGTGAGAAGGCTGCAGATTCCACAAGTATGGGGAGAGCTTACCCGCCCGGGAAGAGCGGGAAGGAAGAGGGGTACCGTTTACCTATACTGCTGCCGGAGACTACATCGACGAGCCACTGGATCGGCAGTCCTCCCCCCAGGGCCTCCTCGAGCTGCATCAACTTCCTGAGCTGAAGAACGCCTCGCACGCCGCCTCCGTCCAGGGCGAGGCCTCTGATCGTGGCCGTCCTGGGAACAAGGTCGACCCGAAGCCTTTCCGGGGCCTTACATATGAGGCAGGAGCCGAGCTCGTATTGCAGCTCTTTACGCTTGACCGGCTCGCCGAACGCCTCTACGCACACGTCACAGACCGAGTGGCAGGGCGTGGAATGATGCGGGAACCGAGACAGGCAGCAGAGGCAGACCGCCTCGGTTCGTATATCCGACAGCCATCGGCGATGACGACTCAGGTTCCGGAGATGGATCTTTCGGGCTGGGCCGCCTCCGGCCGCGAGCTGTCCGAAGAAACCGACGAAACAAGCTTCGATCTGGCGGCAACGATCGTCGGCGCCCAGGCTGTGGTGGACTTCGCGTAGCGCCTTCGTGCACGGTCCTCGATACAGCGTCCGGAAAGCCGTCTGCGGCTCGAACCCTAGTTCTGTCGTCAGCGCAGGCCTGTGTCTGGGGAGGTCAGCGGGACGGGATGTCTGCGAGGATATGAGTAGGCAACAGGGGCGTGAGCCATGGGGTTTCGGGCATACAGTGCGCCCTGGACGGATACGCGTCCATCAGCATGCTGGAGGCGATTAGACTGCCCTGGATGGCAGTGTCGCTCTCGGCTCCCAACGACAGGAATGTCGTCAGGTGCCTGGGGTAACGGCCGTCGGTCTCCCTTCCTTTCTGGGAGGCATCGATGAAGTCGAACCCGAGGTAGCGACTACGGCACCTTTGGTCCATCGCCTCCTCGAAGAGGGCACCGAAGTGGATAGCAGAGAAGAGGGAGCGGTGTTCCCGGCGGTGGCGCCGGGCCAGATCCAGACGCTTCAGCATCTCGTCCCTCAACCCCTGATAGGGTTCGACCGTGGAAGCCCCCGCCGGCGGAAGGTAGACTATGTCCACGGACATGAACGTGTCCGCGACTCCGGCATGCTGCGCCAGGTCGGCGAGGAACTGGCCCTCCTCCAGCATGTCATGCGTGACGCTTGCTCCGTCGGAGACGGCGACCACGATAACTCCAGGCCTAGGGGTCAGACTGGACGCCGATCCGAAAGTTGCCCAGGCGGTCAGCAGGGTCTTGACCCCGTCCATGCCGCCAACGTCTTCGGCGAAGAGGAATACCACGTCCGTAAAGAGGAAGGCCAGGCGGGTGAGGAAGATGTCCTGGACGTCCGTGTCCCTGGCCGTCGCCCACGGTATCGGGCGGAGGGCCGGGCTTGAATTCTCGGCGCCCAGGTGGCATACGTGAGGGTCGCAGTCGGCGAACAGCACCGGATAGCTGGAGGACTCCGTCCTGCTGTCGACCCGGAGGTTGGTGTGTGGGCCCTGTGCGGAGATATACTGTTGGAAGATCTGCCTCAGCGCCCTGTCCTTGGCCCCACGGCCCATGAACATCGCCAGGCTTGGGAACTTGATGTGAGGGCTGTCCAGGCGTTCAAATATGCTCCGGAGACGCCCATCGTACCGGAGACGGGGGTGGTTGCCGCTCCGAACCAGTTTAAACCACGCACAGTCCTCCGAGGAACGCATCGTTGCAAGGGGCTGAGAAGTGAAGCACGTTAGATAGTTTGCGTATCCTGCCCGGCTGGCAGAGGCCATATATACTCCGGTATCAGCTCCCGGCTCGATGTTCTCTCCGGGGAAAAGGCATCAGGGTTACTGTGGCCGTGACTCGCATAAAATTGCAGGTCCGGTATTCTGTGGTGTCCTTCCGGGAGTGGCATGCGGACTTTGGACCGGGAGTCTTGAAGTCAGATATATACGAAAAGTGACCCTTGAAGGCCATGAAGGCGCGTTATCGCTGCCTGCTATAACCCTAACTTCGAGCATCATACAGCGCGAGGATTAGTCTACATGTGATAGTTCTTGCGAGTCAAGGCCAGCCAGGTAATTTCAGTGCAAATATATTCTCCTCCGCCTCCTCCTCCCGCCGCGTCTTTTCGTGGCCTGAGTTGACTGTTCTACATAGCAGTTACCAACGTTTGGTTTAATCAAAGTACTCGTCGTCTTCCGTGTCGTCGCTCGTGCTCCCCTCCGGTTGCTCATCGTAGTTCCGACTACCGTCAACCATCAGAGCGACCCTTTCCTCCGCCATCTGCTCCAGTGCCACCACCTTCTGCGCTAGTGTTACTACCTCCCGCTCCAGTGCCACCATCCTCTCCTCCTGTGCTTGGCGCTCCTGTGCTTGGCGCTGATCGCGTTCCTCGCTCACTCGATCCCTGAGGCCTGCCTCTTTTTCATAGACTGCTCCTCTAACTGCGTTGCCCTGCACGGCGAGTCGAAGCGCCTCGATGAGGCACTGGGCTTGTCCCTTGTAGCAGCATTCCATTTCGCAGGAAGGGCAACCCTGAGCATGTTAGTCTTCTGATTCCGACGGGCACAGCGATGTTCTTACTTTTGACGGCTCGGGCGATTTCGACATGAGGAATAAGGTGGAAAGAAGAGGTCTAAAACCAATGTTCATGAAAATCGATGTGGTATCGGCGAGTAGGATAGGCTGCCGATGGCTCAATATATAACTTCCAGCTCCTAAGATGGCCAGCCCCAAGCCTGTGTACAGATGCGATCCGGAGCCAAGAGAAACAAGAATTCAGTCCCTGGAGGTTGCCCGGAAGTCAATGGACCTTGCGCGTTTACCCCTGAAGTCGTACATAGTACATACTGTACGCCGGAAATGTCAAATCCGACGGTCCGGTCAGTCACCCCAGGCCTTGGCACCCTTGAGGGCCGCACCTTGAAGGGGCGTCAGAACGGAGAACCCCGCCGGTCGTCCCTAGCCCTAGGCCTCTGAAAGAATTCCTGAGTTGGTGGAGCCGCGACGTGGACTAGACAGAGCACCTTTCTCCGTTGTTGAAGAGGCGCCCGAAACCCCTGTACAACGCACCGAGGGTTACACCGTACCTGGCGTCGCTGATTGTGTTATGTCAGATGCTGTGTGTTGTGGTACGACTCGCCAATGGCCCAACATGTCACCCGTCGGGGCATAGATGTGCCAACCTCATCGGCCATGTAAACAAACAACGCCCTCGACGAAGATACCTTATCCTTTCCATGCGGGACGCGCCTCCCCAAATTCCTGCTATACAGTCGCACCTGAAATCCCCTGCGATGTTTTCGTATAGACTGTTCTTTCCAAACTAAAACCAAGTCATTGAGCTGCCTAGCAACGATATCCGTATACCCGGGAGGCCATACACATCCGCCGGTGGGGGTGGTATGGTAAGTTGATCATTGCCCCGGTTGGTCGGTGCATATCTGCGAATGCCTCCGAGCCGACATTCAGTCTACAAACCCGGTCCACCTCCCGCTTTCATGGAGCGGATAACTGCAGCGTTATGTACGGATAGAATTGTGTGACTCGGCTGGATAACCTCTCTTCTCTTTGTTCTTTCCCTGCAGCCAACGGCCCTTTCTATCTACTCTCGACCCCTGCGTAACTGCGCGGATGGCTGCAGGCGACAGACCTCCCTCACCGTAGATTGGCCAGGTCCGTTTGCTTGATACCATCTGCGTGCTCGCCTTCATATATCGTCTTATAGCCATTCTGCACCCGGTTAGTTACGTGTCTTTCGCAAAGAGCTCGGCTCTCGCCCAACAGCGAGCACCTCGTTTAGTTGCTTGGATTTGCAGAAATTACAAGAAGGCGCCAGTTCGCAAAGTGATAAAGCGCCCCAGGGTCTCTGGCATATGCCTTGCGGAGGGGTCCTCAAGTGTCAGCGCTGTAGACGCGATCACAAGAAGGTGAGGGTTTCATAGCACATATCAACTCGTGGAAGGGTCAGCGCTGACGGGCCCCAGTGCACGCCCAGGAGCAGAGAGTGGCCCGGGAGAAGGTGTGACCGTTGTGAGACTTACGACCACAAGTGCTCTGAAAACTCGACAGCGTGGAGCTGGTGTGAAGTTGACATGGACCCCCGACAGCCCACAGGCGATCCAGCGGGTATATTTCGCTTCTCAGGCCAGGGCCAGGGCCTCCCGCCACATCCGGAGCCAGGGCCTACCCCGACCACAGGCATTCCTTCCTCGGGATTATTTGACTACCTTAGGAATGTCGACTGGTCCAACGTAACATGCTGCCCCCGGCCTTCGTTTGCCTCTAGCCCCTGTGCAGTGTTTCAAATCCCCGTATTTCCTTCGGACTCTCCCCTCGGACAGCGGCTGACGTTCCTCGAGGCTTTCACTCAGAGCCAGGGTTTTATACAGGGCCCTTCATCGGCCTTTCCAGCTACCGATCTTCTGGATCTCTCGATAAACCTCCTGGCCCGCCGAGTGCTGAGTGACCCTCGCATCGCACAGACATTCACATTCGAGAAGGTCATCGATATTTATGCGCCGTATGTCCGCTACTGATATTACTGGAACGTGTTCAAGAACTTGCTCCAGACGGACGAGGTGCTGCTTATCAACCCCTCATATTCTTTCGATGCGGGCGACTCCGGCGTCACGTTCGAGAGCGCCCTGCGGGTTTGGTTGTGCCCCGTAGTCGGTCTAGACCAGATTTGCCAAAGGCTCTCGGGCCTCACCCGGATGATACTCGACCTGGCGCGAACGGAAGCGCGGTCGGAGGAGCGGAAGTTCCTCGCAGCCGCGATAAGCCTCCGTGTCAGGCAGGTTCTCGGCGCTCCGCTGGCTCCGGGCACGCCTGACGACGATACCCAGGCATTCCCGTCCAGTGCCAGACCCTTGTTTTCTATGATGCTGGCCGACGGTGAAAAGACACCCCGGGCGCGCTCGTCCGTCGCCCGCGATGTGCCTGACAATAGACTTTGCCCGACGCGGGTCGAACATGGCAAAGGAAGCTTAGACGGCGAGAAAGACCTTCGCCCCCTCTGGGCTCGGCGGGTGAGGCACGGCCGTTTTCTACTAGGTTCAAGAAAGACTGCTAATCGCCGCTGCAGATGCTTTCTCCAATCACTATTTCCACCGGCATCGTAAACGACGAAGAACCCGGAGCTATCCTAGCTTAACAGACTCACATACAGAACATCTCGATAGGAAGACGGAAATCAGCTGGGCCACCATACCTCCGCTTTATCTGGGACGCCTGGGGAGCCATATCATCTTAGTACATGTAAACGAGATGGGTATAGCCACCATAACTCTAAGCCAAAACGAACATTTCCGCTATATATTCTGTTGGGCGGCCTGTGTAAGATAGATAGATCAAGCCCGCCAGGCCACGATCAGGCGGGCCTGGGCTTTGAACTCCGGTTTATTACCGGCGGAGTATAACGCTCGTCCACAGAGATGTCCTTCCCCGCACCTAAGCCCGGCCCAGCTCCTCTGGTCGACGTGTCCGGGAGCTCGACAGGGGGGGTACTTGTAGCGCCGTTTATCCCGGCGGCTGTCGTACACATACTGTGAAAGTGATGGTGGTGATCTACGCGAATCGTGACGGGCTGACCGGGCGCCACCGGGCAACACCTCGAGCATATATTGTTGCGATATTTGGGCAGCGATTTCGGGTCTGTAGCCAGCTGCTTGCGGTATCGAGGGGACCTGTTCCTCTTGCACAGGCTACATCTGGGACATCTCGCCGACGGAGCCAGTGGCTGGTATGGCGCATCGCGATACATAAGCGCCCAGTGTCGCGGGGTATATCTTTACTCGTCAGCGTCATTCATATCACGCTGCTGAAGACTAACCTTTTCAACAAGCTAGAGAAGAAATCTGTCAGGCGCATAGTCGAGATGTCAGGGCCTTTCCCTGCCTTGAGCGGAGGTGCTACGGGTATGGGAGCCAGTGCTTAAATAGCCGCCCAGACGGACCCATACTCGGAATATCAGAGCCCTTTGCTTTTCCCAACTGCGTTCCCCCCTCCCCAGGCGACGTGGGCCACGGTGGTCGTTGTGGATGGTGCTACCACACGATTCCTGCTGACTCGGATTTCTTCGATTATTGAAGAAGATACGGAGCAGCTATTGTGCTAGCCGAATGTATACTGCCATCAGTGCCAGTCTAGAGCTGTATACACAAGTGTACCCCATGCTAGGCACTATAGTACATCTCGGTGTGCCTCCAACCAGAACCTCCGGTACATCGAGAGAAAAAAAGGCGGCCGCGGCCATGGTTACCTATAGCCACTGCACTGGACGTTAGGGGGCTTTAACTAACGCCCTGGGAACGATGCCGAAGGGCTGGCTTGGCACGACCATCCAGTTTAAGGTTAACTAACAAACTCCGTTTCCCCAGAGTACAGCCTTGCGGGAATACTGTTTTGCCCGCCGAGGGGCCGCCATGTGTCCTGGGTTCGCCAGATTCCACCAATGCAAGCGCGGAAACCTCGAAATATTCTGATCGCAGGTGATCGTAAGTATGTATAGCCCCGTATAGACTTACATACTCCGTACGCCGTTGCCTAGTCATGGAAACGCGCTGCATGCCGCACGGTGGAGCGGGCCGGCGTGGCAGCACATGGCGAGTTAAAGTTCCCCTGGGTCGTTGCTCAGCATACTTCTAATATTGTTTTCGCCAGCCATCAAGCCCTGTTGCATAGTGCACGCCGGCCCGTCTTCCAGGAACAACCCCTCCCCGTCGCCCGGTTCAACCTCGCAAATATGGAACATACCAGCCAAAGTACTCTCGGGAATCCGCCCTCGCGTCCCCTCCAAGGGGCCGGCGGAACCGTCGCCGGAGATTCTGGGCTCGAGTTTAAGACGGCCAGAGAAATGTAGTCTCCCCAGATGCCTTGGCAGCGAACTCGCTAATCCGTGAAATCTGAAGCTGGGAAAAACACACGTCGAGATACGAGATTGTGGACTTCTTCGATGGAGCCCAAGAGGACCGCAGGCTTGATGAGTACTGTAACATGTTTGTTTGAAAATGATGAGATTGTTGGTATTGCAAACATAAATACATAGCAATTCTAAGCACAGCCTAAACCCGCCGCCTCTTGCGCCTGTGTCCCGGAGATAGCTCCCTACGCCGCTTTGAGGCGCGGACGGGCAACCGGGGTTGATTGTAGGAGTCCTCGATCTCAAGGTTTGACTTTTTCTTTAGATATAAATCCAACGGCGTAATATCCCCTCCGATAACTAAACCTCTCTCCGAGCCTCACAACTGGATGATTGATAACCCCCGAAATTCTCAGGATACATGGAAAGTGGGTAATATGCTAAAGGACAAGAACGAATTGACGGGAGAGCACGGTTTTCATGATCCGAATTCGACCCAAGCATGCCTCCATCCCTTCCTGATTCCAGGTCGGCATTAAAGCCAATTAGCAGAGAGGGATAGTTCCTGTGACAATTTAGCTGAGCTCTAAGGCGTTCTATCCGGTAAAGAATTGGGTGTAGACTAACCGGACCAGCTCACGTAGTAATCAGAAACATAGCAATTATCGCTCGTTTTAACCCAGAACCTATGATGTTTAGTTAGCTAAGAGAATACTTGACAGTGATTGAGAAAGATATCGTCTACTTACGGATTACCGCTCACGGTTGTCGTGTCTTTCGCAGTAAGGCATCGCAAGGTAACACGGGCTCCCTTGGAATACTGTCTGACGGCTGTGCAGGAGGTACGAGGGCATGTTCGACATAGGAGCGCAGAGGCAGTGATGATCCCAGTAAGAGACCTTTTCTCAATAGTGCCAGGCTGCGTAGTAGGAGCCTCATCTCCACGAGTGACAACATACTTCCCGGGAGCGTCATCCGCTGGAGCTGGAGCAGAAAGTGCCATAAAAGGCAAAAGGGCTGCAACGGCGAAAGCAGTGAACTTCATATTGAGAAGAATCGTGGATTTGATTGCAATTAAAGCAATAGGAGTTTAAATTGTGGTCCTGAAGATGGTTGACTGTCGAGTTTGATGGTTAACTGTCGAGGTTGATGGGCGAGAGCGCTGGCTTTATACCTCCCATCTGTCCATACTATGGAGTCAAGAGGAGGAACCTGCTTGGATATCTGAGCTGAATTCCAAGAATAGTAGTGCTTGTAAGCAGAGGCCCTGGCTGTAAGCAGAGCCCTTGGCTTGTTGAATTGATCCGAGTTTGCTCATGAATTAAGTTTTGCTTTTGGCAAACTTGGCTATCAAATGACCAGAGAAAGGCGAGAGAACATCAGCTCGCTTCAAAATGCAACCCACATGGTATCGCTGCTCTGTAAGTAATATCAGCTTGATGCGGCGAAATGAGGCGGATGTAATTTTGTCTTCTTGTCTACTCCACAGTCAGAATGTCCGCGGGCAAGGTCTCCGAGCCTCGTGTCAGCGCTCAGCAGCTTTCACCAACGGCCCGTACTTGCCTATACATATTAGAAAACATGGGTTGTCCCATCTCCAGTCGCAACGTTAAGGCAGTCCATGGGCGAAGAGTTGAATATCAGACTCTTGGTATAGAGAACTAACTTCGTCAGTTTCGCGCCTCATCCTTGGCTCCGCGTCCCGGATAGGCGGATCGACTGTTCCCGTTCCCTCGTGGACCGCCATGTAACCGCAACTCACATGAGTCAAGTCTCCTTACCTTAACTAACTAGTTAACTGGAGAGAACCAGCACGTTAATTTTAGCTGGATTGAAGTCGATTTTACCTAACCAGACGAGCCTCACAGTGCTAGAGGCAACACAGTAGAGTTCCAGCTAACCCAAGAAGATACTAACGCAGTCATCAGAAGCATGAAGGTGATATCCGGAGTATATTTTTATTATATACAAGGATTCGTTGGGCAGCCACCAGAAGTAAATAGTTACCTAGGTACCTCTCTATCAAGTAGCTAGATCGTTAGCTTATAGGACTTACTATTTCTGTCTTTCGCGCAGAGTCCGCCATTGCTCTAGATTAACAGAATCCCTTGCCTACATCGCTAGCCGTAAGAATGGGGCGCTTCGCTCGACAAGTTTTCTCGCACCAGTGGGAGCGGGGGAGAGTAATTCTCTCGATAAATATCGCCCCAAATACGAGAAGGTCAGACCAGGCGCAGCATCTGATACTTTGGGGCTTGTAGATTGATTAAATCAAGGACTCCGCGGAGGCGACGGAATGTTCTAGATAGCTGATGCGTTGGTAATGCTCCGATACGATCCTGGTTCTAGCTTGGTTCCAACGGCCTAGTCAGTCAAGATGTAACGAATATGTCCCGGGTGTATCTATTGACTCCAAAGCCTCATTGTTCCCAACGAAAGCATTATCTTGTGATTCACTCGCGGCAGTTAATGGTACGCTGCGCCAGTCGCTCCAACTAGAAACTTATGAGTTCCTTAAGGTTGATGTTCTCGAGACACAATCTATAAATGAAATCTTTAGGGATTTAAAACTTGGTAGAACCGAATACGAAGTCGACTACAAAATTAGTTAAGCTATCGAGGGCAATAAATTAAAGGCGTGTGATATGGCATACAAGCTCGTATACCTGATATTATTAGGCCATTTCAAAAATGAAGTGGAGGATAGTAATAAGGTTTACAATGCAGTACTTTTCGTTATGTCTCTGGTACTTTTAAATGGAGAACGAGGATTTTGGTACGAGCAGCATTCGAGGACGACGTAATGGTAGCTACCGTGGTGGACGCTGATAGGATGCTATTTCCCCGTTCCAAATGCATCCGGCGTACATTGTCTTGTGCTATGGTAGACCACAATGCTTGCCAATTCTACTATTCCCGGGGGAATCCTGCTTGCCGCTCTCTCGACACAATGAGCAGATTATGAACTTTGGGCACCTCTTCGGACCGTGCCGTAAACCTTGATAGTTTACCCGCAGGAGAAATCCCGTTTTATGATTACTTTTTTTTCGGCCACATTAACCTTACGCATCAAAAGACACACACACTTGCCGTTTAGGGGATTCTTGTTACCTCGCTCGTCTCTGAGTAATCATTGACTAGTAAGGAGCGGACCAGTTTGTAGCACCCTCACTTAAATGTCCAGGGTTGCCACCATCCAGTTACCCCGGTCCAAAGCAACGACATGGACCGGCTGGAGGCGGGATTGCGAAGGAAAATGTGGAAGGCACCCACGCAATGATTCCGATACGATTCCGTTGGCCAGAGCAAGCCAAGCGGCTTATTCTGTTACGTCAACGTCAAGGCTGGAGAATGGTTCTTGGCCAGTGTGAAGTTTGATAGTGTCAACGACAAAAGGGTGAAGGGTTGGATCAAATCTGAGAGCCTTATTTATATAGATATTTCCGGCTGTAGAGGCCTGAGAGATATAATAATAACGGCGTGACTTTTTCTGGGCTGAACCATTTCAACTTATTTTGAATGCGTCTCTTCATTTTATCACGTATCGTATTTGAGTTTTGACTTTGGAGTCCATCATTTTTGGATCGCTGCGTCGTTTCGGGGTTGCACCGTTTTTTGGAATTATCGCTGACTGTCCGCTTCCTGGGCAAGGCAGGTTTCCCATGCAACCAACTACGCTATAGCGAATTTATGGCTCCCTGGCTTCCTATATGTACCAACGAAATACATATAAACTCTTTTCCCGCAATTGGCAACTGAAACCTGAGTTCTTTTGAGCCATGCGAAGAACAACCCAGTTTGATTTCGGCAGCTGTGGGAATGTCCTCAATACTAACGATTTGATACCTACACATGGGATCTTTTACCAGTTCGATTAATAATTGGCAGGGAGATGATTGACCAAAATCGAATTGGAGAGTCAGATTATCCAGCCTCAGATGTAGTGGAGGCGTTGCAGCCGTGATGTATTCACTGTAAGGTAAATCCTCATGCCCAATGACTACTTTGCCAGCTGGACTTGGCTTGCGATCCATGATACTGCATGGACTTATCTCCCCACGAGAATTATTAGATTTCTCTGACGGGATCTTCGGCGGTGTCAAACGCATCTCACTCCGTGAGGGCACTAATGGATTCGCTTCTTGTAAATGAGCTGACCGAGGCCGAACTGTCGATCGTGAAGCAGGAGAAAGATCCCCTGAGGCGAAACCACTGGCTAAAAGTGTGGGATCGTGGCCTTCGCGCATGAAGTTCTCGCTCCTGAACTACTTGTGGCGTTGGTCAAAGATGATCTTCAATTAGAGGATTGATCAACGGGGTCGAGGACGATAAGGTGTGAACCAGATGTGATTATTAAATTGATTTGGACATTGGTATGCAATATACAGGCGATTCTCTAAGATGAGAAATAAAGAACGCAAAGATAGAAAATGTCATTCATAGCAACACGTGTGCATCCTGAGGATTGTACCCCTAACGTCTCAGAGTTCCCACGGCCGCTTACTCACTTTGTGCTGAGTTGTTGCTTGATGAGTTGCTTGATGAGTTGCTTGATGAGTTGCTTGATGAGTTGCTTGATGAGTCGCTTCGTCTTGCGTTGTCCCACTATAAACCCCAATGGTATGCTGCTGACGCCTCTTTATAGCGGGAAAGCTCTCGATATCCTGCCGATGCGCTTTTTCGGTGTGAAAGCCCTTATCACACTGATTATATTCGAACGCCTTCTCGCTACCTCGGAGTTCGGTGTGAAAGCTCTTATCGCAGTCGAACCACTTGCCGTGGAACCTTGTAATATGCCGGCGTAGTCCGTCTTTAGAGCAATAGCTCCGATCGCAGTGCGAGCAGTCGAACCTCTTGCTGTGGGATCTTTTGATATGCTGGCGAAGTCCGTATTTGGAGCTATAGCTCCGATTGCAGTGGTCGCATCTGGATATCTTGTTGCCGTGGACCCATCGCATATGCGATTGTAGCCCATATTCGGTAAAACTCTTATTACACTGATTGCAGCCGGATTTCTTGCCGTGGGACCTTTTGATATGACGGTGAAGCCCGTGTTCAGAGCAATAACTCCGATCGCAGTGGTCGCATCTGAATGCATTCTCTCCGTGGAACTGTTGCATATGCAATTGAAACCTATCTTCGGGAAAAATCTTATCACACTGGACGCATTTGAACATGTTGTGGGCTTGATTAATATGCTGTCGAAGGTCACATCTGACGGAAAATTTTAGAGGACATTGGTCACATTTGAACATCTTCTCTCTGTGGGCCCGAATAATATGCTGTCGAAGCCTTATTTGGGTGAAAAAATTCTTGTTACATGAGCCACATTTGAAGGTAGGAAGGATAGTACGCTCGTACGTACTCGAAGCCATATTGGTATTGAAGGCGAATAAACTTTTAGAAGGGAAAGGGGAGGCTTGGTTTAGAAGGGGCAATTAATTCTTATAATGCTTACACTACAACACCAGGCCCCAGTTCGTTCAAGGCCAAGGCGGCCCGTATGGCGGGTGCCGAGTTGTCTGCACAAGGATGGAAACATGTGCAGCTTCAAATTGATTTGAATTACACCTGCTTATAACGCCACAAACCAAATAACGTAAGGCCTAGCATGCTCGTGTTCGAGCTTCCGACTGTGATTCGGATAACGCGCGGGCTGGCCGTGAGCTGGGACAAACCTCAAAGTCAAAATTTTTGGATACAGTCTGTTGCAAAATCAGCTTAACACTCTTACACTCTTTGCTCTTTGTTGAATGCCATTCTGAAACAATGCTAGTATGCATGCGGTTAGTGTTGAATAATCCCTGCCCATGAATGGTACTGTATCCAGAAATCACATGACCGAGCTCTGTACTTTTCCCAGTTGTTATATTCTCTTCAAACTCGCTCTCGGTTGAAGCCAAGTTCTGTGCTCTGTAGATAGGATGGCTCCAAGGCTGGCACTATCAAAAATTCAGTTCATCTGTGATATGTTAAAAAGCGATGAAGCTCTATCTATATCCCAAATTGCAAATGCTGCTGAATGTAGCCGGCAGTCAGTCTACT